TTTTTGCTCAAGAAAGAAAAAAGCGTGAGAGAGACCCGGGGAAACTCAAACCAAGCCAGACTAACAGACAAGCATAGCCTTGCCATGAATAAGTAGCAGGTACTTAATCTTGGTATTATTGACCCACGCAACTACCGGTCTCCAATACAATGGAGCGATATTTCCGCGGCTGCTGCTGTTGCATCGATGGTTCCACACTCTCTCTTCCTTCTTTGCTGCAGTGTCCCAGCATTCTGGGCAAAAGTCTGTCGTTCCTTTATCAGTCCAGACGATGTCACCAGCTGATGGCATTGTTTGGAATTGTTTTTTCCCTTACGATACGCGGGTCTATAATTCGTTACCAGGGGTACACTCTGTCCTGTAACTCCTGTCTCTACAGTAATTGTCAGAAGAAGATGCAACTTGAGACAGTTTCTTCGGATACTAACCCTCATTCCTTTAGTGTAAACCGGCTAAGGATCATGATCGGTTTATGGTGATGAATCCCAATTCCTGCCTCGTGCAGTAAGTAAGGAGGTGAACGCATTATGCTTACACAAAGTCCTTGTGTGTCTACCGAACGGACTAATTATGGACGTGAACCAGACACGAGCATCTCGGCCGTGTCTTGTTTGTTGCACAAGGCGATGCAAGGTCAAGCACACAAGCTTATCATCGTAGACCCTTACAGGTAGTACAGGTACATACACTAATAATTGCTTATTGATCTCAACTCGATCTAGCTAACCCACAGCTTCACTCTTCCATATTGAAAGTCATCTAGAGTTGTTCCGAAGCTTGGCCTTGTCTGTACAAGATCAATTCACCTCGTGGTAGATTTGGACGGACGATGTGACCAGGCACGGAAACGATCTACAGGGATCTCCTGGGTAAAGAAACAAAACAGGAAGGCTATGCGGCCTTTGGCATCATCTGGGCAAGCTGCTTTAGGTGAGCTACGGTAGATGGGTTGAGGCCAATGCAATAGTTGAAGCTGTTAAGAAACAAAATCAATCCTTGATGCGGTGACGGATTCTTTTTTAGACAGTCGTTTCTTTTTCAGCTTTACGCCAAGTTCCGTTCCCTGCAATGCCAGTCAGCAAGAGTTGGAGACCATCCCCTGCTCGTACTGCTCGCTTCTGTACGGTTTACCTGACGATGCATGCACTCCAAAACTAAACTTAACTCCACATGGAATTAATGCACTTGTCCGCGCACGGGCAATAATACAGTAGCTGAGAAAATTATAACGAATAAAACCATTTACACAAGTGGCGAGCAATGGCTGATCTGCTTTGCAAAGATATACCTTTCTCCAATAGGTAACGAGATCATCAGAAGCTGCAGATATGTTTCAGATGCTAAAGAGTGGCAAGTGGCATTGCATCTCTAGATCATCAATCAAATGGGGCTGCCTCATGCAATGGCAGGAGTCAGCAAAGAGGAGAGGACAGGGGTCAGATACGAAGCGATTTTCCTGACGACATCACGTACAGTATAGACGGCCGTTTGGATTCGAGGCAAACTGCATTGTTAGAGGTACAGTATATTGGTATGATATTGATAACTGGCGTTTTGATGGCAGCCAATGCCACTGGTTCATGAAGATAAACGTTGGAAGGATCAACTGTCCCTAGTCAAGCCGAGCTGAAGACTGCATAATAAAAGCAGAATTATACTTGGCATTGCATGTTTATACGCGCATTGTACGGAATATTCACCTATTGTTTTGTGGTATTGGTGATGGATATCAAGCCCGTTTCTCCAGCAGCCCTGACATTAGTATCTATCACTCTAATCAAAGACCGTGGCAATGACCGGGCATGTACCGGTACCAAGACTTAGTCGGTATCTCGCTAAAATCCAGCACGTAATTACCGTTCAATCGTCAGCAAACTCCCTGAGCCCACTGAGCCCCTACTACCAAACTACCGGGCGACCTTCTTATCCACTCTCCCAACACGCTACAGTACAGACAAAGTCGACCGAGCGTTTCAGACGATGACCAAACAACGTCTCTGTTGCGAGAATTTCAGAGACTCGCTCACATTAGTTTTCTCGTCTAGACTAAATCGCTCAAGATCTTTTCGCTCTAATCATGCATGTCGATCTATCTCAACTATGAATCGGCTGACGATATCCTCTGTTTCACCATATGCGCTCCCGGGCTCAAATAAACGACGCTCAGATAATGGACTGCATTAATTGTTGACCTGTCTTTTCGACATGTTACCCGTCATCTCGTATAGTTGAAGCCTTGTGTATATCTTAATCGTTACTGATCATTCAGGTACAATAATGCAACGTCCTTAGCTAATTACGTACCTAGCTCTGCTTGCTTGCTTCTTTACAAGGTGGTATTAACCAACGGCCTACTGCAACGCTAAGACTGGTCCATTATCCCGGTCCTTGTTCTCCTATCCCGTCCTCCTGATCCGCGTCTAATTAAAGCACCATGTTCATGTTCATTCGTGTTGATGCTTTTTGTTCTCCCTCTTATTCGAGTTGCTTTTTTCCTTCTCCTCTCTCGAGTCTAAATCTCTCCCCCGGGCTGACATTGAAGTCTATTACCCTTTCTCATGGATCCTGGTCTATCAAAACTACCTACGGTACACAGACACCGAGATAGTCGATAGTTTCTCCATGGCTTAACCCCTAATCGAGACCCAGGAGAAATTGTGAATGGGGCGCTCGGCCTCGTCTCGCTCGCTATAGTTAGACGGACTCTGCTTAGGTGTCGATCCTCCTCTCGCTACGGCCTCGAGGAAAAATTCGACATTTCACGTTGTTCTCCAGTATTAGAGACTATCCATATCTATAAATTATGGCGCCGAATGTCTTGGCCCTTGTGGACATTCGGACTTGAGCGTGAGACCTAAACGTTCATTCCATTCCAATTAATTGCATCAATTGCTCCGAGTGTTGCACTGGGAGAAACGAGAGACCTTGTTTGTTTGTTCCCTCTCGTTCTGAAAATAGCTTCCTATTTAGTCAGTACCCTACGGTGCAACCTTTCGGGAGTATCTAGTCCGAAGAGTGTTCAGCCAAGACCTGTCACAAACGAGACAATTGTGGCAGGTATCTCTAATAAATTCCAGAAACAGGAAGTTGTTATTAGTTGCTCTGGTAGCTTGGTTTGGTGTAGTGCAATATGCCTTGTAGGATGGACTTGACCTCCAACCTCAAGATCACAGAGAATTGACTCTGGCAGCATAAGAGACGGGTAGTTTATTAACTTCATGATGCTCTAGCATATCTATTAGGCCATTCAGTTTCTACACCCTGAGCGTGGATGGATGTCAAGTTGGCTACTACCCATGCGCCCATGTTCCTTACTTCTGTGCCTCTCATGTGCTTTGCAAACAAATTAAAGTGCTCACATCACATCTGTAGCAAATACGCCGCAAGTCACTATACTCGCCGCATCGGGGTGCAGCAGAGTTCCGTTGTTTCCGAAACTGAGACAAGACAAGGAGATTAATGATGTGATATTCCACATTCAAAGGAATGTCGTTCCAGGGTAGACTACCTAGTCAACTGCCTGAATGGTGTTGCAAACGTATGTATACAAGAAACAAATTTGTGACTCTTCATTCTTAACCCAAAATGTACCTCTGGGCTTTGGTATCATTGATTATACAATTTCGATGTCATTATGGTGAAGCTCCGTCACCTAGTGTGCAAACTCTCAAAGAGTGTATCCCACGGGGATGACAAGACAGCGTAAAGCCGGCAATCGATGTGCTCATGCCAGCTTCTTGGCCACACTGGCACTTGTTGGTCTTTGCACGTTGTCGATCGACGTTGACCCAGATCAGTCGGTGCTGCTTCTTATTCATTCGGACAGCACTAAAAACGTCGAGAAGATCTTCGCGATTTGAAGGGGTGTCTAGCTTAGAAGTTGTCATAATAACTGAATAGCCTTGGTCCGCCAACTTCAGCAACTGGTGGATGTAAAGGAATCGTAAGTTTCGTTCCAATCGATCACAAGTGGGTGGCCTGTTCATGATGTAGCTGTCGATTATGCGAACTTTGGACTCGCCGAGTTGTGTCTTGAGGTCCCTGAGCAGGTTTGGCTTGTTCACATCTGGGATGTCGTTGAGGATCACAAACGCACCCTTGCCCTTACTCGAGAAAGCCGGAGGGTCGTGGGTCATATTGTTTGTCAATACCATGGTATGTTGGTGAGTATTCAGCGCAAGGCAGCGTAGTGTCGGGTTGATAGGTTTGGTGGCAGAATAGTTGAGGGCGTGGTAGAAGATTGATCTTCAACTCGAGGGGCTGAAGATACGATGTGGGCGATTGTTAGATGGGAACGTCTCAGTGCCAGAAAGTGTGACCACGCTGTCATTATATATTTATCCTGTCTAAAAGTTAATCAGTATTCTATGGTGTGAGGTTGCTGAACTTAGACTATAAATTTATGAACACGCAAGCAAGACGCCAATGAACACCAGGTAAAATGTGTTTCGCGCAGAAGAGGAAAGTATGTGCTGTCCCAGAAGTTTCCCGGTCGTCTACTTCAGAAAGAGGCATTGCGATTGCTTGCAATTCATATTGCACTTGAGGTCTAGAATACGTTTATCCTAAAGAGATGCCCCTGAACTGCAGTCCTCGTCTGCCACTTCTACTGCACTGAATGGTTGACTTTCGATGTGTCCAGCTTTTAGAACACAGCATATCAGATTTAAAGGCTTGCGTATCTGTACAGTTGATCAGAGAAATGAATAAGCCCCTGATCCACCATTTGCCTTATGATTATGAAGAACAACCCTCAGCGTGAGTGAACGGAATACTGATTTACAACTGATCGGCGAATCACCACTCACAGAGAGAATATTGGGAACTGTTCGTGAATCAAATTTACATCTGATTGTGTGATCTGATAAAGTTAGACACTCAACTAAACCTCGGATATCCTGTAGCTGGTATGACTCAGAGGTAAACTATATATCACCCTCATCATGTACTCTTAGCCGACACTATGACCTTGAGTATGGGGAAGAAGTAGCTATCGATACGGGAATCTAGAAAGATTTCACTCCATGAATTGCACGTTCGTGTTGTTGAGTTCCTTCTGCAACCCTATGTCAAATCCGCCCACAACACTCATCCATTTCTTATCAGATTGGCACCTGTAGAAGTAATAGTCATGATGTTTAATAGTCAAGTGACTCTAATTATCGTAATTCACCCCCCTGGAGCCAACGTCTCTTACTTTTACAGACTTGTCAAAGAGCTCATTTGACCAGATACACACCATTAACTTGCCAATGTTGTCACCGCCAGCACTTTGATAACTGCACGAGTTCGCTCTCAAGTTCTACTAGTCTTCTTCTTACAGGCATCGCCTGATCTGAGGCCAATTCCTTCATATATCCTCTGAATCCTACTGAATGAACCAGGGGTGTCAGAAGAACGGCCCCTGGAAGTATTAGAGACGATATAGTATGCTTACTTTATGGTAGCTTAGACCAGAATCTGGGCTGCTTTCTTTTGGCATTCTAATCTCAGAGGGTAACACATCTATTCACCGCCGGATGGACATCAGTTGTGGCCTCTTCGTAGCCGGGAAGCTCGCGTAGTTCAGCCTTACAGCTTACCCTATTTGGCCATATATGTGAGAAAATTCGCAACCTGCGCTGTCTATCTATATTCCTAGTCGTATTATCCTGGTGATAGAGCATAGTAACTCATAGCATGGTAATAGTTTACAACAAAGAGTGAGCCCGACTCAACCTGCGGGCGCCAAAAACAATCGGGCTAAGAGACAGCATAAACTCACATCAAGAGGTTGTCCACTTCATCTATCGCTTCACAGAGTGGAGGCTTCTACTGCCAATCATATATTCAAACTTGGTGCTCTTTTGCATAACAGATAGTCTTAGTGAATACGTGTTTGAACATCTCCTGTACTATACAGAACATGACAAGTACATAACCTCCAGGAGTTTCGGGTGAATTTTGGTCGCTGTGATGGAATTTGTTCATACCAAGTGGCATAAATAATCTCATAGGACAACGAAGTAAAACAGTCTCATTGAATACATGCCCTCTTCTATATCCAGTCGCCTAGACAGTAGGTGTCTGATGCATCCGACCTTACGATGTCTTACCTCACTTTCCGAACAATCTCGAGTGGCGTGTTATTGAGAAACGCTTATCATAACCCATGAAAAATAAAGAAAATCTATTAGCTCGTTTTAAGTTTTCCAGAGTCAATATTCATCCGATAAACACAATTCCTTCTACAGGAGTACCCCACACAGGTAGATTTTGAGAGCACACCAGCTCAACCATCACATGCCTTGACTTCGCCGTCCCTATCGTCTGCCAAACTTCCATAGCATAAAGAGACCAACGGAATGCCCTCACAGCGCGCTTATAAAGCACTGGAAGATACTAATGCTCAGGGCTGAAATTGAACCAGTACGTTTTGCGGAAAAACAAAGAGTCGCGCCTGGAATACAGGCCAGGAGAGGCACATGGCGCGACACCGGGAGTGGTGGGTTTGGACATGCCATTGTGCGCTCTCGAGGTGGTAGGAACTCCAAGAAGCAACAAGGAGAAGTACAACAAGAAATGCCATATTTTCAAAAGCAATCCCGTAATTAAAATGAAACAAGGAGGGTATAAATGCGAGTGTGATGATCACGGTCATCAAGCTCACGTTGTCGTAGCCGCGGAGTCGAGAAGTTTACTGGTTGATCTTCTCGTTGACGGCGTTGGCGGTATCAGCCTTCTTCTGGTGCAAAAAAGAGCTCAACCAAGAGAGTGTCTCGTTGCTAACGACGAGAACGGTGGTAACGGCAGCCTTTCCGTGGGCGACGAGACCTCCTTGCTCGACCTTCTTGATCTCGGAGTTGTACACCTGGAAAACGTGGTCCTTGCCCTCAAGGCCCTTCTGGAGAGGGAACAGGATGAGAGCGCGGGTATCCTGGTAGAGCTCGTCGGTAGGCTTCTTGACAGCGGGGAACTTCTCATCGATGCGATCAAGGGTCTTGTCGCCTAGAGAGTCAACCTTCTGAACGTAGGGTGAGACATATTGGTAGCCTCTCGAGAACAAGGGAGCAACGGGAGCAGCAAAAGTCTGGTAGGCGGCGTCACTAAGTCTGATGGAGCGCTGGCCGAATTCGTTGGACTTGAAGGTGTGGACGCCGTCGCTGATGACAGGGTAGTTGAGGAGATGCTGTAGGATGTCAGTTTACCTCGTAGAATAACTGCGCTGGCTATACATACCTGGATGAAAGCAGAGTACTGAGCAGAGCTCACGTCGCCGTTGACTTGGTGGGACATAGTGATGGTTGCGGATTGATCACAGAGAATCGAGATAAGTAGGAGGAACGATGTAAGATCGCGAGATTCGAGATAAGGTCAATGGCTCGGTCGTTCGGATACGAAATCGAGATGACAACCGAAAGGTGCGAGGTAGATAAGCTTGAAACACGAGTCAGGTACGAGAATTTATAAGAGAGCAGAGCTTTAGGTAGGATGGTGTAAGATGGAAGAAGATGGGTGAGGAGGGAAAGTGGGAAGGTAGCAATTGAAGGGGACCTGCAGAGGCTAAAAGGGAAGCCACCGGAAAAAGATGACGAGGAGGAGACAGTTGCGAGAAGGATCAAGGAAGCATATGAAGATGGGTGTGCGTCTGTGTGTGCATCTGAGGTCAGAGGAGAGGAGGGGAGGGGAGTATGGATGGATTGAGAGATGGTTGGTGGGACGCCACAGCATGTAACTTACAGCTTTTGGTGATGGTCTAGAGTCAGGCACTCGGAAGAAGAAGGAGAAGGGAAGTCAAAGGAAGGGGTCCTGTCTAGTACTTAATAAATTTGTTGGTAGGCAGGGGGTTAACGAAGCCGGAAAGTAACCCACCCTCACCAAGAACGTCGAGGTCCAATTGTTGCAGCTTTTTTTCGCCATCGCAAGCAGTTGGAGATGAAATGGGATGTGCAGGTTTGCATGTGCTAGAGCAAACAGACATGTGCTTGTACTAGACCAGGTATCTCTTAGAGCTATTTTGGGTGAGTGGGTACTTGACGTAGCTTCGACGGTTCGTACCTTGTAGTACTTTAATAGCTGTGGCTGATTCCATGCCTTGAATCATCTGTTTCTCATGAGTCTCCCTTCTGATCCGACAGCCCAGGGAAATAAGAAATTAGTTACTGGCTCTCTGAGCTTGATTCTTGGACTTTGTGATTGCCGGCTTATAAATAACATCTCAGCCCCAAGTCAAGCTAATATCCTCGTTATCTTTCTCGTCGTAGTCCTCATCATAAACTTCAGCATCAGTCAATTAATGTAGCAGTGGGGTGCTGGTCGTCTTCGGTGACACCACCAAAGCTCAAGATAATGGGTCGACTCAGCCGCATGCCCTGGATTTCAAATGCCCGTTCCTTCCTCGTTTCACATCTCTTCATGTTCAATAGATCCAATGGAAGGAGAATGCCCGACATTAACTGGGCAGGTACGTATCGCAAAGTTACTCGCGTCGTCCATGCAGCTGCAGGTGGAAAGTGGTTTTTGCATGTGAAAGTGGCTCCTTCCATCCCCCTGTGCCCCTCCCCCCACACTAGCAATAACGCTTGCTTCCCTTTTCTCCAACACCAAATCAAGATGGTCAATTCAGTTCAAGCTCCTCAACAAAATATCTTGACGTTTCTACATGCTGTGGTACTATGAGCCTTACTTACAGCTATGGCAATCATGTGCTAGGGTCAACGCCATGCATTCTTAGCGTTGATCACAGAGCATAGCAATTGGCAAAAGCAAGTTGCGTTCGAACGCTTTAGGTATTCCGAGCGAGCAAGAGATTATCAATTCGAGGCTGCACTGATCTCCACAATCTGGTACAAGCTTATCAGCATCGCCAACAAGCTCCATTGGCACATGAAGACGAAGGGAACGGATTTAAGGGCACGGAAGTTCCACGGAGTATTCAGTACTGTACGGATACCACGCAACTCAATGCAATGCATGCGCAGATAATACAATACGATACAACTCATTCGTCATTATGCGTTTTGAGACGAAGCCTATGCCAATCCGCGTTCCTTCGCGTGCGTTTGCAAGCGCCCGGTCAGCGGTTGTAATCACCAACTGAGGCTTATCTCGAAGTCTATTAAGCTGCAACACAGCAGACTGGGTAGCAATAGCAACCAGCTCGGAGGTTGGATTCCTTTCCCGCCTCGTCGGTTTCAGCCAGACATTTCCGTCAGCTCATTACCACTAAACTTTCTTCGCCACAGAGTAACAATCCGCGCACACGAGAGGCACGTACGTTGCTCCGTTGGTGCGGCCGCATCGTGAAGCATTCGTACTCTCACAAATCTCAAGAAATTGATAAGAGACCAACCATCCTGCTGCCCGACATGACTGATTTCGTTCCATCTGCCGCGGCTCATCTCGATAACAGACACAAGCTTGACGGACGGCCTCGGAAGCCAAGCGAAAAGAATTTAGGTTGCTTCCAGAAAAGCGGCTCTGTCCCAGGGCAGTCGAGTCTCATGGCCGGCTACGAACTTGATTCCTCTTTCGACCATATTTCCTTTGCCGCATCACGTTGATTGAATCGCTCTTATTACCTTATCGACCGATCAGCTGGCTCAGAGCCCCAAGGGTCCCTTGCTCGATGCCCGAACCGACCCCCCTGCTACGTGGCATGCACTTCTTGTTCCCCTGTCACTGAAGTTCTCTACGGCCCACTCGCAGCCACTTTCACATGTCAGGAATTCGACGTCGAGTCGTGGTCTATGAAAGCATCAACCATTAGACAAGAGACCCCCCTTGGGAGCCTGGAGCAAACGAGACGAGCAGCTCGTGTAACCCTGATCGTCCATCTCTGCCCATCGATTTATTGCGCATGCTCGGTTCTGCCAACGGTACATGATATTGCCCTCTTGTAAGTTGTAGTGGCACCGGTCCACTGCGTCAACATTCCTCTCCCAGACCACGGGAACTTTTGGCAGCTGTTGTTCAACGGCGCACGGCAGGATGACTGTTGGAAAATTGCGCGCTCTGATTTCAACCACGTCTCCTGTTGGCTAATCTTTAGTAAGAACCATCCTTCTCCTCGTTCATGCTTCATGTCATTTTGGCATGCCGTGATAACTTCAGCATGCACATCTTCTGAAACATCCATCACTCCACATTTTGGTGCGCGACAGATATCGAAAGACTTGAATATACATGGGTACTGATCCCCTCAATATCACATGTGCAAGGTTGATTGATCTTCCTATCACTATTCTTATCGCGATAATCGCAGCTGAACCTCCCGTCGAGCGATGTGGGCCTTGACTACACCTTGCATCTCTTTCGAGCTAGTCAACAGCCCTACATAACTTACAACAAATTCGTTATTCCCTTCCGCGATATTTGGAAGAACCGCTCACTTTGAAAGATCTGTGTATGCAGGGCTCTGTGTTTTGTGTATAGTCGTGCGAGGCCGCCACGTCCGCTGACTTCAGGCACCGACGGTTCATGTCTCTTGATGAGTTTGGAGAGATGCATTGTTGCGGCAAAGCATTGTGAGTGCTTCGACCTATATCATCGTTCTTTCTATATATATCAAAATGCGCAGATATTTAATATCTGGAGGTTTTTCGTCAACTTTTCAACTTGTTTACCGCATCATCTGCATCGCGAGTTAGTTGCAGTCTGGAACTGATTTATCTCTTGTCAGTTGAGTATATCGCAGAGAAGAATCCAGTTGCTATCAGGGTTCCTTGGTGTCAGACAACAGCCTTATTAGCTCGCACAGCGCTGACATGACGCATCAGACCGCGCAATGCGCACAGATTAAATCTATTTGCCGCTTTTTCATTAGGATCTCCCAATGTCTCAGTTGAGCTCACTCAGTCGTCATTTTTCAAGTCAATCTTCAGTTGAAGAAGGACGTGCCCTACACATCAATGTGTTGGCTTCGAAGCGATGAGTCCAATTGGCTGCATATTCCTTTAGCCGGCGATCTGTGTCTGGCTACAATGCTGTCAGGTGCAAAAATTATGGACTATTAAGCTGCACGATATGATGGATCATCACAATTCTTCTACATCAGTGGCCTCCGCATGTTTGGTGCATCACATGTACCACCATCAAGAATAAATATGCGTCACCAAAAAGTCTGGGATATTCCAATGGGTATAATTATGGCTCTGTTTCGCTATCATGTACTCGATCTGATCTTGTCTTATGATTCTACTCCATCTCGAAGTGCTTCGTTTGAGTTACCTTTGGGTACCGTATCAGATTTGAGTTCATCATGAAGCCCTGCAGCCTTGCCGCTTTGGCGTTGTTTTTCAATCCTTCTTTCTGTCTTACCAAGGATAGGAATATTCATCTTCAATGGACGCTATGTGATCAAGATGCAGAAACTGTCCTGGAAAAGTTAGGCGAGGAAGTTCGTGCTCCTTACAAGAAGAATCCGATCACATACTTCGATACAATGCCACCAACGCACGCTCAACAAGGCATAATGTTTCGCACAAAGGTCAACAAAGGTGACCCTTTTTCTGTCATCAAGGTTCGCTTTGCCGAGAAGCCTGCCCGCCTGCCTCCCAACGCAGATTGTGTCTGGGATCGATATGGAGACTACGTCCCCTATACATGCGGAGCGCGGTATCTGTTGAGCGACAAGACGAAGGATATTTGGAGCGAAGACCAGGTCCGCTTTGCAGAGAAGTACGACGATATTGATTGGGATGGTCTTGTACCATATGGACCATTCCCAGATGGCAAGTGGAAGATAAGGATCCTAGGACACAAAGCCAAGCTCGACGATGTTGTTGCTGGAAAATTGCACCTCATGGAGATTGAGCTGTCGACACCTAGGATTGGATCTGAGGAAGTTTACAACAAGGTTACTGCGTACCTTGAAGAACATGGAGTCATGCTCTGCGATCCTCAACAGTCAAAGACGCTGCGTTTGTTCCGCGACAGAGGGCTCATCGACGATCAGGTGAACGAGGAACTTTGAGAGCGCGTGTATCTGCGCTCAACTCTTGATGTCCAGTACGGCAGTTCTGATGCAAGGTTATTCGCGGCTGGGTCATAAATATTCTTCAAGCATATGTGTTTGTCAGTTTGGTTTCCTCTGCATAGCGCAAGAAGCATTGTCAGCGTCTATTTGTGTAATGGGCATCCTTTCTTTACGACTATACATAGCAACGGCCTTATATAGTACGACGATTGGTAAATGTAGAAAGAAAATATCAAGCCAGTTCTCTTTGGTAGCTTTTGGGATCTTGCTGAGGCTGTTAATCATGAACTCTCACCCACAGTTTAGCGGTTGAACTTATAACCATCTTATACACACGGTGACTAGTCATGAGACTTGATTATTGAGATCCCACCTTTTCCTGAGAATGAATATAAACCGCAGACGTGAAAACGACGTAGTGTCACAATATCATGCAGTGGTACTCACCAATTACCTCATGTGTCATTATCTGTGCGGACAGACTGACTCCTTGTATATTGTTAACGTCCACATAGTTAAAGCTGCTGTCAGTGAATATGCACATAGTGCCAGATTAGGAAACCGCAAACGGAGGACGATATTTGAACACCCCATTCAATACTTCCTGTGTGCTCGGTTCTGCAACCATCGTCATGAAAAGGCATAGGGATGGGGGACCAAGATTACAGAAGTCAATGCGTGATTCCTTCAGCCAGCCACGAGTATTTGGGACTTGCTCACGAATCATCCTCCTCGGAAGGTATTATCAGACTACTACTTCATGTACAAATCGAATGCAATGGTGTTAAGCTTCTGATTAGATCACGACATAGGCACACATCGATAAGGTTTATGTCGTATGAGATAGCGGTTGGTCAAGTCCAATCTTACACTGCCGACTTCGAGTCTTCCACCCTTCACAATGGTGGTACTAACATAAGGGTGCAGATTTTGACCGATTGTTTAACTCCCTTTCCATACGATAACCTTCTCACAAGACAGCTCTTGATGAGGGCTTCAGCTGCCTAGGGGACAACATGCGCCTCGGGACTAGTCAAGTCTCACGCCGAAGCGAGAGAACAAGAAGCATTATGATCCGGTTAGGTATACTTGGTCGGAGATTGCTTCAGTATTGAATCTCCATCCATCCTTTGGGTGGCCATACTTTGATAGCAAAGGTCGAGGCATGTAAGCAATGTGGCCAGAATATGGAGACTATTGCTCCTAACACGCATATATCCCAAGACCAGGTTACCTTGAGGCTGCAGTAGTCAAGCGTTAGAGAGAAATTGCACCTACACTGCAATATCATTAGTGCTGGCTAAGGTGGCTGCAACCGTCATCTTCCATGACAACTCTACGACTCTGTCAAACACCATGTATCCATATATTCGATTTCCACTACGGTACAAAAAGCTTTACAGAGTTTGAAAGGAGGCCCAAGTCTCCACGAAGTTCCGATGGCCCTGAAGTCGTATCAGTGCCATCATCCCAGAGGTTGCACAACCCTGCACTCCTAGCAAGGGAAGAGAACATTCATCATAACCTTGGTAAGACAGTATTCGACATTCCATAACATAGTTATCGAGGCGTACAGATTTCGTTCTCCTTAATCAAGGGTAAAACTAGATATAAATACTTCCATTCAAGTTAGTGATGTACCAAAGTTCGGCCGTAAAAGTCTTATTCAATACATCTTCATAACGCGGAGCAAAAGGTGCGGACTGCAGTCGCTGGGTTATATTGTCTTGAGGACTAGCTGGGTAGGTTGTTACACGTCTGCAATTTCCGGAAATTGCCTTGATGAACCTGATCGAGATAGATTTCAATAGCAGCGGGGAGAACGAAACATCTCAGCCTCACTCTGCTGAGTTCAACAACTCACATTTAGATTGCACAGTTTGGAAGGACGTGTGTGTGAAGAAGATTATCCATTACTATTTCTCAAAGAATGTGAGAAGCAAAGTCCACCACCGAAGTCAGGCCGTAGGCCGGGTATCACCACCATCCCAGAACCCATGTAACCACGAGAGACAACACAGGTCTTGTGCGACGGCAGCACAAGTCTGCCGCCTCCCGTCGTCATCTCCCATGTCAACGCCCCCTTCCTCACCTATCACAAACAGCATCAAAGATTCCATCCGTTCTCTAACATTTCTTGCCGTGACCATTGAAGGAGAGATAAGCCGTATGCATCATTAATAAAGCCTCGAAGAAGAAAAAACCTGACCCGTCATTTCCATTCACCTCATTTCCATTTCTCCATTATGTGAAGATTTTCCCGCAAACCGACTCCTTGCACCGAGGAAGTATGCTAAGGGTCCCAAAAGATCGAGGTACAGGCGCGAATTATGTAACAAACATGTGCCACGTGAAAGCATTAAACGTCAAGATTTGATCCATCCTTGATTTAGAGGAGGAGCATGGCGAGACCAGCAGCGGCAATGACAGCAGCAGGGGCACCAGTCATTTGAGCAGCCTATAGATAGTTAGTGGGTGAAGGAAGGGCATGCGTGCAGGTAAACTTACAGCGTTGTCGGCATCGTCAGTAGAGGTGGCAGTGGACTCGGCATCAGTGCCAGTAGCATCATCAGAGCCCTCGGTAACGGTGGAGGCGTCACTAACGGTTTCCGTAACAGATCCGGACTCAGACTCAGAGCCGGTGGTAACGGTGGTCAGAGTTCGGATGATTTCAGTACCGTCGCTGGTGAGAGTGGTGACCTCGGCGGCATCAGCAGAGTCAGTGGAAGCAGTCTCGGTAACGAGAGTTCGAACAACAGCGGTGCCGTCGGTGGTGAAGGTGGTAACCTCAGCGGTCTCGGACTCGGTCTCGGCAGAGGAAGTGCCAGTCTCGACAGGCTCGATGATGGTAGATCCACCGGAGGTGTAGGTAGTAAGGCCAGCTCCACCGAGAATCTCCTTGACGGTGCTGGTAACCTCCTCACCCTCAGAGTTGGTGAAGACGCTGGTGTAGGTGCTCACAGAGAGATCGTCCTCGTTGGCGTCAGTGGCGGTGCCGCTGATGGTAGAGAGGGCAGAGGTGATGGTAGAGTCACTCTCGGTGAGGGTGCTGAGGACAGTTCGGACGGCGCCAGTGCCAGTAGCAGAGGCGGAGACACTGCCGGCACTACCAGTGGTGATCTGAACGCCAGCTTGGCGGCAAATGGCAAGACCATAGGCGACGACAGCAGCGGCCTGCTCGTCGTTGCAGATAGCAGCGGAGCAGTCACGGAGACCGTAGATGAAGTCGGAGTTGGTGCAGAGGCAGCTAACGTCGCCGGCATCACATCCAAGCTCCTGGGACTTGGCGGCGCTGACCATGTTGCTAGCACAAGTTTGCTGTGGCATATTAGCGATGCGACGTTGGACATTTCAGATCAAGACTTACACCACACTGGGGAAGATCGCCAGAGCTCTGGGCGGTGGCAGCGGCAACAAGGCCGAAGACGGTGAGGAGAGCAGACTTCATCTTGATGGTTGGTTGATTGAGAATCGAAGTCTAAGTTGTGAATTAGTTGAGAACTAAGGCGAGATTTGTAGCGACAGGAAGAAGGCGATAGTAACGAAGGTGGTTGAGCAAGCAAGGCAAGCGAGTAAGAGAAACGAGAGGAAGATGGATAGTGAATCACTGCCAGTAAGGGAGGTGGCCCTGGGGATAAATGAAGTACGAGTCCAGGAGGCCTGCGCCTGAGGCGCGCGAGTGATGTTTGCGTGAGACACAAGGGCACATGTATCACTCGAGGTATGGAAGAGCCGAGAGCAACGAAGTGTGTAGCTCTGAGCACCTCGTAATGTGATTTCCAGTGCTTGCGTTCCGACACCAAATCACACAAGCGTAAAGCTGGAATGGGAGGATTCTGGTTGACAAGCAAAAGTTGCGAACCAAAGGAAAGGGAGAGGGTATCTGGGGAGCAACCAAGCGATGGTAACTTACAGTGATATGTGACAAAGAAGGCGATCGATCTCGTGTGAGAGTGAGACGAAGTGAGACTGGCCCTGAAGGTTGTGGGAGAGGATGTTTGAGTTGTTGGAATGAAAAATCTTGATTGATATTGAGGTGGAACAAGAGGGAGGAAGTTGTTGCTTTAATAAAGGCAAGAAGTGGTGGGCTATGGGAGGTGGGAACCAGAATCCTGATCTTGGCGTGACGGTTGCTTGCGTTGAGCCAGCAGGTGCGAGCAGTGGGTGCTGGTAAGGCAAGAGCAGAGCAGGTGCAAGGCAGGCAAGCTCCCCTGCCTAAACGGTGCAATTCTCAGCTTGGCATGGGCGGTCTGGCAGGGAAAGCACGGCACAACCCTGCCTGCCAACACCTGGCCATGTCTACGTCTACGTCTATCTTGCATGGTAAGGAAACTTCCATCACAAATTGAAGCGTAAATCTGCTAAGCTGGCTTGGAGGCGACCGAGAGCACGGGAGGGGCCCACGCTAACATGCCCCCGGTAACCGAAGCTAAGTTAGTACGGTGGTCCACTCCTACTGCCACGGGCTAAACTAGACTGCCCGGACCGCCAAAGACACGGACGGAGGCCCCTTGTAGCTATGATGCTGTTTACGGGGATGCTTGTCAACGATGGACGGACATTGTGATGAGCCAAGTCAATTCTAATTTGTTTTTCTTTTTTGCTCCGAGCTTCCTTCATGGAAATTGAGTCAATGCAAGCAACACATGCTCAGATTCAGACGTCAATGCCGCGATCCTGAGGTACACAATGAGGTCAGACCTTGGACTGCACGGGAAACGGATCTCTACCTATGCTGTAGGTCACAGTGCTGTATGTAGATACTTGCTTTACCCCTGTCAACAGCAACTTGACCACGTCAGTGAATTTGGTGTAAGTCCTTGCAGCAGGCTCTCAGTTAAGGTTCTTATGGGACAGCAAGCATGCTGGCGATTCTCGAATCTACATGGACCCTTTGCTCCGCTGACAGAATTTTAGTATGGAGCATAAGAAACTGTATGTTTAATGCCACTGAAATACGTTTCAGTATTAGATTGCATCTATTATCAAGGACCAGTTGGAGAAGCAACGAGCTTCAGAGTGGAAAACAAAGAAAAAAGGATGGGTTAGTGGTTGGTTGTTCGTAGCCGGGCGGGCTGCCACGCCAGATCGCCAACCACCCGGATCGGCACCCACTTCATGGCGCACAGAGCTTTAGCCTTTGGAATCCCTCCCAAAACGCAAAAGAAGTAATATTCGCATGTATCTGTTTAACCCGAAACTCGATCTTCTCGCTTGATCTACCATATTTGCTAGTATAGTACGGTATAGTGGCGGTAGTGCGCCTGAGCAACCCGAAGTTTACTTACTATACAGGCCTAGAGGCTAACCAAAGCTTCGTATCTGAGTCGGTCCTACCACTAACTAATCCGTTGAGGCAACAGACAGAGCTGGAGCTAACCGGTCACCAAAGAAAAACTGGATATTTTCTCTGGTCGATGACGGAATTCTTTGGGCGGCCTTCCTCGAGACCGTAAAAAAAACAATCTCGATACCTAAGAGCAGGCAGGGACTCGTGCGCCGAGCCGGAATCACGGCCGCATACAAAAATTTTGAGCATGAAGGAAAGCAAGCATGACGACTGCCAATCTGGGGTACCTGCCTAATTGCTGTACGGCGCCTACCGTATTGTGTTCCTGCCACAGCAACCACAATCCTACCCGTCAATCACGTCCTTGTATCACAGGTTTTCTATCCTGTCTTCCCATCCCCAACTTATCAACTACTGTGCAAGCATCCGACCGATAGCCCACAATATGTGTGATATCGCGTATCCAATCCTCGACAGTGAGATCAATCGTCGTTGGCCAGTGGCATCATGGCTAACTCCGATTCGTCAGTTACCCCTGCAGCAGTCCATCCTTGGCAGTCCCCAAAAACAAGTTCAAGTCAATTCACTGGACTAGCTAACTCTCGATCCCCTGGCAACCGGGAAGGGGAATCACGTTCTTCTTTTTTCCTGGGGAACTTTCTCCTCAATTGAGATGGGATGAGTTAGAGATATGGTGTTGCGAGTGATGAGAGGGTGTGTACATGTCTCAGAGGCAGACAGCGCAAGCAACGGCAATTTGCAATATCATATTTGTTGATTGCCATTTGTCAGTACAATCATCCCAATCCCAGTTTTCATTTCGCATTATTGTCTTATATCAAGTTTTCGCCTAACTTCCACAGCATCGCATTTGCATGAGTAAAATGCACTCATTCTGGATCTTTCGGGGGGCGTCCCCACTCGAACCAACTCATCTCCCCCATTGAACGTTCCACTTACACTGTACCCATAAACATATCAACGTGCAATCGAGCCCGGTGATGCTCAAATTCCCTGTTCAGCTGGCCATGATGAACTGTGCCCAGACTAGCCACGCAGCGGGCCAAGCCACTCCAGCCACAAGCCAAGCGAGCCAAGAAAACCAGGGGTTGAACAAAAAAGGCGGGCCTTTGATGTCATGGATCGCATCATCGTCAGTCTTTTCGCGTGGCCCAAGCTTAACTTCGCAGGCCTTGTCGAGCTGGACCAGCCTGGCCTGGACCTTGTGGTGGAAAGGCTGGACCTTGCGGGTATCCATTCATCCTAACGTCACTCACCACCCCAGCATCCTGAACTCTCCCCCAGTTTCATTTTCATCTGGAAGCAGATGCAATGTTTCCTTCCCGGCCCGTCATCATGACAATCTTGCCAGTTGGCAATTGTCGTTTCATGTTTCCTGCCTGATCATGTACTACCCGTGATCTTCGTCATGGTTGATTGTTGATCTTTATGGAGACGCTTGCTTTGACAGCACGACGAGCAACTGTTACGATAGAGTCGGAACATCGCTCCGGTAACAGCATTTCACAGTTGAGACATGTTGCTCTTTCCAGCCACCGTCTAACTTGCAGCTCGCATATTGTGGCTGGTTCTCCCTTTTGTGTCGCAATGTCTTGTCATCTAATAATCTCATTCGTCAGACTAACACGTCGCCAACCCTCCATCTCAATCTAATTTCGAGGCTGGTGCATACTCTGAAACTGGATTGCTCACGGGAATTGGGTTGCATTCGTGCACCGCAGTCCAATTGCTGTTGGTGTCACGAACTGTGTAGCACACAGAGGTTTGCCCAACTACGCTCCAGGGTGGCCATGTTTACTACTCCTTAGTTTGTTCATTTTGGGTCTGATTGTATGAGCCTCTATATCCTGATGTGTGTATGACTGTTGATTGACATGCGGTGCTATGGAAGATTAGGTTTCGGAAGAAAGAATCGTTGAATCGACTGTTGTGGCTTAACGTTCAGCTTGGTCTGCACAATATGTGTTGGCGCCTAACAAAAGTGCCACTCTCGCAAAGTGCTGTTAGGGTATCGGAAAACTTGATTGCTGAGTAGACAAGGCGAAATGATATTGTAATTTTACTCTAGTTTAGACAAAACTTTATGCCATGTGCTTGCATGACCCTGAAGTCTGAAAAACATGTTTTCTCATCCAAACTGGAGTGATCATGAATTGAGTTTCTGGATAGTCTCGTTTACCCTAAACTGAGGGCAAATACCTGGTTCCAGAGTCGTCACTGTCAATGTACACGTCGAAGTCGCATCTGCACGTAGATGCTTTTCAGGGGAGGAAATATATCAAAAAATAATTATTCAGAGATGCAAAAGCACCAGCGTACACTATCTATATCATGTACTACAACTCAAAGAGCAGGCCGCCAGGGTCTCAAATAGCAATATCCTAACAATGTACTCCAGTATAAGCATGCCCAAGGGGGATCGTTGCCGCCCAGCATACCCATACACGATCAAACATCAAGTTCCAAGCCATATTATCTTTCCTCGCTTTATCGTATCATTTCCCTCCCAAACATGCAACTCGTCGATTGTCGTAAAAACACATGCAAAAGATCATACTGTCATCTAACCACTGCACATGATGCAGGACTCGGGATCCTCAATGCTACATTGCAGGACGGCCTCTGAGTAGATATCGCGTTCACGATCCTCATTGTCCTTGCCTAGGTCCTCGGACTGAGGGTTTTTCTTGACGCCCAACTCTTCCTCCTGAACCTTCTCAGCAGGCTCAGTGGGAAGGGCCTTGGGGCTATCGCCCTCCGCAACATCAGCCTTGATGACGGGAGCACGGCCGGGAACGGATGTGCTGCCATTGACGCCATTGGCGGAGTTGCCGTTCAATCCGTTGTCCTGAGAACCAGTCCTGCTGCCATTGAGACCAGTGCGGCCCATAGCAGAAGGCGAGGACATCAGGTAGCTCGAGCCGGCAGGAGGGGCACGCTTCTTCAAGGGCTTGATCTGAGCAGAGCTAGAATCGGCAATCTTGAGAGCTTGCTGATCGACAGTGAACTGAATAGGGGCAGCAGCAGCCTGTGTACGGAGGTAGTACATGCCGGTCTTGAGACCAAGCTTCCAGCCAGCGAAGTGCATGCTAGTGATCTTGCCCATGGTAGGATCCTTCATGTGAATGTTGAGAGACTGAGACTGGTCGATGAAAGCACCGCGGTCCGCAGCCATCTGGACAACCTGTCGCTGAGAAATCTCCCACACTGTCTTGTACAGAGCCTTGACATCGGCAGGGATGTTGGGGATGTTCTGGATAGAACCGTTCTCGGCAATGATACGGTTCTTCATGGCATCAGACCAAAGTCCCATGTCGACAAGATCCTTGAGCAGCCAGGGGTTGACAACCTGGAACTCACCAGCAAGGACTCGGCGCTGGTAGATGTTGGAGGTGTAGGGCTCGAAGCACTCGTTGTTGCCAAGAATCTGGGAAGTACTGGCAGTAGGCATAGGAGCAAGGAGCAAGCTGTTGCGGATACCATGGGTCTTGACATCCTCACGAAGGGTCTCCCAGTCCCACAGATCAGAGGGCTTAACGTTCCACATATCGAACTGGAGGATACCCTCGGAGGCAGGAGAGCCCTTGAAGGTGGAGTAAGGACCCTCCTCCTTGGCGAGCTGGACGGAGGCAGTCAGGGCAGCGTGGTAGATAGTCTCGAAGATTTGCTTGTTGAGCTCACGAGCCTCAGGAGACTCGAAAGGCATGCGCAGAGCGAGGAAAGCATCGGCAAGACCCTGGACACCGAGACCGATGGGTCGGTGACGCATGTTGCTGTTGCGAGCCTCTTGGACAGGGTAGTGGTTCACATCGATGATCTTGTTCAAGTTGCGGACAACAACTTGACTGACCTCGTGCAGCTTCTTGAAGTCGTAACAAGCGTCATCGTAGTTGATGAAAGAAGGAAGCGCCAGAGAGGCAAGGTTGCAAACAGCGACCTCATCAGGGGCACAGTACTCAATGATCTCAGTGCACAGGTTGGAGCTTCGGATGGTACCGAGGTTCTTCTGGTTGCTCTTACGGTTGCAAGCATCCTTGTAGAGCATGAAGGGGTTTCCGGTCTCGGTCTGGGCCTCGAGGATGGCATACCAGAGCTTCTGGGCCTTGATAGACTTGCGACCCTTGCCCTCCCTCTCGTACTTTTCGTACAGAGCCTCGAACTCCTCACCATAACAGTCGGCAAGACCGGGGCACTCGTTGGGGCACATGAGGGTCCATTCTCCGTTCTTTTCGACACGCTTCATGAAAAGATCAGGGATCCAAAGGGCAAGGAACAGGTCGCGAGCGCGGACTTCCTCCTTACCGTGGTTCTTTCGGAGATCAAGGAAGTCGAAGACATCCGCGTGCCAGGGCTCGAGGTAGATGGCGAAAGCACCAGGTCGCTTGTTGCCACCCTGGTCGACGTAACGGGCAGTGTTGTTGAAGACACGCAACATGGGAACGACACCGTTGGAAGTACCATTGGTTCCGGCGATGTAGGAGCCAGTGGCACGAATGCGGTGGACGTTCAAGCCAATACCACCAGCCATCTTGGAGATCATAGCACAAGTCTTGAGGGTATCGTAAATTCCGTCAATGCTGTCCTCCTTCATATCAACAAGGAAGCATGAAGACAGCTGAGGCTGAGGGGTACCAGCATTGAAGAGTGTGGGGGAGGCGTGAGTGAAGAACTTGCTGGACATGAGGTTGTATGTCTCCAAGACTCGCTCAATATCGTCACCCCAGATACCGACAGAAACACGCATAATCATGTGCTGAGGACGCTCGACGATCTTGCCGTCGATCTTGAGAAGGTAGGATCGCTCCAGGGTCTTGAAGCCGAAGTATTGGTATTGGAAGTCTCGGTCGTAGACAATGGCGGAGTCAAGCTCCTCCTTATGTCTCATAACACACTCATAAGTCTCCTTGGAAATCATGGGTGATGCCCGGCTGTTCTTGGGGTTGACATAGTGGTAGAGGTCGCTCACAACGGCGGACCATTGCTTCTTGGTCTGCTTGTGAAGGTTGGAGACGGCAATACGGGCTGCGAGGATGGCGTAGTCAGGGTGCGTAACAGTCATGTACGCAGCAGTCTCTGCAGCCTAGAGGAATCAAGTTAGCTGACGTCGAAACAGGTCCAATGCATTTGTCACTTACGAGATCGTCCAATTGGACAGTTGTCACACCGCCGTAGACACCGGAGATGACCTTTTGAGTGATAGCAACAGGATCAACGTGGTCCATGTCGAGGCCGTAACACAGTCTCGAGACACGGGCAGTGATCTTATCGAACTGGACACGCTCTTGGCGTCCATCTGAAATTCTTGTCAGTGACCATGAGTCTCCAAGTTGTCTGATGGTACATACCTCTCTTTCTAACAAACATGATGGCGGATAGAGGAAAAGGCGGGGAGGTCGTAAAGGAGGTGAAGCAGGTTCTGGTCCTGCAGATGGAAGCAGTTAAGAGGCCAAAGAGCGTCTAGAAGGGTATTGACGCTTTGTTGAAAGGGAACGTGAGAATTATTACAAGATTTTCCAGTGTTTTGTTTGTGGTTGTTGAGGAGATGAGATTTGCAAATTTGGGCGGATGGTCGATGTGGTTTTAAGGAGGCGCGTCTACCATACGCGACGCCAAGTTTTTAGCGCGCCAAACAGTGACAGGGTCGACCAAATCCATTAAAAAAGCCCCGCCTGAAACCTAAGGCAACGCCCCGTTTAGAAGCTGGGACTTGGAGAAGAGACTGATCAAAGCTGGTGATTTATGTGAAATTTAGGTGATTACTGGCTTCATTGGGTTAAGAAAGCGTTCAGGCAAGCATATTTATTGCTATTGCATTCATTTTCTGCCCTACAACATCACTATCCCACCTCTCCTTTCCAATGTCGCGGTGTCGCGCCCTCCGTGTCATTTTGCGTTGCCAGAGCGTTGGTGGGGTTTCAGAGGGGTCAGACAGCGGCGCGAAATCACGTGAAGTCATTGCAAATTATTAATTGCATGTGTCGGCTCTGTAAGCAAGTGGTGGAATTACGTCTGAGCTTGGACAGCGCAGGTTGACTGGAGGATGAGACCTTGACCTTGATGAAAACGTACTCACCAACCAATCAACACCCTGTATCGAAACTACCTGCCTGAGTTGGTGACGCTCTGGCCTAAAAAAGACATCTAGAGTACAGCAGTTGCAAGGCAACAGGACATTCAGTGACTCACCATTGAGTTGAATAAAGACAGTCAGAGTCAATGACATCGAGACGTCTCTTTAATTGCTTTCAATCTTCAATTACCAGCAGTTTCAGGACCTCAAGTCTTAGATTCCAAGCCTCACACTTTCGCAACATGGCTTCATCTACAACAGTCCAGCCACCTAATGGCCCCAGTTACGAACCCAGATACATCGATGTATGTCAAAATTCCGGTTGATTCTACTATATCCGGCCGATTAGTCATTTCCGAGATCAGATCCCGTTAACACATGACGTGTGCCAGTAGATTGGTATCAACCTTACCGATCCCATCTTCCGAGGAAAATACCATGGCAAAGAAAGACATCCCGATGATCTCGATGCCATTATCGGAAGAGCCCGTGAAGTCGGATGTACGAAGCTCATAGTTACCGGCTCGGATTTGGGCAACTCCCGAGACGCCCTCACCCTTGCCAAAGATTATCGTAAGTTTGACCCCTGTTTATCAATCTGATAATCTAACTAACTCCTGTCAACAGCCGGGACCATCTTTGGAACTGCAGGCATCCATCCCTGCAGCAGTGCCGTCTTCAGTGAAGCGGGTCCCTCTCATGAGTCTGAGCACACAACACCATGCGACCCTGATCCTGAGGCTCCGGTCTCGGAAGAGCATCCTCCCTCTTCGGAGAAGACTGAGAAGCTCATTGCAGATCTTACATCTCTTGTAACAGAGGCTCAGGCCTCAGGCCAGAAGAGCCTTGTTGCAATGGGAGAGTTTGGTCTTGACTATGACCGTCTGCACTATTGTTCCAAGACTATTCAACTTCACTCCTTTGCTGCCCAGCTCAAGGTCGCTGCTACGATATCTCCCCAGCTCCCGCTGTTCTTGCACTCTCGTGCCGCTCACGAGGATTTTGTCCGGCTTCTGAAGGAGGCGTTTGGTGAGAAGCTGGAGAAGCTAGAGAAGGGTGGTGTGGTGCATAGTTTTACTGGCACAGCTGAGGAGATGCGTGAGTTGATGGACTTGGGACTGTACATTGGTATCAACGGATGCAGCTTCAAGACAGTTGAAAACTGCGCTGTTGTTAAGGAAGTTCACCTCGACCGTCTTATGATCGAGACTGATGGACCTTGGTGCGAGGTCCGACCAAGCCACGAGGGTTACAAATACCTGATCGAAAAGAAGAAGGAGGAACCTGCTCCTGAAAACGAGCAGAACGGGACTGACGCTGCTGAGCCTGCGAAGAAACCTCAAAAGCAGTCTAAGAAGAACCAAAAGAAGGAACCTGAAGTCCCTGAACGATACAAGATCGTGAAGAAGGAGAAGTGGGAAGAAGGAGCCATGGTCAAGGGGCGCAACGAGCCCTGCAACATTGAGCGAGTCGCCAAAATCATCGCGGGAATCAAGGAGGTTAGTATCGAAGAGGTTTGCGAAGCAGCATGGAAGAACACAGTAAAGGTATTTGGACTTGAAGAGAAGTAAGAATTGATCGACGTGTTGATCCGTCGTGGGGGTATCATATAGAGAGAGAAAAGACATAGACCATGCGCCATATAGATCCAACAGCTTTTCACATACCAGAGCCTTTGTGCCCGCGTATCCGTCCGTGCCTAACCAGTCCTGTTGTTACTCCCTCCTCGCCCGTCATCCAACCAGGCATCTTCTCTCCATCTATTATCCCAGCCTCAACAAGTTGGCGTACGCCGGCCCAAACATGATTGCCGGAGAATGAAATTTTGATGGTGGGCGTCCACCTTTGGGACGTGGTCGCATCATTTCTGCCGTCCTCTTCCGTTGCGACATTCGCCTCTCGAATGACTGCGTCAATCTTACTTTTCCGTCGACTTTTCCTGCCATCCTCTGCACCATCCTCGTTGCCGCTGTCATCTGCTTCGCTCAAGTCCACATTTGTAGGGAATGGATCTTGTATCACAATGTCAACCTTTTCGACCCCCTTTCCATCTGTGACAATGCCCGTATCACCAAATCGAGCTTTGGCAGCAAGTCTTGCCTTTTTCGATGCCTGTTGTCGTTCAGTCAAAGGCGCTCCGCGCTTGAGGCTGGTAAATGATGAGTCCCGAGATAAGGGTGGGCTTGGAAGAACAGTGTCCAACGGCGATACTTTTGTTGATTCGTTGGTATAGATGCTCCAGCCGCCACCTGCAGCGTTCATGCGCCCAGATCCCTTCTTTTCTAACAAAGCATCCAAGTTCTTGCTTGAGAGGTTCCCTGATTTGAGTGTGTATCGTTCACGGGGACGTGAAAGAGCCTTAGGAACGCCATCAACAATCAGACTTTGTAAACTCTTGGATTCGCCTGAGCCAGCAGAGCCAGTGCCTTGAGACTTGGTGATGTATAGTGAGGGAGAACCGTCAGGGAAAGCAATGTACACAGTTCGTGACGAGTCGAAATTGGTCGCACCACCAGCGTCTCGGCCTGATAGAGCAGAACCAGTGTTGTAAGGTGAGTCAACAACGAATATTCGCAAGATCAAGACAGGTATATCTTTTGGTCTGTGGAAGTGATAATGTGCCTTCACGTCTGGTAGCACATGAGTCTGAAGGTTTTGTAGGAATGTTGATGGGTGGAAGCGTGGAACCTTCAGGTTCTCTTTGTCGACTTTAAGCAATTGGTCCTCGCCAGCATCATGAGAAGGTTGTTTGAGAGGTAGAATCGAATATGCCGACCATTTTTGAGATGTTGGATTCTGCTCGAAATATGCCATATCTGCCATGGCCAGTTGATATAGCGTTAGGCCAATCCTCCAGTCGCCCTCCACGATTCTACTAACAACATCTCGTTTTGACCCTTTTTGTTGTTGCATGTCAATGTAAAGTTGTTGAAGATCGTCAATGGACTGACAAGGAGGATAGAGGTCATCGTCTGCTTCATCGTCCTCATCTCTCCTCTCAATATAGGGCACGGCATTAGGTAGACTCTCATCGTCAAGCCAGTCTAATGCCAAGGAAATAAGTGCTTCTCGTGATAGTCGGTTGAGACTCTTCACAACAGCAGGATTGGTCGCATCAATTCGTAATGAGGACGGTAGCCTTGCTGTCGTTGGTACTGAGAAGCGGGCCATTGTTGTTTTGTTTGTTTTTATAACGAGTCACAAAGACTGAAAGTCAGCGCTCGAAGCAAGTCATACGCAAAATAAAACCACAAGACTCTTCCTCTGATTGGTGTTTAGTTGAGGCAGGGGTTTATTGATCTCTTAGTATAGACTGAGCCAATAATTAATGCTTAGACATACTCATGAGACGCGATACATTCACTTGAGGTCGCGTCTGCAATCAGACCAACCAGGAATAGTGAGAAGCACGGGCCAAGAACAAGTAAACAGCCAGCGGATGTCTGGCCGAATCCGATCACGTGCCATATCATGTGATTCTTCCGATCTTGAAAGAATGATGTTGACAAAGCAAGCCTCTCCGTCAATACTGTCACAACCAGAATGGCAAACACTGCCATCTCTCAAAAGATATCTCGTCGCGTCTCATCTTCCGCTTTTCTTCGGTATACGTAGTAGGAACTCACTCAAAAAAGGAGTCGAGGCCAAAACTCGGTTTTAACATTGAGTGGACTCGGACGTGAGCGTGGTCCGATTCGGAGAAGCGATTCGTCTCGATTGATTGGTTGAGAGTTTTCAGTGTCTCATGGCTCTTGTCACAACCTAGATAACGTGGTTTCACCATCAAAGGAAAACCATTCCGAAAACCAAAGACGCTACGATGACTGGCTCATCAAAGTATTAGACTTGTGCAAAGACTGACAAGGGCCAAACTGCCCTGATGCCGATGGGTGTCACCGTTGGACTTCATCATGACCTCGACCTCGACGTGATGGAGGCGAATCATTGACGACACCGTGGGCCAGGCTGGGAATTGATTTTCTGCAACCGTCCAGGACTCTCTTTATTGGCCTTGCGAGACTTCAGGGCCCCCACGTAAGCGGATGGCAGGGGCTATGACGTTTTGACTTGAGTCTGCAGATCGGTTCGGCAGATTTCGACAGCTTGGGACCGCAGACGCGCTGTAAGAACGAAGCTATTGTACAAGCTACAGAATCGTCGACAGGACCAATACGTCCGAAGTGCGGCAGAGTACGATGCTATCTTTCACGGCCTCGAAAATATGTGTCATAGTTTTCCTTTAGTGATCTGGGGCCGCAGGCAAGCGAGTTGCTTTTCAAACTGGAGACACTTTCTTTTTTGGAGATTGTGCTGGGGCCCCATTTTTGACGGGGAGTTCACGGAAGATTTGCGGATAAAGGTTCCAGGGTGAAAGAGACCCTTCGGACTTGATCCAATAGCTGCAAAATCACCAACCAACAAAAATGAACGCCTTGGCTGGTTTCGTTCAGGCGTGCAGAATAGATTGGTACGCTCGGTCCCTTTGGAATTCGTGAAGGATTCACTGCACAGCCAGTACCAGCTTCGAGAGAGTCCCTTGAGGCTGAACCCAATCTATGCACAACGACAAAAGAACATGTCTCAGCTGAGCTGTCCCGGTGCGTAATCGAACAAGAGGCGATTGAACCGTTGGCCATGTATGTAAGTGGGGGCAAAGTCAGGAACTCGTCTACAATCATCACAGAGGCTTTTGGCCCGATCTTGCAGTAACTTTGGGTTTCAATGAGAGGGGATTCATTCTGGAAGGCCAACCTCGTCGTGAACAAGATTATTCATCCACTGGGCGTCAATAGTTTAAAATTGCTTGTGCGCGGATTTCTTTCACCGATTTTTCAGTCCAGTGCAGGAAGCTAGAATTGGCGAAAATCAAAGACACAGCCTTGTAACGATAGGGTTAGTTGACTCTCATGTCTGAGAAGAACATACAACTCCCCGAGGCTGTCCGAATCCGCCCACCTGCAGAGAAGGAACTGGGGCGGTTGTGTGACCACGTTCCAGAGTGGCATGCCAAGTTTCGATTTCCCTTCTCTGTCGAGTGAAGTACGGTACATCGTCTGCTGTACGACTCCAATTTCAGCAACATGTGCAAGTGGGGGTATTGGAGTTCTTTTCCCTCATTCCCTGCCGCCCAAGAACGAACTCATAAGCGGCGATGAAACGAACCGACCCACGCTGACTGCATTTCTGCAAGATAATCACTCATAAAAATAGAGAGATTGGTTGTGTCTGAGCTTGGCCGTTCAAAGTCGGAGATAGAGAAGGTATCCGCGAAATAAGAGATATCCACGTCTCCAGACTAGCGACAGCCAATGGACAGGGGGCGGGGAGTTGGAATTTGAGCACACAACACTTGTCTTTAAAATACAGCGCAATAAGTGAATTGGCTGTTGGACAGAAGTCAACATCAATTCGATACATGTTGCCATGCTTAATGTATAGTATAAAGTCAATCGCTTCCTTCTCACAGCATAAAGCTCACTGCAGCGGCTTCTTGCTGTCTCGGCCCTGCTTGCGCCTTAAAAACAACATTCGTATGCCGAATAAGGTAAAAAGAGCCCAACGCAGGGTCCTGGTGCAACTTCGGTGGTCATCCGTGGAATATGGCATGGGGGGTGTGATGAATGATCATTGATGCGAGGGAGGGACTTGGGAGTCCATGACGGCTGGAGCTCCGGCTCATGTGTGATTGTTAAGCAAGCCGCCGGCCCATGCAGGTAATCCTGATCGAGCTGGCAGCTTGGTAAGCAAAACTTTCTGTGCTCTTTGCTCTACACAAAGCCCGCTATTGAGCAACGAAAGAGGTAATGCAGTAACATGTGAGATACAACAGGAAAGCAAAATAGAGTATAAACAAAGAATAGTAACAAAGATAGAGTCGCAATCATCTTGACATGAACATTGCGACATACACACGGTTTTATTACTGTACTCTTCCATTCGCCAGATGCCCCATGTTCTAGGCCACCATCTCATCGTTGAAAAGGCTGGGTCCTCGTTTACAACTAAGCCTCCGACTCCAGGAGGGGCCCTTTGCCATCCAGTGACTGTGCTCAGCTCACTACCCACTAACCCACCACCCACGGGCTCCCCAAACAACAACCCACTCCACTAAACCCATCTGCGTAGTGGCTTCGGCGTCAATCGGCTTCCCAAGTTGCATCCACTTTGAGAAAACCGACTTGACTTGCCTTGACCCCAGCGCCCTTCTTTCCTTCCTCCACTTCCTCCTCAAGAACCTCCAGAATCAACCTCGGAATAGACTCATTGTTCATATTGAATCTAAGAAACGACGACGATACGACGATACACGTTCGACTTTTTACCGAGTACGCGGCTATCGATTTGGGACTGACTGATATCATTGAGTCACCCGCAGCCGTTGGCAAATTTGCCTGCACAGACCCCGCTCATCCTCGTTGAGCCGCCTTCGGATTCGATATCGAATCATCGACTACCGTTTGATTGAAGACACTTTGAACAAGTAATTGGTGCTTGGAAACCCAATTCAAGGGGAAAGAACTGGCCTCGAATCATTCATCGAAATGACAAACTTCAACGGTCGCCGCGGCCCCAACGTGTCGCAATACCTTCGCGACCTCAACGCCATCAACCGTCAAGAGACTGCTCACGACGAGCCTTTCAACATGGAGGAGGACCTCGCTCTTTTCACCAACACTCAATTCTTCGACTTTGAGACTGGTCAGAACACCGATTACCAGGCCCACCCCGTCAAGGTTGACTTGGAGGCTCCTCAAAGCACCTCCCCTTCCGATGGAATGACTCCGGCCCCCTCTGTTGTGGGTGATATCACTGCCGGCAACTTTGATTTCATGCAGGGTGAGTTTTTGATATCCTTGCGTTATACGACACTTCCCACCTTGAAAACATGGTAAACTGGAGATTGAAGGGGTGGAGCACATCAATGAGAGGGAATTGCGACAACGAGCAAATATCGGTGCATTATTGTTTTATCACAAAGCAGAAGTTCTCTTGAGCCTTTGCCCTATGGTATCACCAATGATCGAAATTTCGGGTTGAGCCAGTCATTTCGGGTTCTCACTGATGCTCTGCTCTTCACTCCACCATACATACATACATATGGCTACAGTCCAAGCGGATAGCCGGAATCATCACATCTGACACCTGGTCCGAGAATGGGCAATGAGAAGCGTCTTACCGCCTCACTAACCGTTAACTCTATTTACCCCCACCCTCCCTTGAGACCATTTGTCCCAACCTGCAGGCCTGCATGCCGCCTTCTGGTCATTAGGGATAAGCTGTCCCTTGATGCTAGGCTGTTCAAGTGCGGCCCAAGTCTAGGATCCCAAGCTCAATGCTAGTGGCTGCATAAACGATGGTGTCTATGGCGCAATATCTCGTGATTTGCCGACACTAATCACGACATCACTATGCATCCCTGCACTTCACTACCACTTCCCAAGTTGGGATAGGCTCTTCCCCAGATCTCCAGCACTTCTGCAATACACAATGGCTACTCTTCAACTCCGCAAGCCTACTATCTTCTTTACTTCAGCCATGATAGACTCTTCTCGACATCAACTGACCACAATACCATGGCAGGCGACTTCAGCTTCCCCGACTTCACCAGCACTTATCCTTCAACCCCCATGACCGCCTTTGCCGATGGCACTCAGAACTTCGCTGCTATGCAGCCTAGTGCCCCCGCGAGCTACCAGCCTGTACCACAACAGCAGCAGGCTCCTCACTTCGCTCAGCCAGCTGCCCCTCAGCTTCCAACCGAGAGGCGCGACTCCGAGACCTCCCCTGGCGCTGGTCGTGGATCTGTCAACTTGGAGGAAGCTTCCCGTCATGCCGCTGAGGAAGATAAGCGAAGACGCAACACTGCTGCCAGTGCTCGCTTCCGTATCAAGAAGAAGCAGCGTGAGCAAGCTCTTGAGAAGTCCGCCAAGGAGATGTCCGAGAAGGTTTCCGTTCTAGAGAGCAAGGTGTCACAACTCGAGACCGAGAACAAGTGGCTCAAGAACCTCTTGGTTGACAAGAACGAGGGCAACGATGAGATCGTTGCTTTCTGGAAGGAGTTTCTTGCATCCAAGGCTGCCGACAAGCCCGAGTCAAAAGCCAAGTCCCCCGTCAAGGAGGAGACAAGGTGATTGCGACAAATCTATAAAAGTGCAGCGAAATCCTGGGTCGACCTTTAATGAAGAAGGCCGACGGCGTTCTTCTGGCTCGTTTTGCATCTAGTGGGGGCTATGCGGCGTTTTCTGATCTTTTCAACAATATCTGGGGGTACAAGGAGCATGATGATGATACATTGGGCACGGCACATACACAACATAAAAATCACGCGAGGTATAGTGAGGGGACGTTTTCAGCGGATGAGAGGTATGATGGATATACATTGCACGAGCTGCATTTGCAGCAACTGATAGAGACCAGTCCCTGGGTTCATGCAACAGGACAAACTGGCTGGAATTCTTTGTTTTGACTTGTCATGATATCAACGGGTATACGATATATCGTTTCCGTAATTAGTTTCTTATTCCATGTTCAACACTTTTTGGTCCGAAGAAACCATGCTTTGAAAGCCAGTGTTTATTGAGTTACTAATAGAACTCTTTCACATCCATATATGTTCCTTATTCGCTTCCCTGCATGCCGTAACCATGAACCTATGCCTCATTGCGTATCCCATTAACCAAATATGAACCTTGCAAGCATCTGTTATCCTCTCACTTCTGTTGCTCCGCCTCCTCAGCTGCCTTCTTTTCTTTCAAAACATCCATGCGTTCCTTATTCCTCTTTCCCAACAATCTCAACGTCTGTGCCTTCTCATGCTCCGTCATCCCCGCCCAATTCCCAATCCTGCCCATCGTTCCATCTCTGTTCACTACAAGGGGACCCATGGCATCCAGCGCGACGGATTCTCCAACGCGCAGCTGAGTCGGGCCATCATTGGCAGCATCTTCGGGGGCCGGTAGAGGTAGCGGGTTCTTGTTATCCTTGCTCTCTTGCTGAGCAGGCTGTTGTTCGTCCTTGGACATTGTGCTGGAGAAGCGGAAGGTTGATGGTGTGTAGTAGTTGTTGGTGTTTAGGCGTGTGATAGCGAAGCGTGGGAAGCGCTTGAGCATAGTGTGGTTGAGATGTATTGTGTATGACTTCACTCAATGAGTGAAAGTGACTGGCAGAGATATCAAACCTCTCGTTGAAATGCTTGAGATTTAAGAGATTATAGAATTGAGCTTTAGTTTGATGAGCTATCGTGAATTATAGTGAAAGAAAGAGGAGTTGTAAGTGAGGCGCTGTTTGGATTGGGTTTGGAGTAGGATAGAAAAAAATGGAAGCCAATAGTCGAGACGCTGACCACTAAGAATGGATCCCTGGGTTTGTTCTAGAACTAACCGTGTTACTCACTGGCCGCATTAACAGAGAAGCGAGAAGACGAAAACACATGAGCTGACTATTTTATCAGCTAATTCTATACAGTTCTAAGTTGCAACAATATTGTATTGGTTTATTTCCACGTTCGAATAAGTTCTCTTGTTTGACTGTGGGTCTTGATCCAACTCCACGATCCCCGGATCAATTCATGGGACACAGAATGCTATGACTGTGCCACTGCACGGTTATCTCTACATGATACGGGAGACACTGCTATACTCTCGTCAATCTAATGGGATGCCACACTTTGTTCAGATAAATTGTACAATAGGGATGGACATAATTGTCTAACAAGGCCCTATAGACCCTTCCATCTATCAAGAGGTACTTCTTTCAAACCATGTATCAGGGACCTGAATTCGGTTCATTGATAGAAACCATACATCTTCAGCGCATGACAGTCGTCGTAACACATAACCCGTCTCAAAGAGACATCTCACAGACCGTAGAGACTGACATGGTATACTGCATGTCAACAGTTTAGGCCACAAAGCACAATGCAATAGTCTTGCAAAGACCAATTGTTCTGTACTCAAAATCCTGGCCATCCGTGAATGGCCATTTAGTGAAGCTTGCGGTGCCTATGTCATATTAGCCCTGCCATTTGGAACGTCCACAAACTCCTGCAATGCTTACTTGGTAACAACACGCTCGATGGCGTCCATTCCCATCTTGAGAATGTCCATACGAGGACCGTATGACAGTCTCACGAAGTGATGGCAAGGGGAGTCGAAAAGGTCACGACGGCGCGAAGGGTTGAGATCAAAGAAGATACCAGGCACCACGATGACCTTCTCCTCCAGACAGGCCTGGAAGAAGTTGAGACCGTCGGCAATAGAGTCGGGGAGACCCTCGAGGTTGAGCCAGCTAAAGAAATGGTTAGGCTAGTGGAGAGACAATCTGGAGTGATTCAATGACTTACAGGTAGAAGGTCGAGTCGGGCACGTACTTGATGACGAAGCCCATCTCACGGAGACGTCGAACAACAAAGTCACGCTTTTCCTAGGATGTGTTAGTACTTCCATGTCTCGACTATTGAAGTTAATAAAGGCTTACTCTGAAGTGAGACTGAAGGTGGATCATCTCATTGCGAACAAGTTCGGGCTCGAGCATAGGAATAGCGGCCTCCTGGAAAGGATGCGAGGCACCACCGTCCAGGTAAGAACCACATGAACCAATACTGTTGTTTTGTTAGTCAGGATTGGCCATATTTAAGATAAATCATGAAAAGCAATTTCATGCAGCCCAACAAAAGCTCAAGGGCTTGGGTGACAACTCACGCATTAATGTACTCTAAATGAACCGAATTAGCTTTCTTTTCATGACTTTGGGTTATGATGAATTGGATTGTGCTTACCCTTAGGTCCCAAGATCCAGGCAATTCTCCAGCCAGGCAGGCGGAAGCGCTTGGTAAGACCATCAATGATCAGGACATCATCCTCGTTAACATCCTCAACGTTCTCAGCAGCACTGATGGTGCTTCCCGAGCAGTTGTCGGCGTAGTAGTATCCGGAATAGAATTCATCGGAGATGAATGTCGCACGGTCTCGACACAAGTCTTGGATCTCGGCAAGTTCGGGGTTGACAATCACACGACCGGTAGGGTTGCGAGGGTTTGATGTGAGGATAACGGAAGTACCACGAGCAATCTCTTCAGCAATCTTGTCGGGGTGAATATGGTAGCCGTCCTCCTCAGACAGGGGCACGGGAATGGCAGCAAACTATGGGAATCTGTCAGCACGCATATCGTGACAATATCAAAACTTATTCGCCAAGAACTTACGTTCTTGAAAAGACTCAGCATTTCATTGTAAGCCGTGTAATCAGGCAAGAAGAAGGACAGGTATGAGTTGCCCAAGACAGCAGCGATACGGATGAGACCAGCACGGCCACCAGGAACGATAGCAACGTTCTCCCAGGTATACTGACTCTCCTTGCCCTGTCGGTGAGCCTCGTTGTAGAGCTTCGCAACAGCCTCTCTCAGGGGCTTGATACCAGCTGTAGGACCGTACTCTCGGCCGGCCATAGAGACGTTAATGGTGTCCGGGCGGGGGAAACAACCTTCGATGTCGTCCTCGACTTCGGGAGCACCCTGGCCAAGGTTGGCCCAGGCATCAGGGTCGTCGAGGTAGCCATACTCGGAGGCTCGCTCTGTGCACCAGATAACACCAGTGGATGATCGGCTGGCGTCGAGGCCGGCGTGAGGCATGTGACCCTCATGGGCGTTTCGGAACTGACGATGGACCTTGGATTGGTATTCTGTTTAACCTCAATTAGTATTTCGTCGTTTTTGCATAGTAGTTGCAAGCTATGTTCTGATCGTGGATTGGGCAATGACGTTGTGGGGAGCTGCAGCCAAGCTCCTGTACAGCTCCAGGTGTAAGGCGGGTTTGGAGGGGTAACTAAGGCCAGGATAGAGGGGCAGCCATGATGGCAGGGATTGAAGAGGGGAAAAGCGAGAGCCCAGCAAGGCGATGCACAGCAAATGCAACGCCCCATTGGCGCCGGTAGTCAAAAGGCGGGACGGTGAGGGGAGGTGAGAAAACGGTGAAGAGAGTAGATGAGGGTTTTGGCGATGGCTCATGAGAGTCTCCAGAGCTCAGGGAGCTTGGATACAGAGACAGAGCTGGGGCGACACAGCCCAGGGCAATGTCTCGGAGTCCAAGACGAGCCAGAGCAGGCATGAGACAATACCGGGCCGAGGAGAGACATAAACGTACCGTTCATCGAAGGTTCGGTGGTACTGAAACGGCGGGTGAGCACCTTGGGCTTGGGTTCGCCAGTATGGCGGTTGATAGAGAACTTGCGTCCGCTAAAAGACATGATGGGTGGTGGGTAATAGGAACACGACTCAATATAGGTAGGAAGGAGTTTCGCAAAGATTTAAGGAAGAATTCAGTTATGGCTCGAAGCCAAAGCAAGTGATGATGATGATGAGTAAGTAGTAGTTGCGAGGTCCCGCCTAAGTTTTGGGGGATAATGGAGCTCTAGCTTAGTGAGGTCCAGTCATGCAAGTCACAACGTAGTAGTCGCGACAGTGCGAAGAGAAAGAGTTGGTGGTAAAGCGAAAGAAAGAAGGAAGAGGAGGAAAAAACAAGGAGGATGGATTTACGGGGGATTACATGTAACTTTAAACAAGTGCAGAAGAAAAGAAGAGAAATCAGATCGGTCACCGAAAAATTAGGTCGGGGGTGGAACCTGGAGCCTTCAGGTACTGTCCTCTCTAAAGCGCCTTGGATGTGTGTCACGAACAAGAACAGGACAGAAAAGGGAAGCCATTCAGCATCGAGAGTGGTCTGTGAGTACCAGGCCAGCATCAGCATTGGCCAAGCTGAGAGGAATGCGATTGGATTGAGCTGACTATCGCCAGATGGTATTGGATGTATGCATCATGCACTGAACATCAACGGAAAACGGCATCTTTAGAGCAACCATTTGACAGGAATTAATTATCGTCTTGCGTAATCACATAGTCTACCCTACCTCTGAATCGCCTCAAAAAGTCTCACTCGGTTACCAACCTCACACCGAATATTAACAACCAGGCAACTATGGATATTCCGCTTTGACGATGCATTGCCAATCCTGGGGTAAAAATGGCCCCCTTTCTCAATGCTGATACGACTTGTCAGGTTGATTTTGGAGTCGAGACGCTTCTCTTACAAATACCAGATGCAGTTACAGTACCTCTGCAGCTATCCTAGCTTCGTCCAATCATTCTCTACTTTCATCGCATTTACCACCTGAAGCTGGAGTATCAAGTATGGAAGATGCACTAATTCATCTTTTGTACATACAACAAACATATTCATAGCCTGTTCTTCTTTGAATCAGGTATTCGTTGACATCTAATTCTATTCTGCCCAACATCAACCCGACCGGACTCAAATCTCCCGAACAGGGCCCCGCATAGAATGGCAGAGTGACGATCTTTGAGATATCGTTACCTAAAACCTCATCCCCTGCCAGTTCGGTTTCTCCCCTTACCCACAACGCCTCATTCGTCCGGCCCGATCCCCAAACTCGCCATCAAGTATCAAGCTCAAGGCCTTTACATGCTGACATTGGCTATTCTTACTGCTTTCACCGGGTGAAATGTCGCGCGTCTTTCAAAAGGGAAGCTCGGTGAGAAGCCGAAACTGAAACACTCTAGAACCTCGCTAGAATGCCTGATATCGGTCAAGGAACCAGTCCGGTTGGTCCCGATCTCAAGGGTCTTCAGGTACATGCACAAGCGGGTTGTTGAATCATGAGACATACACGTTACTTGGGCTTTGTATGGGACGTTTTGCATACGGGCGAGGCTGGGGAATGGGTTCCTATGTTCACCGTGCTCACCTCGACTACGCCGCGGAACGGGACGGCATCGCCGTTACACGGGCAAGTGCACGGAGACCGTTTGAATTATTCCCGCATCATTCTTACAGTATTACGTGGTCAAGATGAAGGCATTAAGTCGGATACGACTGAGATCAATCTGTGGGACCTACCTAGGTACTTGACCGCATAGACGATCTGAGGGTGTAGGGTAAATGCATCCTCAAAGGCCTCACTTTGCTATATTGAGAGACGAATAACATGTAACGTTGACGGTAACGTAGACATTAGTGATACATCATATAAGTTTCCATATAAATTCAATTCTTTATGTGCTAATTATTTGCACATCTAATAGCCACATTCAACGCTCCCAAATTTAAGCTTTAAACGAGATACATGATAATTCCTCCTTTTTTTAACGCCATAATAACCAGATATTTCCAATTCGTTTAACCCGACATGGACTTTCCAATCTCACTTTCCCAGTTCTCACCTCGCTCGAAGCCGTTGGAGTGTGTCTGGTAATCAAACAAAGCCTTGGCAACATCCTCCTTGGAAGTAAGAACGAAAGGACCGTACTGAATAACAGGCTGATCCAGGGGCGTACCAGCGATGATAGCTACTCGAGCAGACTTCTCTGCACCGGCATCAACCTCAAAGTGAACAACTTCGCCCTCAGGCTCAAAAACAATGTTGTGGTATTGCTCAACAACACGCTTCTGGTCATCCTTGCCAACGATAACCTGTCCCTCAAGGGTGTAGGCAAAAGCGTTCCAGTTGGGAGGCAGAGGCTGAGTGATCTTGCCACCGGGCTTGATCTCAATGTCGAGGAACCAGACGGGTGTGTAGGCGAGGTCCTTGACTGAGTCGATACCGTGGCTTTGGCCGGAGATGACCTTTACGGTGACCTTGTCATCGTCAATCTTGGCGACGGGGATCTCTGCGGCCTTGAGATCGCGGTAGCGGGGTTCACAGGCCTTGAGCTCCTTGGGAAGATCGACCCAGAGTTGAAGACCAACATTGGCGCTGCCGTCAGCGTTCTGCTGGGGCATCTCAGCATGCATGATACCTGAGTGAATGTTAGTAAATGTGATTTTTTATGGGATGTCAAGTAAGCATACCTTTTCCAGCAGTCATGAATTGAAGGTCTCCAGCGGAGAGAGTGCCTCGGTTACCAGCAAAATCCTCATGGTCCATACCACCCTCAAGGAGGTAAGTAATAGTCTCTTGACCGCGGTGAGGATGGTCAGGGAATCCGGCACCAGGCTTGACAGAGAAGTGGTCGAGCATCAGGAAAGGAGAAAAGTTGCGGAGCTGAGGGGTACCAATTGATCGACGAACGCGAGCACCAGCACCCTCAGATTGCTCAATGGCAAGGAAGACCTTGCGAATAGATCGATGGACAGACATTTCGGTGGCGTAAAGGTGTTGAGTGTCCTTCTCTTGGTCGATGATTTTGTCGCTGTAGATGTAAGATAGAGGTGTAAGAGTCTTTAATACCTCAAAGGTAGAAGTAGCTGTGTCCTTGAAACGGGTTTGGAATAAGGCAATGGCAGCTAATGCTATGAATGCTGGGATGAAGATGCTTCGGAAGAGGGTCATGACAAGATAGGACGGATGAAGCAAGGACTTATATACTACAAGAAGAGACAGATGGATGAGGGGATGATTTCGCAAGCAACGACAAATGAGTAGAAATAGATGGATTATTAAGTCGAAGCCATTGGGTCAGACTGGCGACTGTGGAGGGTTTGGCGATGTTTAGTCAATGTTACATCAGCAGCTAGAGGGAGGTTTTACCACTAATAGCCGCTGTAAGTTAGGGACTGCAGATGGTTTGCTAAGGCTGACCAAATCGATGGTGTGTCTAATAAGTGGAGACAATTACTAAGGGCTTATCGTGATACGCCATCTGCTGGGTATCCGTATTTCCGGTCGACCTCACCTCCTTCTAGAAGACATAGATTGCCTTGATCAGAGTTTGAATCTGGGATGAGTGTAACTTTGGCTTTTCGATTGTATCTTCTAGTGTTACCTCACTGGGACACTCAGCCTCAGTGGCGTGGCTTCTCTTATAGAAGGCTTTAATGCTTCAAGTGTTCAACCGAAACTCCTCCCCCTCATTCTACTGTTTCTGTGGAGTTGGACCACTCTTCCCCATCCCCATGTCTGTCGGCATGACATGGTGATGGCCCTTCCTGACTGGCGCGTTCAATTCCAGCATTATATCAGGTCTCTGATGTAAAGGCATCGAGCGAGTGCGAAGAGACAGCTATTCAATAAAAAGTATCTAATAACCCAGAGACCTTGGTATTTCAAACTTGCGTATATAAAATCCCAAATAGTACATGAGGCTCTGATCATTCCGGTTTTGTTGAACGGTAAGGCTGAGAGAGGGGCTTTATATACTTCTTCTGATAATACTCCCATAGTGAGCTTTTGAGAAGATTGCACTTTTGTCAGCTTGCGTCTCGCAATCGCGCAAACTATTGAAACAGCTGCACTATGTATGCAAACAGTAATAATCCTCGACAAAAACGCTGAATTGGTAAAAACAAAGACATGTGGTTGTTTCTGGTCGATACACTTGTTAGCAATGCCTGGAATTTAGGGTTGGCATAAGGCTGGCAAGGTTGATTGAGAGGCTCTAGTCACACGAGGGATGCATCTTTATATGCACTGCGCCTGACGAAAACAGCAGACAGGAAGACAGTGCTGTTTGTCCTTGTGATTTCTGTCCTGCCCCGCAAGCGCCGTTCGGCGATCTATTATCTTCAGCATCCAGGGGTAAATAGATGTCAGCTTGAGGATGTATCCCTATCGGCAAGGGCTGCCTGTCAGAAACCAACAAGCTCAGGAAAAAGGAATGAGATTATAGGATCAGACAAGATAATGCAGGCACATCTAAAGAAGAGACCGTCCCAAGCGAACGGTATCGAATAGATGGCGATTTGTCATTGGTCACATGGCTGTGACAGGGCAGTGCAGGGGGGCTCAGATCGCCACTAGCGACGGGACTGTCTGCAAGCAATTAAAGATCTGGGCGCTGGCACGAATGCCTTGTTAGGCAGATTATGAGCGAACTGCAGGCGAACACTATTGGCGCAACCAACCTAAATGTTCACCCTAGTAAACTGCGCCTCGGGGGCATTGAGAAAGTTTGGAACACACCAACATCAACACCATGATAGTGCCTAACACTAAGGCAAATTCCTGCACTGGATAATAATGCCTTGTGCCAGAATAGACGACGACTTAATATAAAGATCCATAGCACCTGTGGTCAAATATAGTGTATACTCAAGTAACACATCAACAAACAAGGAGCCTTTACACGAAGTCACAAACAGCTCCTGCTTTATTAATTAGACTTTGTCACTGCCTTAATACACCGAATCACTCCCGGACTCAGTACCTATCTCACAAACTCTTATTAAGAATAAAAGGCAACAACACCTTCACAATGCCCCACGCAACTCCCTCTTCACCAAAGATGTTCAGCCGTATCAAGGATAAATTCACCAGCAAGAAGTCCACGCGGGACTTGAAGACGCAATATAACGGCATCAGCATGGGTAACTCAAATACCACACCGACTAGCTACCATGCTAGCAATAACCCCTTCCTCGATATCCGTAAGTCACAGTCTTCGTGTAGTGCTACCTCAGGACTAACACTTCTTGCAGCCAACGAGGCACCTCCTGCTTATGAATCATACCCCAAAACTTCTAACCTCGACATTCCTCGTCGAGTCGCATCTCCAGCACCTAGTCTCTCTAGTATAACAAGCGCAGAGGACAAATATGCCTTCCTCTCGACTTTTGATACTGTATTCGTGATTGACGACTCCGGTTCAATGGCTGGTCGATCATGGCGAGAAGTCCGGGAAGCACTTAGCGCCATCGCACCCATCTGCACATCCCACGATCCCGACGGTATCGATGTTTACTTCTTGAATCACCGATCATCCGCTACTGGATCTGGTACGCAAGCACCCGGAGGATACTTCCACATCCGCGACGCCAACCAAGTCTCTCGCCTGTTCGAGTCCGTCCGCCCTTGCGGTTCAACACCCACCGGCGCTCGTCTTCACAGCATCCTCAAGCCTTACGTTTCGCAAATCGCCCGCCGAGCTGAGAACATTGACTCGACCAAGCCGGTCAACATCATCGTGATCACCGACGGATGTCCCACAGATGACCCCGAGGGTATCATCGTACACCACGCCAGGAAGCTCGATCAGATCGAGGCGCCTCCTCATCAGGTTGGAATTCAGTTCTTCCAGGTTGGAAACGAGCTCGGTGCTACAAAGGCTCTTCGCGAACTGGATGACGATCTTTCTGAGCAGGGAATTCGCGATATGGTTGATACAGCCACCTGGAACTCCACTACTGCGAACAACACCCAGTCTCTAACAGCCGATGGTATTCTCAAGGTCGTTCTTGGTGCGGTAGTCCGACGCCTTGATCGTCGGTCTACTCATGGCTCTCCCCAAGGCCGCGCTCGCTAAAATCTTCTATTTGTAACGGGTGGCTCATACTAGATATCGGAGCTAAGGTTTTCTTTCTTCTATTGTATTACTATTGGGGTGGTCTATTGCTTTATATGATACCAGGGGAGTTCTGGAAATTAGACAGAATAGATGGCGACCTACGCTACTAGAATCACTCTCTCACGAGATTCAAATCACAGGCTTCACTAGTTTAATGTATCAAAACTCGATTACTACGTATAATGACTCATCTGGACGTCTCTCTTGAATGTATTCGCCTCTCTTTCCATCGATCGAGGCTCCATGTACCCCAGGATGTTTCCCACGACTTGTCGTAAACCCCGGCAGTAGTAGTTTTCACCCGAAGATTGACTTCTTCCTCAACCCCCAAAACCCCTTGTACTGTTTTCCTGTTTTCGCCATAATGGAAAAGAAAGAGAATGCAAAGAAACAAATTCATATGCTCGGGTATAAATCACCGTTCAATCTCCAGAAGGGAAATGTGATTGCATATGGCCTGTATCCGTGCATGAATGAAAACCCAATGTCGTTGTGCATGCAGAAAATTGGCACGTGTAAAGAAAGCAAATACCCCTGTGATCAAAACCCAAAACGCCTTCGGTTGACTGTTTGGTCTAGGCGACTATGTCTGAGACGCGCTGATGAGGTCTCTTCCCCAGACGGCAACTGTTTTTGTTAAAGTGAATTCATAGTCAAAAGTAGAATGACATAATGGCACAATTTTGTTCAGTACCATACTCATTAGTCTCACTGTCCACAGAAGAAGTCAAAGTTCTCCTCTCAAGTTACGTTATTCCAACGAATCAAGGACAGTAAAGAACAACTGTAGCGATTTGTTTATCGCATACAGACGACATCAGCCACGCAGACCGAGTGTGCAGAGATGTTCGAACCAGTGTCGTTGCGGCAAGTCACAACAGGCGTGGTAACAAGAGCAACACGCCAGTGCTCAGCCTGCAGGTCCTGGGGGTCGAAGTCGGGCCAGATTGGCATCATAGACTGGGAAGAGTATCGGCAACCGATCTCGGGAAAGCGGAAATCAAAAGTCAGTCGGCTGCTGAGGATCCGACTGGAAAGGGCCCAGGCGGCGGAAGCAACGCTTTCCAACTCCTTGTAGATGGTCTCGGGATCGCCTTCAGGGTTGAGTAGTGGCTCGATCATGTTGAGAATCACATCCGAGATCTCCCGGCAGCGAACCTTGCTGAACTCTTGGAATCCGTCCAACTTCATGATGGAATCAATGATGCTTGCCTGGCGATCGAGAATGTGCTGACGACGAGCAGCTGGCTGGCCTAGAGGACATGTTAGCATCCAAAGTAGGTACTGATAAACATAGGAACGGAAAACATACCTTGAGTTCGCTCAAGATCCTTCTCAACCTCGACGAGGCCATGAGTGGCTTCAGTCTCTGCACCCATCCAAGCGCGAGGAACCCAAACACGGTTCACGACGTAGTCGACAACGACACGAGTAACCAAGCAGGATTTGGAGCTTCCTTCCTTGAGATGGAAGTCGAGATAGGAGACGGCCTCGTGCTCAGAAAGAGGGTGATAGGTCGCTACGAGCACATGCCACAGACGAGTATCGGAGAGATCAGTAGGGTTAATGAAGGTGGCTTTTTCAGCGTGATGACGGACGAAGGCGCGAATAGAATCGTAGAGGTCGGTGAACTGATCGTGCCAAGCAGTGATGGTCATATCGGTGATGTGAATGGGAGGCCCAGGAAAAGGAGGGCGAGTAGTCAGCACACCTGGCGGGGCAGTGTAGTCAGGGGCAGAGATAGTGACAGGATCCCGGAAGCGGCTGTACTTGTTGCGCCCGCCCGAGGGAGTAGGGGGGTAATACTGGCGCGGCTGGCCATGACCTCCTTTGTTGGGAGAGACGAGACTCTTGTCGGGATGCCCGTAAGACTGAGGGTAGAACTCAGGTGCGTTGGGACGATAAGCACCGTTGCCGAATACACGGCGGGGAGGATTGCGTCCATACAAAGACTGAGGTCCAGTGCCATTTGATGATGGGGTTCCAAATCGAGACTGTGTCTGCGAAGGAGTAGGAGGCGCCCACTGGCCAAATCGACGCTCGCTTGGTGCAGTCGAGGTTGGACGAGAAGGACCAGGCACGATATGAGAACCAAAGCGCGAAGCAGAAAGAGGCCGATGGGACTGGACAGCGACCTCGCTTGGTCCAGAGGACTTGGTGTCGCGTGAATTGGTGTCCCCATTGGCGTCAGGGCGCAATGACATGATGGTCTTCTGAACCGCATCTTTATCAGAGCATGACTCGGCGATGCTCTCGATAGCACGAGCCACAGAGTCAGAGCTTGGGTTCTTCATGACCCAGAGGGATCGACGGGAGTTGACCTGTTCCTCGAGATGCTTGATCGTATCTCCTAACTGCTAGCGAATGAGTCAGACTTTTGCTTCCAGGAGCTGTTGAAATGAGTATCTTACCTTGACCATAGCGTCGCGATCAGGAGATGACTTGGAATCATCAGAACTACCGTCGTTACTCCTCTCTTTGAGCGACTTGATCTCACGAGAGAGCTTCTGAAGTTCTTCCATAACCTTGGCGACCTCGGCCTCAGCCTCCTGTCGCTTTTCCTTCTCATTTGAGAGCTCAACGCGAAGGTTGCTCAAGTTGTGAGCCTGATCGTCGGCCTCTGCCTTAGCAAGATTGGCCTCGATACTCATACGAGCGATCGCCTTGTCTGTATCCTCTTGATCCAGAGTCAAGTTCATGAGCGCGTCGACCAGCTGGCTCGTCTCGGTGCTGACGATCTGCCCGACCTCTTGAAGCTGGGCGATGATCTCACTGGACTCCTTGGAAGAGACACCAGGCATGCGTCGCAGAGAGGTTTGGATCTTGACAAGGATCTCTTGAGACTGGCGCGACTTTTCAAAAGCAGGCTGCGAAAGAAGAGACTGGTCAGTTGTTGATTCAAGATATGCGCAGCCGCCCAGCAGACGACGGGAGGTTGGCGCGGAGTAAACAACGACGAAGGAGTTCATAACTTACGTGGTTGTTGGTCATCTGCTTGATTCTCTCTGATCGAGCCGCTCCCGCGAGGGGAGTCGAGAAGTTGATGCTTAACATCGTGTTGGAAGGTTTGGTATCACGGCTTCCACTGCTGGACGACCACCTCGATGCCGGTTGATTCTGTGAGAAATAGCTACCAGTAGAAGATGCGTTGCAATCGGATGTCATTCTAGACAAAGAAAACTTCTCAGAGATGATGATAGCAGCCTCAATCAGTTGAGAGAGGGCAGTAGAAAGAATTAGGGGAGGTCGATGAAAGAAAGTGGAGTGTTGAGGTGAGGCGAAGCGAGGAGTGAATAAACAAAAGCTTTAAACAATACGGAGACAAAACTGTTTAAGTAATTCTCCTCCTGTGTTCGCGCCGAGTCAGATCAAATCTCCTCTTGCTTGCCAAATGCGCAGGAAAAGACAGAAAAAGATGCACAAAACGCTAGGGATGAAAGATCTCGGAGTGCGTTCGTATATCATCTAGCAACGACTCCTTTTTCATGTGGTTAGAGAGAGTTTTAACGTCGCAACAAAGAGGAGAAGAGGCTGAAAAATGAACAGCGAGAACCTGGAAACACATTCATTCTCCTCTTCGATTTGCGTGCCGGAAATCAAAGGCGGGCTCCAGTCAGCCAGCTGCCTAGCACTGGCAAGCAACTGGCAAACCAATGCCACTGGCACTCGCACAAAGTTTCCCTCAACCTAATTCTAAGACTACTCATGTATGGCGGGAGGAAAAGTAACAATAGGAAAAACAATTGTTCGAATAGAAAACAATAATTAAGGCGTGGATAAGTGAGATTCGATCAAACATGGTGCGAGCGACTGGATGAACTAAAGTAAGTGTGAGGATGGATAAAACAACATGGCGATATACTTCTGTGCTTTATAGAACAAGTAGCAAAAAGAGTGGTACATTATCTTTATAATGTATGATATATTCATATGAATCTAGATATCTTATATGGCACACGATCTTCGAAGTCGAAGTTTAGAGCGGCGAAGGATGTGGGTAGAAGTTCAAACGTCCACGACGTCTACCTCTGGAACCAAAGGCCCATATGCTCAACGTCAGGGTCGAGGCTGACATCTACTTATCGCTTGACATACCTGAACGTAATCAGTAAGGTAGCGAATCAAGCTTCGTGACACCCTACCTTTATATCCTCAAACATAGTCACAAAAAGCGATGATTACTCTCAATACATTCTATATTTTGGAAGAAACTATTCATTTAACAAAAAGAGGCGCAAGTCTGGGGGTGCTGCCCCTTTGAATAAGGGGAAGAGCCATCCTAGGGTACAAGACATCAGTATTGGTCCTTCGACTGAACGAGTGCTGAACCTGGAGATCGATTAAAGATCCGAATAGGGGCGCGTGCGCATCGAGCTTCCAGACAAGGCAAGTCGGAATAAAGGGCGATAAACCTGCGACACCGTAATGGTTAAAAAGAGACGCGATGCTGAAATGAGGAACCTTGATGCATATAATATGAGTCGTGAAAGTTGGGCGGTGGTCGCGAATACATCGCGCTGCGGAAGCGTGTATCAGAGCGACAGCGGAGGATTTCCGGAAGAAGCGGAGACTTCAAGTCTGTTCATGGCCAAACTCTTAGTGATGCTCTTCAGCCAGTTCATATGGACTCTGCTAACCTGCAAGAGTCCTAGAGAGCGTTGTTGACAAGCCACAAATTAGCTTTAAATTGCCCTGGTACGAGAGAACAAACTGCTGTAGACGGCATCTACAACAGGTGACGCGTCGATCATTCGTCCGCCGAAGTATCGGCCGTTGAGACCCTTGATGGCATTCTCGCCGCCCTGGACTTTGTCAAATTTGAGATAGATATCACCCTTTGAGTTTGGATCAACCGAGATGTGAACAACGTGTCCATACTTGCTCTCGGCTTCTTGACGAACATCGTCCTCAAGTTCCTTGACCCAGTCGGTGCCTTCCTCTCTGTGAATTGTTAGTTATGCTTTCCTCATGAACAGAATAATTGGGGTGACATACTCTTCGGGGTCGAACATGTTGTGCAACACAACACAGCGACTAGCCATGTTGACATTAACAGGCAATGGCTTGGCCTCTGTCTTGGGTTTGAGGACTTGTTGTCGTTCTTCGTTGCCGTTGGTAGTAGCAGAGTCGTCGGTTCTGGCAAGCTTCCTCATCAATGCATCGCGACTATAGTTGTTAAAGTTGACACCAGCGACGTCGGTATCATCAAGAGCACTAGCACCTCCTGTCTTCTCATTATCTCGACCACCGGCTCGGTCGAAAGTAGAGTTCTGAGGGCCACGTCCGCCAGAACCGGAGAAGGCAGAGCCCTGGAAGTGCTGGTTTTGTTGATTCTGTCCGGAAAATCTCTGCAACATGTTGGCAGTACTCTCAGGGGTGAACTTATCGTTTCCAAGTCCAACACGAATAGGACGTCCAGCTAGATCAAAGCCGTTCATCTTTTCCAGTGCCTCTCGTGCCTGACCAGCATCACGGAACCTTGTCAAGTTAGCAGTTGATACATGACTTGGAATGGGTAAACTCACTGGACGAAGCCATAGCCACGGCTGCGGCCGTTCTCATCTTTTTGGAGCTGAACAAACTCAAGCTCGCCGAAAGGCTCGAAGACAGCCTGCAAATCTTGCTCGGTAACGTTGAAATGAATGTTGCCAACATAAAGACGGTGGAATGGGATAGAATTGGGATGGGGCCCTGAAGCTTCAGGGTTTCGAGCCTGTCGGTTCTTCTCGGCTTCTGTCACTTGTACAATGACCGGGATACCTAGGAGTTTCTGTCCAGTAAGTTGAAGAGCCTGGGTAACGGATTCCTCATTTGTGAATTCGACATAACCAACTCTGCCAATTGTTAGTAATCGTCCTTAGCAAAGAATGCGACATATCTTACCCCTTGGATCTCTGGCTGATACGATCTTTGACGATCTGGGCCTCATTAACGGGTCCAACCTTTTCGAAGAATTCCTTGAGCTCGCGAGTGCGGAGACGGGCAGCCAGTTGTTGCACAAACACAGTACGGCGATCTCTTTCATCTTCGGTAAGCTGCGGCTTGCCGTCTTCGCGCTTATTTTCCCGGCGTTCGTCATCCCTACCGCGCCCATAGTCACGGTTTCGTCGCTCTCCGCGATCTCGTCGTTCACGAGGCTCTCGGTCATCACGAGGGCGGTAATGGCGGTAAGGGGAGCGAGAACGTGAACGAGAGCGTCGTCCACCACGGTAATAATCACCATCTCTGTTTCGGCGTGAATGACGGCGGTCACTGTCGCGGCTGCGGCTTCTTCTCCTACTCTTGTGGCTCCCAGCATCGCTTCGTGGTGTTCCTACGTCGGGGGTGCCTCTGCGGCTTCGGGTTGGGCTGTCTCTACGGCGTCGGCCATGATCGCGGTCGCGATGTCGACTTCCGTCCCGATCACGACCACGATCGCGTTCCCGGTCTCTTCGTTCAGGTTCGTCCCTAGTTTTATCCTCTACAGGGCTCTTAATCTTCTGTTCGGCTGTATCTTTCGCGGTGGCGTCGAGGAGTGCTTCCACGTCCAAGGTAGCCATGATGTCTGCGTATTAGGTTTGTCGATGGGCGTATAAAATTAGAGATCGTACGTAATCCAATATTTTCAGGTGTCTGAGTACAGATTCCGAGTGTGTACTTTGATATTCGCCTTCGTTCGATGAAAAGGGTTGTTGGAAGGGAGTTGCCTTGAAAAGTCCGTAAGGGTCAAGCTTTTGGCTGAACGTACTATGTCAAAAGCGTCTTACCTACACGTGACTTGACACGTGGCGAGCACCGCAGCCACCACGTTGGTCACGGATGTCAGTGAACGAATGCGCCGAGTACCAAGAAGAGCAGAAAATACGAAGATAAGTTATTTAAAGAAAGATTTATTATTAAAAAGCGACTCTGTCCAAGAAGAATATCGGGCAGACCAGTCCCAACAATTAAAACTATTTATGATGATTCGATACCGTTAATGCCAAGGCCCACCGTGCTCATTACCGTCCATTAATCATGACTGCTCCGTACAACCCAGTGTGCGCCAAACACTTGATGGCAAGACATATATACAATGCGCCGACTTTGTTTCATTACGTGCACGCACGGCAGAAATTGCGTGCATACATTATAGGGAACTTAATTTGTCTTCTTGGTTTTGTAGACGAGCTCAGTGCCGAAGATGGTGTCCCAGAACTTGCTTGTAACTCCAAAACCAAGCTCGTAGTCGAGAAAGTGATGGGCAAGGTGGTACTTCTTGAGCTCCTTGTACCAGAGAGGTAGGTCCTGGTGATGAAGGAAGTAGTGTGTGAGGTCGTAACAGACGTATCCGAAGACACCTCCACAGTATGCAGCCACTGCAGCATACCAGTTGTGGAAGAGGATGGCATGGGCAATCTTCCAGAAAGGAGCAGCCAGTGCAGCAAAGAGAGTAGGTGGCATAACGAGACGGTATCTATCCATAGGAAGATAATGGTGGATACCGTGAAGAATGAAATGCAGAGTAATTCCCACTCGGTTGTCAGGCAGGTAACTGGCGGAATTAGTATATGAGTTTGGTGGAATCATTAGGGGAACTTACTCGTCAAGGTGGAATAAGAAGCGGTGGAGAACGTATTCGATGATCGTCCAGAAGAAGACACCAAACACCCAGTAGCCAAGAGTATATAGCTGGTTATCGAAACCTTGGGAAGCGATGTATGTGCCGTATGCGACGCAAGGTAGCCAGATCGTAGGAACCACGTACCAAGCGGTCTTGGAGAGAGGTTCGAGGAAGTTTCCAAAGAGAGGTGCAGACTGGCCGCCCTTGTAATGGCGAGGACGATGAACCTGGTCAAGGTAGAATTCCTTGGTGAAGCCGCCGAACCAGAGTTGAGGGAAAAGAGGCTTGTTCAAATCGAGAAACTTGTTCTTTTTGTAGTCCATGTTGTAGTCTGTCTCTTTGCTCAAATCCTCCTCACAAGACATTCCGGTTCGAGGATGAACTTTGACATTGCCGTTGGCGTGTCCATTGGCAGTTCCGTTGACGGTTCCATTGGCGTGTCCATTCACGGACTTCTCGGAAACGAGGAATCCGACCAGGCTTTCATCGAGGATCTCGTAGGCAGAGTCAGAGTGTGTATGAGAATCAGAATCCTTCAGAATCTTTTCGATATCGCGACCGGCATATTCGAGAACGTATTCGGGACCGCCAGGATGATCCTCAACGAAGTCGGTGATATCGTAGACCTTGTTGCCGATAGTGACATAACAGGAGTCCCCCGTGTTGTGCTCTTCGACCTCGGCACGGGTGAAGGTTGGAAGTGTACGTCCAGGCATTCTTGTTCAAGCAGCGGTCGGAACTTTAGGGTCGAGGTGTGACTGGAGGACCAGAGGTGAAGCGGGCACACAAAGTGAGGTTTTCTTTTTCGACGACCGGGAGAAGCGGAGGAAGGATGGGAACTGAAGCTGAAGGAGAGTGTAGGATTAGGAAACCAAAAATTGAAACTTAATGAAAAGGGTCGAAGGTTTAATATCAAAAGCTAGTCAAAGCAAGGGAACAAAAGGGCGGCGCGAGCGGCGAGTTAAAGTCGCCGCACAGGGGTCCATCCAGGGGATTTTTTTTTTAATGAGGATCCCCATTTATGGCCGTGTTAGCAACAGAGTGGCGCTACAATGACCATAGAACAGGCCACAACAGCGGAATACAAGTACTGAGTCCGTATTATTAAGCGGAAACTACAATAAGACGACATTATCTATTTAATTGCGGTGGACAATTACCATTCGTGGTCGAAGTAGAAAAGAAGAATATCAGCTATTAAGGACAGTTACATAGAGTTTAATTTTATAGGGGATGCTATCAATGCTATGGGGCGATCGAGATTTGCAGTCAACAAGTGTAAGTTGCAGCCATCACATGAGATGTACAAAAGTCGTGGTGTTTTTAATCTCTGACTTGAGCCGAATCGTAATCGTAATATTCGTATCAGCCAGGTATCGATTTCAACATTCGAAGTAATGTAAGCGTCGCTGATGTTGTTTCCCTCTTGGGTAATGAATGACCTGGGGCCAAGCATCTTTCATCGATCAGTCGATCAATGGGCTTATTATGGATGCCGGCATCAATCACTGACCAACGGGAGCTCCGGATAGACCAAAGACATCGGAATTTCAGAATCCCGTATGATCCGATCAAAACGTTTTGACGGATGCCAGGGGTTATTTTCCGACGAAGCCGGATCTCCTTTACAGCTCCACCAGCCTCAGGTTTTGATGGTTCTTTTAATCTGTTGACTCTGTTGCAATTAAAGCGAAGGATATCTATTTTTCTGATAGAATTGTGAAGGAAGAAGAGATTTTCTGGCATACATGCAGTCAGCTATACGGTTTCCCTAGTCGTTGTGTGGCAGTTTGCAACTGTTTGACTTACATGAACTATTGGCTCGAGTCTCATTCTTCTCGATCAATACAATACTCGCACCTTCTCGCCTCGAGACCCAAGAATCATTTCATCGACAGCCCTGAAAGTTCTAAACGCTAAGATACATGTATTTACGTATTGTCTCTGGCTAAGCCTCAGCTTCGACTGCCAAGCCATGAGTTGTGGGTAAGGCTTCGCAATCAGCTACAGGAAAACCGTGAGTTCGAGAGGCCTCACGAGCCGCCAACTGGAGGTTGCAGTGCCCAAAGTCGATGATTTGCTACCCAATCCAAAGGACAGGGCCTGTTTAGTGTACCGAGTAAACGGCTTTGCTTAGCACAAGTGCCTGAAAGCGGAATCTGACCAGTCCTAATGAGCGCCACATGCGCATCAAATCTGGGACGGGGAGCTGAAGCTACTACTGGAACCAGCCCAACCCAGCCACAAGGAATCCCGTCATCAGTGTGACCTACTACTAGTAATGCATGTCAGTCACACTATTAACCTATTTCTTCTTATTGCCTTGGCATATCAAGTCTAAAACATTCTCTTGGTCTCTTGGTCTCTTGTTTCTTTCATCTTTCTTTCCATCCCTTGGATATAACCTACTTTACCTATTTATCGCGTCCTCCCTTGCTATATAACCCCGTCATAGGGCTGCATCGCTAATTCGCCATGCCGTCATTTTCCATGCCGCGGGGCTCATGGCTGCTGCTGATCGCAGTTTGCTTGATTCTCCTTCCCGGCAAAGCTGAGGCTTTTGGTGCTGGAAATATCCCCTCAATTGCTCAGGTTAGCTACAAGAATCATCTATATCTTGTTTGAGATCTTCTATTGACACGCGCAAAGGTCGAAGGACACAACTGGCGTCATGGAGGTAAGCTACCCCTCCATCTCAGTCTTGTCGCAATGCGTTGCTCACATAATATCTAGACATTGAGGATATGCTCGAGACCATCGCGTTTCTTCACGGGAAGAAATGGACTTCTATGCTGATCAAACGTGTATACTTCGGAAACTGGCTACGCGACTACTCCCAAGCCGTTGACGTTGGAAGTTTAAAGGGCGTCAATGCCGAGACAATCCGCATTCTGGTACGAATTGACTACTGCATGCATTAAAATCATTCGCAATTCTTACTGACTTCGGCAGGTTTGGGTCCTTTCTTTCATGGCCCACGGCTACGCCACTGGTGAATTCGAGGTCACTGCAGACAGACTCGGTGTCTATCGCCCAGAAGAACATATCGACAACCCCCTCGGTTACGGAGATGGAGTCGATGCACGCACTTTCGACAAACGATTGCGAGGTCCAGTCGAGCCGATAGAAACCGAAATAGACCCTCGGACAGGCATGAAAAACTATATCGCGAACGAGAACGGTCACTGGGCAACAAGCGCAGCCTATCTGCGATATAGTCTTGCTCGAAGCATTCACTATGGTCGACTTTACACAAGCGGCTCTAGTAAGGGTAACGAGGACGACCTTTGCGAAGCCTTGAGATGCCTTGGACAGGCACTGCACACCTTGGAAGATTTCAGTGCCCACAGCAACTACTGCGAGCTTGCCCTCCGTGAGCTTGGATACCACTCCGTCTTCCCTCACTGTGGTTCACACACCGAGATTCATCTTCACGGCAAACGAGTATACCCCCTTGTTACTGGTACTTTTGGAGCCGTTGATTTCTTGCATTCCGTTATCGGAGAAGCCTCCGACCACTTCACTCAGTCTGAAGTCGACGAAGTTGACGTTGCCCTCAAGAACGCCGAGGGAGGTACTGCTAACCGCTCCAGTGGCGGTGGTGGCGGATCCTCTCTTCTTGGAGGCTTCCTTGGAATCAAGTCTACCCCTAGTGACTTTATCGGTTTGGTGTCTAAACTGCCTGGTATTGGTGATGGATTCGCCTCGCAGGCTCGAGACCTCAAGGCCAGCTCTGAAGCTCAAGAGCAGCGTAACAGAAGCTACCAACAAAGCCGAGGTGACCTGACTCGTGACAACGCAAACCAAGTCCCCGGTATGAGCGCCGACTTCGACCCGGTTGAGACCGCCCGCAAAATCTACCCTATTCTCGAGTTCCGTGACAAGATCGTCAAGGCTATCAGCCGTGGTATTGCCAAGGTACCTGGCCTGGAGAAGCTTCTCGAGAAGATCAGTGAGACACTTACTGCTTTTATTCTCGGCCTTCTTGCTCCCTTTATCCGACCTATCATTCAGCAGGTGTCAAAGGTTCTCAAGGATGGTTCGTCAAGTGTCATCACTGCCAGTGCCAAGTCCCAGTATGAGCCTTGGGATAACCCTTCGTGCTCCGACCCCACCCACTCAATGCTGTCCAAGGATCACTTTACAAACATCCTTAACTCATGTGCCGGCCGCATAGCTGCCACAATCTTGCAATACACTGTCCCGTAAGTTGATCCCTGGTAATGGGCTTCTTTATGAGCTAACAAATCTAGTCGTGTCCTATATGCATGGGAAAACACTGGTGTTTCTGTGGATGAAGTTGTCAACGATGTGCTCCGTGCATTCCACCATCCCGCTGCCCGTGACGACTCCATCGAGATTCACCGGGATATGTTCAAGACTATGAAGAATTGGGCCGACGAGCACCCTCGTCGCCACGAGCTTGCCCACCTTCTCTCTTCCGAGTCCGTCAGGAACCACAAGAACCACATACTTAACCAAGTCCAAGGCTCCAACTCCCGTAGCATTGGTGGCGGCGGTTGCAACCACGGTACATTCGGGGATATGTCTAATGCGGGACACGGCAAGGTTGCAGGTTCTTTGTGGTCGCAAGTCAAGACTCGCGATCTTGATTCTATGGAGGGTAAAGATGGCAACCCGGCTGCGGGATACATGTCGAACTCGCCTGCGCCACCTAGCCAGTCTTCATTCGACTATGGCAAGAACCCTTCCAGCTATGCAGGATCCAACTCTGGATACTCGCAGCAAGGTGGTTACAACGCTCCTCCACCACAACCCTCATACGGCGCCGGCTATGGCGCACCTCCTCCCCAGTCTTACTACGGAGCTCCTCCCCCAGGGCAATACGGAGCACCTCCTCCAGGACAGTATGGAGCTCCCCAATATGGAGCACCTCCTCCTCAACAGTACGGAGGCCCAGGCTACGGCGCGCCTCCTGGCCAACATCCTCCATACGGTCAGCCGGGTTATGGTGCACCTCCCCCTAATCAACAGCCTCCTCCTGGCTGGGGACAGTACCCTGGCTCACGCCATGGCTACTAGAAGCCTTGCATGCTACGATATATGAGATCACGGAACTACTGGGATTGGATAGAAAACCTTAGGATTGGCCAAGGACAATGGCTGGAATGGATATATAACGGCCGCTTTGATGTCGAATACCCAGGAGCGGAGGACAGGCAACAGGTGTAGACTAACTAGTCAAGACCTATTTGTTTCTTCAATGATACAGAGTATGAATTATCGTACATGTCAATGCAGTGCTACATGTCCCAGATCTAACTGGGATCGCAGTGCGGATGATCCCTAAGCGCATGCTATGTCGCTGTCTCCGACTCCAGAGAACTCCTGATTCCATGCATTACAAATAACAGCTAAAGCAATAGTAGGATGCCCCTAGTATGGAAACACAAATGTATCTCCCCAAAATACCTTCCAGTTTGCAGTCCGCCAAGGCTCCAATACCCTATATCCAAGAAATTCCAGTCTTCTCGTCGTCATCGTTCGCGTCGATTACCTTTTTCCTCGTCGCGGATCTTGAGCCTCCGCAATGCGAGCATCACGGATCTCCTTGGTTCCTAAACTGCCTAATCCACCTTCAGATCGACGCTCCCAGCCACCCAGACGTACCACTTGGCACGTTGCGTTATCGCCGTCAGAAGAAACCTCAGTGGCATATTTGACGATGTTGCGGGCTCCATCTTCAGGCGTACGGGCCTCTTTAACAACGTCTACAATTTCCTGATCACTCAGGGTTCCAGAAATACCGTCCGTCATTAGAACAAGGAATGAGTATTGGGCAGGACCCATCTCGACCCGTGTAAGCTCTGGTTCAGCTGAGACACCAATGCGCTTGCTCTTCATGTCTCCAAATGCACGGCTGTTGGCCAGACCAGCAATGCGTTCCTCGCCGAAGCTATCGCCGGAAACCATTGACCCGGCAGGTGCATATCGTCGTAACCGGCGACTCTCAGTCGGGCTACTGGGGTGGTGGTCGGATGTCAAGGGCTGAGCTAAACCGGTAGCAGTGTCGCAAAGAAGAATGCGACTATCTCCGACATGGGCACATAGTAATGTGCTCTGGGCTGCCGGGTGCCAAAAAGGGGCAGGCGTTGGTGTAGAGATAAGGGCTACTGAGGCTGTGGAACCCCCCTTGAATCGCTCAGGACCCCCAATTCCATGGCCGGAGGGTGTAGACGGATGGCCAAAGACCTCGTCGTTGTTAACAGGGGTGTCGTCGGCTCCTTTCGCATCCTCAGGATCAACCTTCCGCGCCTGAGCGGACACAAAATCGAGATCTGCCCGTAAGAATGCATACGCAAGTACCGATTCAATCGTGATCTTGCGTCCGTCTCCTGGATTCTCATCCCGTGAGAGGACAAAGTATTCAGGGTGAAATCGCCTGAAATAACCACCGATAGTGTCTCTGTATTCCTTGACCAAGCTCTTTTCCATACGAATTGCTTTTGAAAGGTCTGAGACTTCAGCAGGTGGTGAAGTTGCGCTGTGTATTCGCTCTCCATGCACTGGCTTTTCAGGAATGCCGCCCTCGTTCGTCTCAGGCACATTCATTTCATTCTTGACCTCTTCTGGTCCTTTCATGGGAACTGCATCAAGAGCCTCGCGTTTCGTCGAAGGACCCTTGGTGGGTTGCGCTGACTGGGTTGCGCGAGCGTGCTTGTGCTTGTGGTCATGGTGGTGGCTATGTATACCCTCACGGCCTGGCTTCTTCTTGCGCAAACTGCTCTGCAGTCCGAACTCTTCCGATGCCTTCTCGATATACCCGGGCAACTCGTCCCTGATGAATTCAGCACATTCACTGCCGCCATGCCCATCAAAAACGCCAAAATAAAAGATCTGAGGGTCTCCCCAAGCACTATCCGCTGCCGTGGCTTCTCCCGGGTTGTGCTTTACGCTCCTTGGCGCTCTCTTTGCAAAGGCCGGGAGACTGATTGTGCCGGCCTGTTCTCTATCTTCATTATAAGGACGACTTCCTCGATCTGTCGCGACTCCGAGATGATGCTTTGCCCTCCGCATTGGAATCCTTACTACCGTCAAGTCTCGGGTTGACGGGATATAAGGCGGGGCGACAGCGGGGACGGGCCCAGCACTTGGAATGTGAGGGGTTGCAGCATCTCGAGGGAGTTTGTGGCCGGGTCCTCTCGGGCGAGAATCGGGATGAACAGAAGATGACGGTAAATGCGTCACAAAGTAGGTATGAAAGTCTCGTCGATTATGTGTTTCGAGTGTCGACAGGGATGTTTGGCTGGGTTGCGACTTCGGACGTGTAAGCCGAGACTGTTGCGATTTGTCGGACCATGTCGCGCATGTCGTATATCCTGTTGAAAATCCAGGACCGTAGGTGAATCCAAGTGTATTCAATGTCCCATTCTGCGCGTCGGTGCGCGAGCGAAACGCAAGGCGGTTCAAGACTGTGGAAGGTCGAGATGTAATCCTAAGGAGCTGAAGTGCAGGGGTAACTGTTGAATCGACAGCGGCGCGAGAAAAGGGTGCCATTGTCGAGAAGTAAGAGTGTGTATGATTTCGTTCGCCAGGTCTCGATCATCAGCGTCCCTTGAAGAACTGAAGCGCTGTGCAAGTTATAGTCTGCAATGCCATCGGGCAAGTTCGAGTTCGTCGAAAGTTCTGTGCGTGTCGGAGTAGAATAAAGCTTGTCGCTATTCGTCGAGAAGAAGACGTGCACGCTATGAAGTTTATTCGCAGTAAGAGGGCAGACCAGGCAACAGACAGTCTACTTCAGTAAACAACGTTTTGCCATCAGTAGCCAACGCCATAAAGTGGGTGAAGGACGAAGGATCTGGGTCTGCCCTGTTGGTCGGAAAGTGACGATGTTGGATAGGCATGATTTCCCAGGTGGATCTATCCGAGCCCGGGTTCTCACTTAGATGAAACCTGACCAATCAAAGATTGAGACAACCAGGCTTCAGGCTGCACGACGAGAATTTAGCGGGGACCCCATCGGGAGTCAGGGGCGGGAACCCTCGCGCAACCGCTAAAATTAACGACTGAGGCCCCTTGGTCGGCCCCGGGAACGTCACCTTCCAGTGGCGGGGTCTGCCAGGCTGGGGTACGTACTCTGCATTTAACGTCATCCCACCTTTAACCTATGAGATGGGAGCTCAAGATCTTATCGTTTTCCTTTGAAGACTTTTACTCGACTGAGGTTCTATCAGCAAACTCGCGGCATCTAGCCTATTCACACCTGGGCCTCTATATAGGCTAATATCTCCATGTCGATAAACACCCAACACCTAGCAAATGGGCGAGTCTGGGACTGCAGCATCCGCCGAGGCGGACGGGTCAGAGGCTTCTAAGAAGGATCTACCCCCCGTGGTAGAAATCGATTCTGCTGGTGATATTGTCTTGGATGTAACCTTCGAGACTTCTGCCAGTACTCTCAACCAAACTCGCAAAGCCGAGCTTGCTGCTAGCAGGAAAGCCGGTACCCAGCCCCCTGACCGCTCAACCCTGAAGTCAAAAGTGCGGGTGGCATACCGAGTCAACCTCTCAGTTCTGAAGAAGCACTCAAAGTACTTCTCGAATCTTCTCTCCAATTCTCAATTTAGAGAAGCCAAGCTCATCTCGGATATACACGAGAAGCTTGCCCAGCTGAAGATCAACGCTACTGAAGCCGATGTTGAGGATCTACCCTGGATCCCAATCACCGACGATGATGACGCAACTAAAGCTGCCGGACGCGAGAACGCCATGGAGGATATTCTCAATATCATACACCAGCGACCTACAAAGACGTCTCGTGGAACCATGTCATACGTTACTACTTTAGCAATCGTTGCTGATCGCTTCGACTGCGTAGCGGCTGTGGCTCGCGTTTTGAACACGGAGCTCAAGTTTAAGTGGCCATTGACTTCGAATAAACCTCTGCGAAGTGATGATGGGCGACCTACAGAGGCAGAGCAGGTATTGCGCCAAAAGATACTAGTTGCATGGCTTTTAGGACAACCTATGCGCCTACAACAGTCGACTCGGGAGATCATCATGAGAGGGTCAACTCTCTGGAGCGAGTTTTATGATCCTGATGCCAACAATATGACTGCTGCATGGTGGAACTTGCCCGACGGGCTAGAGGGTAGGTACAAGATCGAACTTGGAATATCAGTATGAACAAAGACTAAACTATTGTGTAGAGGAGCTTCGGCATCGACGGGAGTGTATTCTCAATACCGTCTCCTCTGTCCAGCGTCATTTCCTCACTTTGTTCTCATCTCGAGAAAGACAGTGCAAACTTGGATATGACTCAAGTGCAGCATGTGACTCTTACCAGCTTGGTCAAATGCTGAAGTTCTTCGTGAACAAAAACTTACTCTTCCTTGTGGACTACAGCCCTGCATCTTTGAACATGGTACCAGACACTGCCATGATCGAGATTGAGGAGCTATTGAACACACTACAGCAATGCCCGAGTTACCAAGTTGATAAACATCATACCAACTGCGGTTTGCGAACCCGTCTTGAACCTATCTTGATCTATATGCGGTCGATGCTTTCAGCAAATGTTATTGCAATCTCTTATGCCGACTGGAAGAAGCGACCAACCGAGATGTCGTGGCTGGCCCAGAAGGAACATGCCTCTAACGACAGAGATAGTGCCCCAAAGAAGTTTCAGTTTACACGAGCCATCGCAAATGATCAGCGACTACGTTACGAAGGAGCTCTTTATGTCGACAAGATGGCAAAGGCAATGTTTTTGGCAGACGAATGGGATTGGACCCCTGAAACTTGAGCGAATAGAACAAGTCTTGCTTGTTAGACTTTATTGGATATAGAATAAGATAAACTCATAGAGTGTGAGAAGGCGAACAGATTTTCACAGAGCCTGTCCATAAGGGGGGATCCAACTATTTCCCCTTTCCCTTTTCCTATCAGCGATTATGCGGTTGTTGTCTTCTCGGTGGAACCGTTCTTTGGAGACGAGGTTGCGTGGCTCTCAGCATCATCAACGGCGTTAGCAGGAGCCTTTGCCTTTCCAAAAGGCAGTCTGCCATGTGTCTCCTTGAAGCGCATGAGGAGAAAGCCAGTCATAACGCAAATCCAGTATAGGTTATATGAGATGACAGAACCATATGTAGCCGAGTTCGTCCAACCTAGGATGGCGTTGAAGATACCCCAGCCATTCTGAATTGAGTCGGTGGAAGTGCAACACTGCGAAATTTCAACATATGTAGAGGGAGATTAGGCGGAGAATTACTCACGTTGACGTGCCAAACACTCTGATCAATATCATAGGAGCCGGGTCCGTTACCGAATTCATCTGCTTCACCACCAATGTACTCGTTCCATCTGGCCATCTCGAAACTCCAGACAGACCGCGAGAAAAGACCTGCGCCGACGAGGTAGAGCAGACAGGTCGACAGGACGAGGAAGAATTGGAGTTTGGTACTCGCGCCACCTCTGATGCCATTGTTAGCATTGATAAAATCATGTACCTGAGAGATATCTTACTTGTACAAGAGGTACCCAACACAGCAGCCAGCGAAGAGACCGACGACAGTAGGCAAGGGAATGGATTTGGCCGAAGCTGAGAAAGACACACCAGCGACGAAGACAACAGCCTCGATGCCCTCTCGAAGAACAGTTACAAATGGCAGGACAAACATGGCGTATTTCTCAACGAACTGCTTGAACCAGCCCTTGTCTCCGGTTTTGATAGGAGATTCAAGAGCCTTTGCCAACTTGACCCGCCACTTGGACTGCATCTTACCAATACGAAGAAGAGCAGCGCCCATAACGGAGATGATGAGAGAAGCAAAGAGGCAGAATGCGCCTTCATAGTAGTACTCGTGTTTTTCCCAAGAGTTACTACCAACAGTGTAGAAAACACCGATGAGAGCGGCGGCGACTACCATGCAAATGAAGAAGCCAATACCCGTTCCGAGCCAGACCTAGAGACCAGTTAGTATTGAAAACCACGCAGCGACTTCCGGGTGACTTACCTGGCGTCTTAATTGCTTGTACACTTTGACATCGCCATTGGGTCCATCTAGGGTCTGCTTCAAGAAAGCAAGCAGAACGGAGACGATAATGACTGTCTCGAGAGTCTCTCGAAAGACAACAAGGAAAACGGGAACAGCAAAGACATCAACAGCCATGATGAATATTGTTGGTAGTGAAACTCCCCAGTTGTTAAACAAGCCGTATCGAGCTTCAGATAAGAAAATCTTTTGTGCAACTTAAGGTATTTTATGATACAGAAAAGAAAGGAAAAAGGATGGAAGTATAGAAGTATAGAGTAGCAAGCGGCAGCGGAGTGTTGGCCTCTGCGTTGCACTTGATTCCTTTTGGAGTCGGAGCAGTCTGTGAAACCCCGAGACCTCACATGCAACGGATCAGATAACTATTCAACTCTTCAGAGGAGCAGGGATCGGAAGGCACACGATGTGATTTAGGATTCATACAACCTTGTAAGCTAACTTGACTAGCGACTTAGACGAATTTCACTTTTTAGATGGCCATGGATCAGCAGAAGAAGAACGCGGACCTAATGAAACCCAGAGGAGTCAACAGGCTTGAGTGCCGTAGCGATGCTGAGAAAACAGCCCATGATCAAGCTTGTTCGGGTTGTTGGATGGTTGGTGGCTTGTTGCTAAGTGACATTAGCCTGTTGCCGCTCGGCAAGGAATTGCCGCAACGTGGGACGTTGAAACAGAGGCTAGATCAAGGAGGGGTGAGCTTAATCAATCAGATAACCTTGTGACAGCGACTTCATTTTTTTTCAGTCGTGGGTTCTAAAATTGAAGAGCAGTTGCTGGATATGCTCTTTAGATAAAGGGTCCATTCTGAGGCGGGCATAGGTGCCAAAGTTCAGTCAGCGCCATGTAGATGTACGTGATATCAGATATAACACTTTTGAGAAACATTCCAATTCTCTTCTTCAGAATTGCAGCAAAGTTACCGTAGCTCGAACCTAGGGGTCTGTCGTGTTTGTCACGACGACCCCACAATGCAACCTAGGTCCTAGCCAAAAGACGAATGCCGAGTTGGATCTGCTTGAGCTTGTATGAAGCGTTCATAACGGCGATCCTGGCTAGTAACAGGGAAAGCAGCCGAAAGCTTGTGCAAAGAACGCCGGTGTCGTTCCGCAGTACTGTACTTTAGATTCCAAACGAGGGAAATTTGTCATTATCAGATGGATGGCTGGTAGCGACATTCAGCCGCACCAGAGATCGGTTGGATGGAAAAAAGCGGCCGACAGACAAAGTTGATGTTATGACCTGCTGATTCTAGATCAAAGTTATCGTATCAGAAAGATCAGAAGATTATCATTATCTGATCCGAAGCAACCTACATGAGACAAGCAGGGATATGAAATATGCCGCAGCTGAAAAATTCGAGTGGCATGTTCCATAAAGCTCCGTGCTCGCTTCTGGTGTTGACTCTTTTTTTCGGAAAGCCTCAGTAGCTGTCAGACCACTCTCAATGCTTGCCGGATCCATGGAATAGCTTCTCGACCGTTGAAGGGTCCACTCAAAGATGCCTAGCTACTGACTCTCGTGTGAATTTGTGGCGGTCGATTCGGCTTTGACGTGCCGTAGTATCCTCTTTTTTCCCAGTAATGAGAATGTCTTAGTCTCAGGACGGGGTATAGCAAGATTCGCAAGGATAGCTCGTGGTTCAGGACAGGAAATATTCTGTCGGTATCTCGAGGAAGAGGCCGATCGCCAAGACACTTCATCGCGTTTGATAGCTGTGGGTGACCCGGCTTGGCATAGGATAGGCAGGACAGGGCAGTTGGACCCTTGAATGAACCTCTGCGTTAAGTTAGGTAGGGATCGGAATTGTCTGTGCCGAAAAAGGTGGCACCACTCGAGTAAAGCTAGAACTCAATTGCTGCTGGTCAGTTCGTTTACCAGGTATTGAAGGCGAATCATGCCTCACAAAAGATTAGCGGCAGTGGAAGAGAGGGAAAGCACAAGCAAAAAGTTGCGATTGATAAGATGAAGCTTAAGTGGGACTACTCTAGCAGGTAGACTAAGCTGGAAGAAGGAAAGCGCAGCCTGGATCCCTCCTCCCACTTACACGGCAACAACGACCCAGAATGCTCTATGGCTTCAAGCTGCTGCAAGCCACAATGGATCAACCTCGACTCATCTTATCCATCTACAGGCTAACACTCGCGCCCTTATTCCGCATCGTGCTGTTCAGCTTTTTCCCATGAGCTGATCAAAACGATCAACTCGTTTCGTTCTGCCTTTACACCTCGATTAGTGCCATTAATTCGGCTGCTGCATGGGTAGGCTCCTGTCGCTCCATGCAAATATCAACATGGATCTTGAAGCTAGCAGAAACTTAGCCCAGCAGCTGGATTCTTCTGCTTCGGCTCTCGGTAACTGTCTTTCGCTACTCTACTCGTGTTGATACCAGCGCAACACAAGGCCTGGCCACTCTAGGATACCACCAGTAGATACCTCTTCCCTCACCATGCCCGTCCATACCATGGCCTGGTCATCCCACCACGTTCCGGCTGGATGTGAATCCAACTCCGATTTCGTCCATCTAATCTGATCAAACTGATCTCTTCCCACATCCAACTCTTGCTTGTCGTGGCGCATCTTAATTCTTTTTCCGCAGGTGTCTAATAAGCTCTTATACCCTGACACTCGCGTGCGTGATCTTGTATCACTTCATTCTTCGCTTTTCTCTTTCTCTATAGCCATTCTACTCGGACTTGCTTTATTGGAGTCAACGAGTCCCTCGCAAGCAAGATGCGACCCAATCTCTTGTCGGTCGAGGCAGCGCTGCTTCTCGCCCTTCCTCGACTGGCTTGGGCAGCTACCAGAAAGTTTGATTTTGAGATTGGCTGGGTCAGAGCCAACCCCGACAATGCTTTTGAGCGCCCAGTCATTGGAATCAATGGGCAATGGCCGATTCCTACTATCGAGGTTGACATTGGTGACCGGGTTATCATCGATGTGCATAATAACCTAGGAAACCAATCTACTTCGCTGCACTTCCATGGTCTCTACATGAATGGAAGCACACATATGGATGGCCCTGCCGGTGTCAGCCAGTGTCCGATTGTTCCTGGGACAAGCTTCACATACAACTTCACCGTAAGCGCATAAAGTTGCTGTGGTACTCCATATACTAACATATTCTTTACAGGTCGATCAACCCGGAACATACTGGTATCATAGTCACACTGCAGCTCAATACCCAGATGGTCTACGTGGACCTTTTATCGTCCACGATAAAGACTTTCCGTACGAAGACAAATATGATGAAGAAGTCGTACTCACGCTTTCTGATTGGTATCATGATGAGATGCGAACCCTCATCCCAAAGTTCATGGCAAAGTCCAACCCTTCAGGCGCTGAACCTGTGCCTAACAATGCACTCATGAACGAAACCACAAACTTCACCATGCCTGTTCAGCCCGAAAAGACATACCTGTTCCGTGTGATAAATGTTGGCGCTTTTGCGGGCCAGTATCTCTGGTTCGAGGGACACAAGATGCGTATCGTCGAGGTTGACGGCGTTTATACTGAGGAAGCTGAGGCGGAGATGATCTATATCTCAGCTGCCCAACGTGTCGGTTTTCTGCTTACCACTAAGAAAGATACCTCCAAAAACTTCCCTATTGTTGCTAGCATGGATACTGTGAGTATAGAGACCCCTGATACATCCGTCTTGGAAGCACTGACACTGTCATAGACCCTCTTTGATGTCTTGCCTCCAGACCTGAACTACAACTCTACTGGTTGGTTGGTCTACGACAAGAAGGGTGAGAAACCAGATGCAGCTACTGTCGAATCACTGGACCCCTTCGACGATATGACACTTGTCCCTTATGACAAGATGGAAATACTCGGAAAGCCCGACAAGGAGTATGTCCTCGACGTTAAGATGGACAACCTGAAGGATGGCAAGAACTACGCCTTCTTTAACGATATCACTTATACTGAGGCTAAAGTTCCCACACTCTACACAGCACTCAGCGCAGGAAAAGATGCCGAAGATTCTACCGTCTATGGCACTTACACGCATTCTATGGTTCTCAAGAAGAATGAGATTGTCCAGCTTGTTGTCAACAACCTTGACTCGGGCCGTCATCCTTTCCATCTTCATGGACATGCGTTTCAATCAGTTTACCGCTCCGCGGAGGAGGGTGGTATTTGGGCGGATGCCAATGTTACAGACAAAGATCTACCCAAAACCCCTATGCGCCGTGATACTCTTGTCATCTACCCTAACGGTAACATTGTCATGCGTTTCAAGGCTGATAACCCAGGTATGTTTCAACCTTCTTTCAAGCAAGTAGGACGGGGTGCTAACACTTGTATTAGGCGTCTGGCTATTTCATTGTCACATTGAGTGGCATGTTATCTCTGGTCTCATCGCTACTTTCATAGAGGACCCTCTTGCCCTCCAAGACACAATCGAGATCCCAAAGAACCACCTCGATGCTTGCGCTGCTGCCGACATGCCCACCAAGGGCAACGCTGCTGCAAATACAGAAGATTTTCTCGATCTTAGTGGCGAGAACAAGCCTGCTAAGACCTTGCCCGCTGGGTAAGTTGTTGTCCTATGAAACCGACACCTTGTTCACTGACCTTTCGTTATAGCTTCACACCTCGCGGTATTGTCGCTCTTGTTTTCAGTTGCATTTGCGGAATTCTCGGTGTCGTGGTCGTTGCGTGGTATGGCTTCTCAGCTCCGGTTGACTCTACCAGTGCTGGTGCTCTCAGCGCCGGCCTTGTCGAGAACGATTCTAGAGATATCCAGTCCGCGCAAAAAGGCCCTCAAGAGACAGTCATCTCGCCTTCGGGTGACTCAAGAAGCCACTAACCTAAGATGTCGTGCCTTGGGATTTGGTGAGCGCCCGGCTCTCCTTTTGGGATGGTCAAAGATATGATGTTATCTCCCTACCTGTATATATTGGTTCACTTCGCATCTAAGTTCAGCATACCCTTGTGTCCTTTATCGATAGACTGTCTTCTTTCCGTATGTTTGGTAGTCGAAAGTATTAGAGACGAAACAACCTGTCACTTTATGCTGGGCCACCACTTATGCTACTTTGATTCTGTAGCCTAAGCCTTCGAGAACATTTAAGAAGAAATTTAGCAATTTATCGTGTTTGGTCCACTATTCATTTCGAAGACAGATAGTCCCATAGCTCTGTTTCCTCTAACTCCGATCCTTGGTCCTTCCTGTATAATAATATTACAAGTTAATCGGAAATCCCTGATGATTAGCTCTATCAATTAACATCGATATTTTTGTTGATAAACTTTGTGTTTGGTGGATGCAATTCCCTTGAGAATCTGCAGTACTGTCGTGTGCATGCTCCATTGACGACGTTGGGGCACTTCGACGGTCAGTAACGTAAAATAGGTAGGGACGGTTTGGTGAGGGACTTACATTGTGACCATAGATGCAATCGTCCACATCGCATGCCTGGCCGTTGGTGCAGGGGTTCTGCCGCGACAGCATAGCAAGAGCGGCCAAGTCCTCCTGTGTAGCCTTGTAGTTATGAACAAAGGGACAGATGTCGATTCTACCGCAAGGTCCTCGCAGATAATGGTTGTTGCAAAGCTTCTCGTTGCCAGCCCGTCGCTTGATATTTTCCATTGCCGCGAGACTAACAGTGACAGTAGGGTCAAGGCCACGAGGGCCAGGGCTCCAAGTTGGCTGCGCTGCTGAGATTGGAGTTTTGCTGACAGGCTTTGGCTTATTCTGCTTGGGAGGTAAGGGCATAGTAAGTTGAGGAGGTGGGGTAGCGCTCTTCGTGACCTTGGCCCAAGAATTATTTGGTGACAATGATGCAGTACTGGTTGCTGGTGTCAAAACAGCTGCCTGTGTCGAAGGCCCATTGGTATTAGATGACGTCTGGGTTCTTATAGGCAGTGTGCGCTGCGCGCTCTGCGCCGAAGTCTTGTCGGATACCAGTTTGGTTGCACGGAAAATCTCATTGAATTCGATCACGTTCATCTGAAGGTTTTCCAGTTCGCGCGCAAGGGGTGGGCCTTTGATTAAGGACACACAGCGGCGAGACTCTTCATCGTGAACGATCTCTTCGAGAAAAGGGGCGTATCCCGAATCATGACCAATGCCTAAGAGAATATGTTTGCAGTTCTGATTGCCCAGATGCCAGCGTGCGGTTTCTAACAGCGTTAGTGAGGTTCATACTATGGCTGGCTGTCAAGGTCGTAGGTAATTTCGTACCTCGAATTTTAGCGTCAGCCCTCTCCTTTCCAAAGCCCACGTCAATAAAGTCGAACGATGCCTTGGCCTGTGTAAAGCCAAGAGTGAAATCCCTGAACTGATTTAGCTGCTCAATGCAGCCTTCGTTGTACAACGCTTTGCCGAGTCCTCCCACATTAGCCACAACGCGGCAAACAATCTCTAATGAACCAGTACGCTCATGGCTGCAAAGCTGCGCTACTGCAGTCCGGAGTGCGCGGGCTGCGCTTTTTCCGCCTTCAAGGCCATCCTTGGTAAAGCTTTCGTTGAACTATTCGTGGTCAGACTCAAGGACAAGCCTGGATTATGCCCGGCCATGTATATGTCAGGACTGGGATGGACATACTAAGAGACCGTCGCCATCGATCAATAACAAAACGTAAGAATTGGTATTCTGATCCTTTTAGCTCTTGCGCTGACGCAGCGGCATATCATGAATATACCTTGATCTCATCATTTTCTTTTAAAACCCATTTCATCTGAGATTCAGCTTCCCCTAGGCTTGTCTGTAATTCTCTTCGGGTTTGGGTCGCAGCCTTGAGGTCGAGCTCGAGTTCGTGCAACCGAGCTTTAAGCTTGTGTGTCTCTTTATCTGAGTTGTCCTCTATGGCCTTACAATAAAGTAGAACATCCTTTTGAGGTGGTCAGCAGTGGTTCACGATTCGTGTGTGCCCGTCAGGGTGTCAGGAGAATTGGTCGCCGAGAGCATAAGGGACGAAATAATTTGGTCACCTTATGGTAGCTTAGGATAGCATTTCGGCTACTTTGTTTCTGTAGCCTAAGCCTTGTAGAACAATTCTTCTGACACCCACCTGATTCCCCATGGTAGCAGACTTTGACAGCACGGGAAGCCGGCCGCCGGCCTCTCAAACCGCCGGCCGTTTGGTTTTTTTCTTTCTCTTATATCGTCGGCAGTCAAGTGTTCTGCTACCCCGGAGCGGGCGAAAGGAATCATGATATCGGCCGTGCGCGCGCATGCATACCTGTAGCAGTTTGTCCTTTGAAGACTCGTATGCTTGAAGCTGAGTATAGCGTTGGATAAAGTCGTCAAAAGAAGTTGTCGACATATTGAATGATTTGTGCTTCTATGAAGCTAATCGCGATCAGGTAGGTGGGTTGTGTTGCGTGGTGGTGGATTTTGCGATGCGATGCGATCGTTGGAAGGTTGAAAGGTCGATGCAGGCGCGCAGTGTGGATATTATACCGAGTAAGGTATTCGTGGTAGGCCTGCAAATTGTGTGCACAAAGCAAAGGTTAGTTCTTTGCTAGAATCTCAAGGCCAGCAGGTGGTCTTTGTTCCTTCCAATTGTAGCCAACAGAACACTGCTTGCTTTCGCTTTGGTGGGTGAAAGTGCACGTTTGGGGGAAGATGTGCCTGTGCCTGTGCCTGTGCCTGTGCCCTGGGCGCGTCGCGTTTGCAGGGTACTGAAAGATACCTTCTTCCGTGCAGGTGAGAATTTGGTGAACAAAAAAAAAGGAAAGAGCAAAAGAGATGACGTTGTGCTCTTTTATGCTGAGTATGATATGAGAGGGTTTAATTTAATGGGCTACCAGTATAGGTAGAGATAGAATTTGGTGGGCGGCGGCTCTTTGTAAAAAACTTTTTTTTTTTTCCTTCCGGGAAGGTAAGTTTAGTACGGTAGTAGGTTGTGCTGCGCTGCGCTGCCTTGTCTCGCCTTGTCTCTTAACTCTGATAAAAGCCGAAGCTGGCTCCTCCTTCCCGTCAGTGATGAAAGGTGCTAGCAGCCCCGGTTAGATGGGTGACAGAAATGTTTACTTTAGGCCTGAGGTGTAGGGAATTACTGGTTCAACTGTTATTGGATGAGCAGTAACTGAACAGCACTGTTTGATTCATCCAGACTTGATCAATGTGGCTTGATAATTTTGTCTTCTCTTGGTCTCTTGTTGCCTTTTTTTGTTCCCCTCGACCTGGGGACAGGGATTTCGAGCATCAGCCCATGCACAGCTGCAGATCCACAAGTGGAGACGCGCGCCAAAATGTGAAAGACATATCGAAGCGACAGGGAATCAATCTTAAAATAAAGATGCTAAAATTAAGAATAGCTGATGTTTTGATACGAAGATACAGTGCAAGTAACACGTATTAAAAACTAAATGTAGTATTTAGTAATCTTTAAACCTAAGTCCTTATACGATGCTTGTCTGGCAGTCGCAAGCCTCATCCTGATCAAATTACAGTACTGTCAGATCTTCCAGATCTTCTATTCCTTAGTGGAGGATTCATCACCAACCCACATGACCCCCCATGCCAATTCAGGCACGATCCACCCCACTCTTTTCTCTGGCCGTTTGGAACTGGAAAACGCCTTGTCATGGAGTTGGATGACGGGACATTCATTGAGTGGATGATTCGAAAAAAATGGCTGAGACAAAGCAAAATAAAACGCGGCATTTGGTCAAAGGGTTCTTAAATGCATGATCTCTTCCAAAACATTCTATAGGCTATTCAAGTCTCCCCTCCAAGCCCTGTCAGCAAAAACAACATACATTAATTTAATTAAAACAGATTGGATGTTACCGCATATGACAGAAGTATTTGACGCCTCTAATCAAACTCAGCTGTCCCGTCACATACACTCATCACATCCATACATTGCATACATATACCGAGTAAGATGCACAGTATTCGATCTGAGGACATTTGTCCATCTAATCTCAAATCAATTTGCCACTACAGACCCAAACCTTTCGAGTCAGTCCTGAAGTACAGGCTGGTAGTACAGGAGCCCAACGTTGCGCTCTTGAGGCCACCTCAGCCTGATCAGTCGTGAGATGCATGTCCTGCGTGTCAAAGATAGTGCTCGAGGCAAGCATCGTCCAATCATTTCACCTTTATATCGCCGTACGCGTGCGGATGCAGCACCTAAAACGCCTTGCCAATATGCCGTGTCCAGATCAGCGCCTGATGTCGAGTTACTGTAGCACAAAGGCTGGTGTTCTAGCCCAACAACGATTGTTGAGATGTACGAGTGAGTCGTGGACTGATTACCTGGGCTGCCGGAAGGCTGAATGCTGCTGCATGAGAGACGAGATCGACAACTCAGCTTATCAGCTCAGTCAGTCGTCGGGCCGTGTATTACTATATCCCAAGATTTCGATATGAAGGTGTCTACCATAAACACCTACAGTCAGTCATACACTTAGACAGCATATCTATCTCTGCGACCATCATTTAACTTTGAGGAAACCCCAGTTGCGACCAGGTTCATACCCACCCCGTAACTCTACCCAGGATTCTTAAGTTAATTTGTTGACAAGTAGGTACATAAAATAGCAAGCTGTGGCTCTCTGACACTCCCCGAATCACATGTTATAGTTACTTAAAAGTATAGTGTTCGGGGAATATCTTGAAGTTCCGAACGTGTGCGAATCTGGGTTTAGATTTCTCTGTTTGCCCTAGAAACATGCCCAATGAAACAACCAAAGTTGAGCCTCTTCTCGCAATCACCCGGACAACATTCTAAATTGATCTCTTTGTCGTTCTCAGACTAAGTTGGGACCAGAATCTTCCATTGCAGCCGGAAACTGGTTCAGCATCTGCCAAACAGTATCATCCCCCCATCCTCCTCCAAACTGCCACATCTCTCTAACCCCCTGGTCATCCGCCGAAGGCAAAGGGAGAGCCGCCATATCTGGTCCGGCCGTAAGGTCGTTGTAAACCAAATCGCCAGTAGGAAAGAAAGGCGCCATCATGTTCAGCTCGTCTATCGATGGGATCATCCACGTCGGGTCGGTAGTCGCTAACCCTGAGAAATCACTGCTCTCTAGAGTCGAACTATTTGGTGTAGAATTCGTAACTGTTCTGCTCGATCCTGCTGTAGAACCTTCAGTCAAAGATGGCAGTGAACCGTTCCTCGCCTTCGCCATAGCTCTCTTGAACCTCGCGACAATAGCTTTTAGCACACCCTGAGCAGATTTAGCCAACGGGTTGCGATCCTGAATGGCAGAGAAGCGCTCAATAGTCCACTGAAAGTGCTCAATCGTCCGATCCGTATACTCCGCATGCTCTCGTGGAAATAGTATATACACAGACGCAAGCAGCACAATGGCATCGAAACTTGCAAAGAAGAGCATAAAGTTTCTCCACGAGTCTGGAGGTAGTCCTTCAAACGTCAACTTCTGTATCTCGAGTGTTTTGAGACTGGCATGTATAGCTTCCACTCTGCTCTCGGCACGGTTGAAGATGAACGGACGATGTAGAGCCATTTTGCTGAATTCGTGTAGACTTGCAAAGTAGTAGCGGTTTGCTGTGTACCAATGCGTCTCAGGGAGGTTATCCCATCGCGTGTCAGGGTTATCCATGCGGAAGGATGGCGGTATTGTCTTGTCCAGATCCTGTATACTCTTGTGGATTTTCTCAATCTTCTCAGGATCCAAGGGATATGAACCCTTGACTTCGAGGTTCTGAATAGCTAGCAGTGGCCTGCAGAGTTCATAATTCCATAGAAGTCGAGTTATAGGTGTAGGATGATCATCCTCTCCTCGAGGAACAACCGGCGTTTTGTCGCGGTTCTTAGGTATAGGTGCATCGACGGGAGGTGCGGGAAGAGTTTGATTCCAATCAATTGTGCCAGGGCGTCCAAGAATCATGGCACAATTCAAGTCCCAGATAGCAAGTAGTATGTAGATCCTTCGTCTCCTCTGTATCAGCCATTGATGTTCCAAAATGCTTTCCAAGCTTGACCCAGCGTTTTTGGGATCAAGGCTATCGCGATGCATCCCTAGATCTTGTGCATCGCGAATCGCTACTGATATCGTATGCCACTGCTCATAGGATTAGTTACTGCTTTTCGTGCTCGCGGGCGTTACCTACTGCATCAGTGACTTTGGCTGTAAACTTATGAAAGGATGCCCGCAGAAACTGTGCCTGAACCGTTGACAACGAAAGGTGCTTCTTCCCTAGCAGATCAACAATCGCTTGTCCTGACTCACTGTACTCCATAGCCAGATCCTCAAAGCTCATACCACCAGCAAACTTGAGCGAGTCAAATCTTCGATCCGGTTTCTCTGGTAGAAGAAGTAGCGCTGTTGCAATGATTTGGAAGATAACAGCTGGAAATGCTCGGAGTTCAGAATGCAACCCACGAGGGCCTATGTCCGAGAGTACTGAGAATGGTAATGAATTCCAAGCCTCCAGCTGACGGTAGAATATGTCTGGGTCGATAGCATAGTACTGCCAATTGAAACTATGCAGATACATTTCCACAAGTCTATCGATGTAGTCCCTGGCAGGCAATTGACGAATGATGGCCTTATACTTCTCTTTCAAGGCGAATTCTTTACCGCCATCTGTCGGACCTCGAGACCCGGCATATAAATCGGGCGAGCTTTCTTCCCCATCGCTTAGAGTTTCGATGCGTTTAAGAATGCCCATCGTAGATGCACCATTGTGAGCATATCCCCAATCAGCAGCCTTAGACGACAGAGGGTCATTAGACCCATGGTCAAGCGAGTCGCTAGATCCAGATGGCGAAGGATCAATCTTCCTCACTGGGTCTCCCGAGAGAGCTTGTGAAGTTTCCGTGTTGGGATACTCATGTGAGCGAGTGGCTGGGCGGGCGCCTGTCTCATAAGAGCAAGCCGACTCTTTATTTCGAGACTTGCAATTTCCACATGGTAACAAGCGATCGCACTTTTAATCCGTTAATTATGAGACCATGTATTTCGATTTGAATGAGTTGGCTCGGGAGAATGGTAAAAGCTACAAACCCGTTGCTTTCTGCGATGACATTCACCGCAGGATATGACAATTCGTCTTCTCTTCCGGGGACCCTCAGCAGTCTCGGGTGCTGTCATGATAGCTGCCGAAATATCCGTAACTTGGCGGTAATTAAGCGCTCACAAGAGACATTAGTAGCATATATAATATGTAAAAGATTGTTAAAACCGCAAAGATTCCAGGCTGCGTAAGAGAGCGCATGTGTTATTGATCAATGTCTCAGAATGAAAGTCAGCTACTAACAGCGTCCTTAAGTCCGGGGTTCCAAGGAACTGGCAATGGATCAATCCCTCCATTGTGGGGTTCCATCACATCCTTTACCACCAACATACCTACCTAATTTGGCATTCAGCCCTGCCACGCCTTCATTGCATGTGCCTCTTGGAGAGACCCACGCTATTGGAGCAGGAAACGATGCATGTAAGATGGACTGGACAAGCATACGAGAGCGCCGGTGGGACAAATGTTGGCATTGAATGAATACCTACTCCAGAGCTATAATGCTGTATCTTGAATCTCCTTCTAAAGCTGAATCTCATAAGCTCATACCGTTCGTGTGTCGTTGCTGTGAGCGAAGACGAAAACCATGCTTTTGTGGTTAGACGAAAGCCTAGTGCTTATAATGTCCCCAAACGAGGGATCAGTTCTCATTGTTCTTGCAGCTGAGTTATGCATGGCTGCTACCATGCAGTCATGATAAAGGTACTGTATTCATGTCAGACCCTGCTAGATGATGTCTCGATAACTCCAGTCCAGCCCGTCTACCGCGCCAAAAATAAAAAGACTCTCATGCAGAATCGCATCTTAACGGACACGTTCTGTGTAAGCCTTCCATGCGGCAGATCGGTATCGCTCAGCCTCCTCCTCAGGGTCGCTAGCCTTGATAATTCCACGTCCAACGATAGCGATATCAGCACCAGCAATGCCAATGATCTTTTGTGGTGTGTTGTATTGCTGGCCCTTGCCATCTCCCTTGATAGCCTCGTTCTCATCAGCGCCCTCAGGGGGCAATTGGCAGCCGGGAGTCATGTGGATGAAATCGTCGTCAGGTTGTGTGTTGAGACATTCCTGTGAGACAAAACCCATAACAAAGCTCTTGTGTTCCCGTGCGGCCTCTACACATGCTTGTGTGTATTCCTTGTTCATGAAGTTGCCCTGGCTTGACATTTGTGCTAAGATGAGAAGGCCCCTCTCGATGGGCGCCTCATCGATACCAGCGAATACTGTCTCATCACCCTCGGGGATCGTCTTGACGAGGCGTGGTGAATCAGCCGACTCATACTGTTGAGTGACGGTGGTGGTCGAGACGATACTACCTTTACGTCCGTTATCGCGACCAGTCTCCGGTGCACTCTTCTGGTTCTCGCTATCTGAGCGTTCACTGTCCTCATCCAGCTGGCTGGCCGTAGGGGTTCCAATGCTGATAGATGTTTTGACCTCATAGTGGTATCGCTCGAGCCATCGGTTGGCAGCATTGGCCAGAGATGTAACAGAAGCCTTTCCGGGAACCATGTTCACATTGACAATGTGTGCCCACTCGATGATACGCGCAGCACCGCTAGTATACTGCAGCTCGACCGTGTTGCCAATGTCACCGAACTTGCGATCCTCAAAGATGAGGAAACCGTGCTTGCGGGCTAGTGAGGCGAGCTTGGCACCTGTTCCTGTTCGGGGGTCGAAGTCCCAGCCAGACACCATATCGTAATGAGTCTTGAGGACAACGATAGAGGGACCGATCTTGTCGGCGAAGTAGAGAAGTTCACGAGCGGTTGCGACGTCGGCGCTAAGGCAAAGGTTGGAGGCCTTGAGGTCCATAAGCTTGTAGAGATGTCGGCTTAGAGGATGAGAGACTGTCTCAGCTCGGCTGGCGAAGGTCGCCTTCAGAGACGGATGCGACGACATGATGAAGCTGAAATTTGAGGATCAGATAGATATGACCAAAACCAAAGGTGGGCGAGATGTGGGTGGTGGATGGTTCACCAAATAGTATCTAGACCTCGGAATCGCAAGCAATTCACTATCTCGATACTCAGTCTCGATCAATTCGCACGAAGGCTCTCAATAGATGAGTTGGCGCAAGTGGCGGTTTGATGGAGGGGAAGCTGGGGAAAATTGAAAAAACGGAGCCAAGAGCCTCGAGTAGGAACGAGGGGTGAAGATCCTATTAGCTCAGCCCAAATGGGTCGTGACGGGTATTTTCTTCCGATATAAGAAGATGGTGAATGGGATGAGTTGTTGATGGAACAGAGAGAGAGGGAGAGGGGGGAGGGAGAAGGTAAATAAGAAGAAGTAGATATGAAAAGAGGGAAAGAGCAGGAGGAAGGTAGTAGGTATGTAAATAAAAGAAAGAGCGGAGGAGGAGGTGAGGAAGGTGAAGTACCGGTAAGTCTTTTGGCGAGGCGGGACGGGATACTTGGGCCTAACAAAGCGGAAGGTAGAGGTAGCCCAAGGTAAAAAGTGAAAAGTGACGATCCACAGCTAGAATGGACCGACCCGACCGACTGTCCCTGCCTCTGTAAGAGCGATTGTGAGGCGGCAGGCGACAAGGCTAAGGTACTGCAAGTAGGGGCCTGGACAGGGACTTGGTAGTAGTATTACTAGTCGTTAGTCGCTATCAAATTGTAGGCTCTTCTGCAAGCGAAAAAGGCTACTGCCGTACTAGGTAGGAAGAAGCTAAGGTATTTAAAGCCCGAGGCTCAAATGCAGGACAAAACAGCAAGGATTCAAGAGAAGACACGACAGGTGTTTCTTATTTTACAGTGCCGTGCTGATGTTTACTGAACTGGGACACACATACTGCACATACCAGGAATCGACAAGGGTAACAATAATGACAGAAAATTGAGGGGGAAAGAGATGATCCTAAAGCTTGATAGACTGACTGTTTTTGCCCTAGCTGGTAACCGGAGGGTGGAATAGAGACGACGATCTTAGAGCATTGAACCAGCCCTGGAGAAGATTGTAGCGCAGATAGCAGGTATGTACATAATGTAATTAGGTGCAGTACGATACATTGAAGATATGGCCCAGCCAATCGATTTGACAGGCATGAACAGGCACTGCTCAAGTAACTCATCGGAATTGATCCGATATGTACACCTTAACAGCACTACCTTGTGTATCGATCCACACAAGCGTAGACTATTCACTCTTTCAACGACTCCTTCAGCCAAGCCAGCATTGAATACAATACGAACAGCACAGACTGTCTCTCTCTTCAGAATATTGGTTGGTCCAAGGTCAGCCGGGGGACTCAAGTTCTTTCTCCTAGCCCTAGGACCCGTCTGTTTTCACAATGTCTAAGCCCCCCGTGCCCCAATATAGGTCCATTTTACCACCAGTGACAGTGACGTGCGTGTCGTGGAGGGCACTAAAAGTAAAGGTGGGAGCTGAGAAGCCAAGTCGAGACAAGGTAAGCTTTGATCAACAAAATCGAATGATTCTGTTATTTATCCATATTTCTATCAACTGCTATCGACTTGGAGTCTTCGATGGGACATGGACAGGGCCGAGGTCTTGGCTGCACCCGACCCGACGATCAGGGATCAAATATCTATGTAAACGGACTAAGCTAAAAAGTCGAGATGATCATTGCTAGCAAGGGCTTAAATGATATTCAACTATAGCCCCGAGACAGGTGGCTTCTAAATGCCAAAACGGATATGGCACGGTTTTGTAAACTGCTAGACTATCTCTAACCATCGATACGGATCGGATGTTAGTGGAGGCCATAGCTCTATCTTCTCGTCTCTTCTCTTCTGCTTACAATGGAGGCCCATACCAATACCCATATCCATATCCACAAAGGCGGGCTCAACCAGCTGCCGGGCTCTACAGGTTCGGGCCTGCTACAATGCTACGTTGGTAACGATTCCATGTAATCATCTAGCCAGGTTACACGGCATTGAAACTATTGCCGCAAACAACCGTCCCCTGGCTCAGTGACAGCGACAGCTCGGAGGAAAGGCAAGCTGAGCCAACGGCACAAGCAAGCCAGGGTGATAACTGACAATTGTAACGTCGAGATCCACCGCGGCTACATGACTTTGCAGCAACCTGACCGTTGCAAGATGCGTGTTGCCTGCTTGCTTGTATCGGCCCCATGACTAAGGTGTGCGTTCTAACGATGGAATATGGCGTACTGTTAGATAGACGGGATAACGGGACGATGCCGAATCCATATTCTTGAGTTTAGTACCTGTCGCGTGCATGTATCTCAATGACTAACTTGACTGTTTGTAGACATCCGACTGGTACGATACAGCAGTAATACATCCACTAATCCGTGACCACAGCTTACGTGCGTACCGTACCTTACGGGCCAGTGGATATGATCTTCAGAGAACTGTCCTGTAGCGTAGTGTAGCATGTATCATTTCATGTCGGACACTTTTGGACTCCAACGGAGGAACCGGCAGTGGGTTGAACTAGCGCCGACTTCACTGCTGCAAGGTACCGCCGTTTTCGCAACCATCACCATTGGTGGATGAACAATTGGGTGTGGTAGAAAACTCAGACGCCGTTGTTTTAACTCTTCTGTAGCCAAGAGCTCTCAGCTGTACCAGTTCTAGGTACCAAGGTATTCTGTAGCTGCAGTTTTGCCTCCCCCAGATTCACTAACAACTGCATCAGACTCAAGATCAAGCTCGGGCTCTTACATTCGACCGTCCCGCGATCGTCGCCAGGGTTTTGGGATCCATCATCGTGGTATCTCTATGTACTCTGGTACTGTCCAATACCCCAGAATAAAGTTACTGACCTGCCATTCCTAGTCACCCTCCCCCTGCCTGAGACAACCGCAAACCAAAACCCTTGCAGTAGCAGCGCAGTAGCAGCAGCACACTTGAACGCAAGCACTCAAAGTCCTTTGACCAAAAGCAGAAAGTGAAAAAAGTAAAAAGTAAAAGAGCAAGGGTCTCATCTGCCTGCTACGCTACTAATTCCTCTGGCGTCTCGGCTATGCCGCGGGACTCTCCACTCTCCGGCAGTCCCGATTCTTCAACGTTGAATTCATTATTATCGTCGGGCAACTTTACGCGGTCTAAGATAGTGAATAAAGGAATGACAAAGAACTATTTTCTATTTTTGAGTTGTATGCTAGGGAGCTACTTCTTTCTGTCAAGGGCATCATATGTCATCGCAGGTTTCAATTGAGGCTATTCAGACTCCGGCACCTATCACAAGTTACATTCTCGCAAAATGGTCATATCGCCTTGCCAAGAACTATGCTTGTGATATCGGTGACATGTTGGACTGCCTCAATTGCTTGTTCACGGTTACTACTTTCAAGCTTAATACAATGCTGCACGTTAAATACTAGCCCGCCGCCACAATCAGGCAACATGAAGACATTGAGTTTCCCTAGCTTACCAGACAGATTGGCGGCTGGCGGCAAGCAGCTGAGGCAATACCCTGGGTAATGGGTAATGATACCCTCATTGAGCCGCAAAGCTATGGCTGTGGCCTATAACAGGGTTCGCCCGCAGAAGCGCTCCAAGGCAAGCCATGACGTGTTATCGTGAGGTTTAGCAGATACGATTTGCCCAGATCAGATGCCAAGATAAAATGGCTACCTGTATTAAGGCGCCATTCCTCGCTGAGACTCGGTTCAATCTGGGCGACGTTAGAGCTTGGGACTGCCTCAACTATCCAGTATCTGTGGTGTTTGAAGTTAGCTGTTGTTTCATGGAAGACCGGATTCCGATTAGTCATGTCAGAGAATCAAGAAACAGAGCTGCGTATTGGGAGTTTGGATCATGATGGTTTTGAAAATTGCGGTTATGCCTGTGAATAAGCCAGCTTGCCTCTGAACAAAACACTTGATTGAACTCGCCTATTAGAATCCCCGGTCGCTCTGTAATGACATGTGAAGATCTGTATATGTAGTTTTATGCAGCTCTTCTGCAAGCCTGACTCGCTCTCAAACTGTTCGCATGCGATAATGTGTAACTGAATCATGGTCTATTATTGTTCCTTGTCGTTGTCTGCATATTCTCTTCTCTTCTGTAACGTCCATAGCAAGAGCAAGGATGGCTTCCGAGATGTCATGATAGCCCTTCACTTTCTCTACCGATCATGGCTACATACTTAGCCGCTAACGCGCCTCGTACTGGAAGATCTGCCTGTTTATTGTTTGTTCTGGGTCACTGTCCTCTTCAAAAGTTAAGGTTATTTCCGCAATACACAGCACACGGCAATCGAAGTCATGATACCAAGACAAGAACATGGGCTGCATCTAATCACGCCGAGGCAAACAGCAACTTCCTTCTTTGGCATATGAGATAGTGCAATAATCTTGATTCTTGGTGATCCACATGCAAATCATACGTCTTGGGAGTAACATAGTGAGATGGTGAGTTGTTCTCTGGCGGCTTTTGCAAGGAAACCGGTCTTGTTCTTGAAAGTGGGTGGATCCCCTCCCTCTTTCCATTTCCCAGGATATGGATGCTGACAATTTCCATGAGCGGATATCATTTAAGGAGATCCAAGTGCGAGTGGTGTAAATTTGGACAGCTCTTAGCTAAGTGTAGGCGGATAAATAACACCCACTCCTCCGCCAATTGGCACGTAGCCAAGCTCTTAACGGGCCGTGTAGCGTGTCCGAACCTACCGAGAACTGCCCCTGTAATTCGCTTGGCGGGAGCATCTCATCCAAAGAAAAGGGAAAGAGAAAGGGAGCCTCCAGACCTACCTGGCCTGCGCCTACCTAAGCTTACCTTACCTTACCTTTTACCTTACTGAGTGCCTGCTTTCTGCCGTCATCACTAATTAACTTAACACTTTGCGTTATCCACTCCAAGAGACGTGAAGCTCCCTGTTTTACAGGTTTCTCTTTTTTCCTTCTCCTCCTCCTTAGTTTACATCCACTCCTTTTTTTAACATCTTCAACGGTTCTCTAGTCGAGAATCTCTTCTTCTTTGTCATCCTCCTTCAAACTCGACGACCTCGACTCGACAAGCAGCTTCAACAGCGCCAGACTGATCCCTGCCCCTTTCGCAGAATCTGCCGTTATCTCGATCCAGATCCAGACGCTACATGATAAGCCACGCCACTTTGGCATTGCGACAACTTCAAGAATCTTAATTAATACAAATAACCCTCTCCTACAATGGGCGCACGAACTCGACGACAGGCCGCAAAGGCCCAAGGCTCTTCTTCTTCTGATTCCGAGCCTGAAGTTAAATCCAACGGCAATGGTGTTGCCCGCGGCACTGCGGATGCTTCGGACGCTGCCCCTCGCGAGAACATCTTCCTGTTCTACCCCAACATAATCGGTACGATAAGCTGAATAACTTGAGGAAATAGTGTCAAATTTGCTAACAAGCAATGTCTAGGATATGCGCGCATTGTCCTTGCTATCGCGTCTCTATACTATATGCCCCTCCATCCTCGCACTTGCTCGTTCCTCTACAGTGTCTCATGCCTTCTCGATGCCCTTGATGGCTACGCCGCGCGTATTTACGAGCAGTCAACTCGCTTTGGTGCTGTTCTCGACATGGTTACCGATCGCTGCACTACAGCGTGTCTCATCGTCTTCCTCTCTTCCGCTTTCCCTCGATGGGCTATCGTCTTCCAGGGCTTGATTGCTCTCGACCTTGCTAGCCACTACATGCACATGTACGCTACTCTTGTGGTTTCAGGCAGCAATGCCAGTCACAAGAGCATCGACGAGAGCAAGAATTGGCTGCTCCGCCTCTACTACACCAACAAGGTATGACCACTAATACCGTGATACCTAATTGTCATTTGCTAATTACCACTAGGGTGTTCTTTTCACTCTTTGCGCCCTTAACGAGCTCTTCTTCATTGCGCTCTACCTCCTCTGCTTCTCGTCTCCTCTTGTCTCGCCATACCTCATCAAGCCTATCGAGACTGTCGGTGCCGAACTCCAGGCTGGTGCTCAAGTCAACACCTCGATTCTTGCCCAGATCTTCCCCGATCCCTTCAGCCCCGCTGCTCTTGAGCTTGCTCGTGCCAACAAGATGGACTCCACAGTGCCCTGGGCCATTGCTGGTATCAGCTTCCCTTTTATGTTCATGAAGCAGTTCATCAACTGCGTTCAGCTTTACAACGCTAGCCAGGCTCTTGCCGAGATTGATCTCAAGACTCGTCGGGAACAAGGTCTTCCTCGACCCAAGCCTAAGAAGGCTTAAGTTGGAGGAACTCGGGCTTCTGTTTGATCGTATCCGTAAGACGTTAACAGTTCGAGTGGCAGCAAATCCTTGAGCTTTTATGGGATATTCCCCAGGCTTGCCAGCTACCAATATGTTTGACTAGGGGACAGCAGGTTTATAGCTGTGTACGGTCTTTTTCAACTTGCTCCTTGACAAGGGGTGTTTACTAGGGTATACTTTGGGTGGGCATTATATGGATTCCTCCTATACTGCATGAGTCGGCGTAAGGGGTGTGGTTTTCAAAGACTCTGACTCCGGAGGGAAGGAGACTTACTGGGTAAAAGCATTGAGAGAAGCAGCATCCACACGATGATGTGGAGGAGCTTTATTAGCTGCTAGAGGTGATAATTGTGGGAATCTTGTTTCGCTGAGATTTAGCGGGTGGGAGGTATAGACTTCGTTGTAAACTTTTCTCCTTTTTGTTCTTTGGCCGTCCATTTGTTTTTCTTCTTTGGCCTATATCTTGTTAATAGTAGACGAATGTCCAATCCACTCGCTGGGAACGAATAAGATTCGCCATAATACTTCTGTACCTCTTATAAATACTAATTTCTGTTTGTTGATTACGAGTTCGACTAGCAATTGATATATATGAGATAGTGATAAGCCTTTCTTTTAGCTGTCAGCTGGTGGTTATGGCACTTGACGGGTGATGTTAACCTCCAAGTCTGATAGTTTACATCATTTGAGTGTACTGGAAAGTTTTGAACATATTAGAGCCATAGAAGTAAGCAAATGGCATTAGATTGCTATCTCTAAATATAATACCTTTAAACAAAACAGTGGTGGTAGTAATGATTTAATATGTACCTATGACTTTACCTGTCTGCAAATTACCCCACATCCATTTGAGGCTCATCCCACATCTCAACCTCACCAAAGTGCCACCTTCCATTACCCACTTGTACCCCATATCTCTCTACCTCACCTAACCTCACCTCGACCATCACCACCTCGAGTCCTTCGTCTTCAATTCAAGCTCATAGGGACGTGAGCTTCATCGCATAGGAATCCACCACCTCGCAAATCGCAGAGGATTCGTCAGACCTTTCTTCATTCTCTTACCCCTCCTCAAACAACCCACCAAAACCGCAAAAATGTCCCACCCAAGAATAGAAGAGGTCTCGGACAGCGACTTCGACTCTGACCCAGCCGAGGGCGACATCGATGACTTTGCCGACTCCGATATCATGCGCCGTGTCGAACCCACCGTCCCCAGAACAGCTCCCGCCGCTGCTGCTCCTCCCCGTCAGGAACCAGCCATCGTCCCCGCCGATGCTCCTGTAGGAGGCACAATGCCTGCCTCAGCCGATCGCTCTGCCTATGCCGACTTCCAGTGTCTTTACCCTGTCTACTTCGACGCCTCGCGGTCTCGCGCTGAGGGTCGTCGTGTGGGCGCTGAGCTGGCTGTCAAGGATCCTCTTGCGCGAGAGATCGCGAATGCCTGCTCACGACTACGACTCCCAACACTTTTTGAGCCTGAAAAGGTGCATCCTAAGGATTGGGCCAACCCTGGCCGTGTCAAGGTCGGTCTGAAGAAGACAGACGGCCACCCCGTCAAGAACAAGCACCACCTGTACCGCCTTGTCGCCGAGCATCTGCGCGAAAACCCCACGACCGAAGACAGCCCCGGTCTGCGTGTCCGCATCGGAGGCCAACTGCAGCCCGAGCCCGGAAAGCCCTACCCCAAGCCTGCTGTGCCACGAGGATGGAAGATGGGCGAGCTTGTGCCATACCTGAGCGCTGCTATGACAGGCGGTGGTGTTTCCGAGAATCTGTTTAAGGATATGATGAAGGAGATGCAAGGTGGTGGAGATCCCATGTCAGCACTTATGGGTGCGCAAGCAGGCGGCGGTGGTGGTGAGGAAAGCAGTGGTGGCGGTAAGAAGAAGAAGGATAAGAAGGGCAAGGGCAAGGCATGAAGGAGTCACATTTACAGCATGTAGAGGGCGGCAAGATGCTATAGTCTGGGATGCTAAAGATACCCAGGGATCGAGGATGATCACATATGAACAAAAAGACGAAATGATTCAAAAATTCAATCAAACAGCCCCTTCTTCGGAGGAATGCTTTGACAAAGCTTGCTACTATGTGGATTTGCTATTTCGTTCGCTATGATACGTATAATATCCATGAAAAACCATCGAAACCAATAAATTCACCAACAAAAGGGGTATGCAGTAACTCTATGATCATACAACCAAACGGCCCTGTAAAGCCTCCCACTCCTGTGATCCAACGATCTGCACATCTCGTCCCGATCCGGGGACCATCTTTCCATCAGCACCAGGCAACTTGATACGCAGACGAGCTGCCATAGGCGCATTCTTTCTTCTCTCGGCATTGGCTGCCTGGCCCTGGAGAACATGGGCCTTCTTAAGCACTGATTCTTGCCAGGCTCCCCAGGTGGCATAATCCTCCATCTGCTTGGCAGCATGATACTGGGGCGTTGATCGAGCAGGCTTCCAAGCAAGCTTGTCATTGGGCATGGCAGAGAAGTCGTACATAGATGCTCCGGATGCCATCTTGACAAGCTCGCCCAGTACATCCTTGCCTTCGTTGGTGATCATGTTTCGGCGCTGCTCAGTGATAGAAGCGGGCTTCTTGAGCGGCTCAGCCAACCATTGGTGCTTATGCTGCTCTGATGTACGGGCACGACGGTTATCCTCACGTAGGTATCGGACAGCCGACTGAAGGCTCTCGATATCCTTCTTGAGGGCATCCATCTCGCGTGCTGTGGCAACAGCGCGTTCCTGACCAACCTTAGCACCGGCAGCATCGGCACCCTCAGCGTAAGCACGGCTATCACTGGCAATCTTCTTCCACTTGTCACGCTCCGATTCAAGGTTCTTGAGTTCTCGGTCTTGCTTCTCAATGTCCTCCTTGAGGCTGCCAACCTCCTGGCCGGAAGCCTCAAGTTCTTCCTGCAGCTTAGCGATGCGGTCGATGTTGGCCTGAGCGTCGCGCATTCTAGATTCGAGGGTCTCGATCTTGAGAACAGCAGTGCTGAGTTGATCTTCGCGTTGGATAATCATGCGGCGAGCCTCACCGTGCTCCTCCTTGAGACGACGGAGCTCCTCTTCGGCGTCAACAGGAATGACCTTTTGAGCCTTGAGTTCTTGAGATCGTAGTCGCCAGGGAGCAGGAGCAACTTCAAACTCTTGAACTTGGTCGAGGTCGGTAGCAAGCGCTGCCAGGTCTGAGATCTGGGCGGTGACAGCTCGCAGCTTGGACAGGTATGTGGAGAAGAGATCGGACTCGCTAGAGGTGCTCACTGCGAGAACAGTCTTGTGAACAGCCGATTGAACCTCTGCATATGTGAAAGGTTCGGCGCGGCCCTCATCAGCGTGGAACAGGTTGTGAAGGTCAAGGCCAATCTGTCGTGCAAGATCTGCAAGCTCCTGTGTTGCCCCACAGCATTCCTCAAATGCTTCATTGGTATCAGGCAACAAAGAGAGAGATCGTGTCCTCAAGTCCTGGAGAGCTCGTACCGCCTTGGCAGCAATAACCTTGGCACCGCGAGTGTGGGTAATAGCCGCCTCAGCCTTCTTGGAGAAGTGCTGGGCAAGCTCCTCGTCGTCACCCTCAGAAGGCACCACACGTTGAACAAGGCCTCGAAGGGTGTTGAAGGCAACAGCCGCAGAGTCGAGATGGCTCTGCATGACATTGGCCTTCATGTGAACATGATCGGCATAGTTGGCCAGGCTGTCTGAGATGTGCACCTCTCCAAGGTGTGAAAGAAGAGCGATGGTGCGGTGAAGCTCATCAGCGCAAGTCTTCTCCTTCAGCTCGTCCTTGCGTAAACCATCGATCCAGACGTTAAGGGCTCGCTCAACAGGCTCCAGCTCGTGCAAAGCGTTCTGGTACTTGGAGAATTGCTCAATGGTGCAGTGTGTCATGTCGTTGACGAAGCGGTCGCAAGTGTTCGACACCCAGACAAGCTTGTCTGAAGCATCACAACCAGCGAAAACATCATCCTCGTGTCCAGGATGAGGCTGTCCGTTGAGGCGTTCCCGAATAAAGCTGTTGAGAAGGTTCGCCTTGAACGCGACGCGACGGAAGCGAAGCAGTGAGAGCACGGAATCCTGGTCCTCCTTGTAGGTGTCTGGGAGGAAGAGTTTCACAATCTCCAAATGCTCCTCTGCTTCCTGGGCCTCCAATCGTCGAAGTTCAAGGTCGATGGTCTTGACTTGAGCCTTGGATGCTGAGAGTTGCAACTTCATGTTGAGGTCCATCATGGCGCGAGATCGATCGTTGAGCTTCTCGGACTCGCCCTCAGTGACAGCCTGTGAGGCTCTCATATCATCCAAGTCGCTCTGCAGGCTCGTGACCAGCTCCCGGAATCGCGAGAGAGTATACTCCATATCCTCCAGCGACTCTTCCTGTTGACCCGCTCGTCGAGCCTGCTCAGTAATCACACTATCCTTGAAGTCGAGCTCTTCCTGCATCTCCTTCTCATTCTGCACATGATTGATCTCAAGCTCGTCGTTGATCTCCTTCAGGCTCTCAAGGTCGTCAATAACAGCCTTCAGCTCCTCGATCTGCTCAGCCATGCTCATGTTTCGCTCTGTTAAGTCCTCAATCATATCCTCGGCACCAAGCGCGTTGTCGAGTTGTTGACGAAGATCTTCAACTGCGGACTCAGACTGCTCCAGCTTCTCCCGACACACGGAAAGCTCTTCCTTCATGGTATTGAAGTCCTTCATATCATCCTCCAGTCCAGAAATTTGGTCTCTCAGTTCCTCTTCAGACGCTTGAGTAAGGTCGCGCAATCGTATAAGTGCTTCTCGTAATCGTTCATTTGTTCGTTCCAACTGCAACCAGCCTGTGCTTGCTCGGTCTTCAGCAGACGTCCCCTTGCTATACTCTTCGTTCTCTTCCCTCAAAACCTCAACCTCGAGCTCCAACTCTTCCGCCTTCTCCTTGAGAGCATCTAGTTCAGCTCTCAAAACCTCTGCTGTTTCCTCGGCCATCTCCCGGTCGAGAGTGGCTAGTTCTAATACACTTTCTTGCTCCTGCTGAAGTTCTTCGACAGACTCTAGTCGCATTTCCGCCTCTTTCACTAACTTCTTCAGCTCATTGTTCTCTTGCTGCTGCGGTTGGTACTTTTGCTGTAGCTTTTGAATGACATTCTCGAACTTATCCCTTTCATTCTGCACCGTTTCGAGTTGCTTCAGCTTGTCTCGGTCCTCAGCTCGCTTGCGTTCTAACACCTTCAATTTGGCCTTGAGATCCTCAATCTCTCTACTTGCCGCTGTGCTTGCAGCAGGACGAGCGGCACCGGCAGTGCTAGTTGCTGAAGGCTTTCGTGACGTGGGTGGTGTAGATTGCCGCGATGCAGGTCCTGCTGTGAGTTTCTCGAGAGCCTTTGTTCTTGCTTGAACAGGGCTTCTGGGTTGCGGTGAAAGAATGTCGCCATTGTCCTTAGGAGGAGGGGGAGGAGAAACAACATCCTCCCTGTCCGAGGAACCTCTTCGTGCTTGAGAGTCGATGGATGTCCGTCTGGCAGCCGAGCTTGGGCGTGATGCTGGTCGCGATGGTCCTGTCAGCGACATGCGACTACTTGTCGTCCTTGCCGGCGCTGCACCAGGTCTTGATATCGATGAAGATGTGGATGGTTGTCTTGTTTTAGGTGGTGGAGGACCCATAGATGTACGCGCTCCTCCGACAGAAGCGCGAGGCTTCGCTCCGACAGAGGGGGCACGCGTACCCGAGGGCGTTCCTGTCCGAGAGACGGAAGTACTTGAGGCACCACTCAGTTGTTTCGTAGGCGATTTCGTGGGTGACTTGACGAATGTTAGCATTCAACCACGCAATTACACGGCAACACCTACCCTTGCAAGACTCGTCGGCCGGGCCACCTTAGGAACCGGACTCGGACTCGGTGCATTCAGGCTCTTTCTCCTACCTAGGCCCGTATCTCCTCCCGCGCTCGATGCCCTTCCTGAAGCTTGGTTGTAGCTACTCGGCCTTGAGGGCTTTCGAGCTGGCGGTTTCGGTGTGGGGGCTTGTGCGATGATGGTAGCCATCACAGGCTTGACAAACATGCCATAGCCCATGGGACAATCGAAATAACGCTCTCCTTGAACACTGCCATCATTCTTTCCCGTTTTCTCCTCCAACTCAACACCTATCCACTCTCCGACCTGGAAATGGGTAGTACCAGCGAAGCGCACGATGCCTATCCGGTCATCGTTGAGCTTCACCGTCTGCCCAGGCTTAAAATCTGGCATTATAATATGTTGTCGAAACCGTGGAGCATCGTGTCGGCGCCGCTACTAAGTCAAAAGCTATCGACGAGGTCGTGATGTCGTTAGCCTAGGTTGTCGTTGTTGTTGCGGGTCTGTTATGTAGGTTCGGTTTAGAAGTCTCCTGAGTCGCGTATTAATTAGAGGGGAGCTGTTCGCATAGTGGAGCGGTGCCGCCCGTATTGTACTTCAGGTCCCTCGGGGTACCTGGAGTCGAGGCGCGTTTACCTTCGGATAAATTGCTTTGGCGGCAGTCATTCCCGGCGGTTAGCGTCTAGGTACGTACCGCTTATGCAGGGGGTTAAACTCTCAATCCACCGGTCAGCTTCCACTTGTAAGACGTCAGTCGTGGGACAAACATCACAACATTTCTTTATTCTAAACTTTGTTGGTTGCCAAACTTGTCTGTTAGTCCAAGATTCTCGCCAGCCCGGAATAGCAACAAAGAATCACCCCTGGATACCGTTGGTGATCAAACATTTTGAGTTTATTGACGCTGTTAACTGTTAACTCCAATCCCTAGATACCTGAACTATGCTACTACTGAGGAATGTGATACAAATCGAAGCAAATTGTTTCTTCCCCCTTACCGAGAAGCTATTTTCTCAATGTTACCAATGCCACCCTTGTCGACAATATATGGTCTCTCCAGAAAGTACTCCAAAACACCATAGCTATTGCATTACAATCATCGCCTCTCGCGGAAAGTTCCTCCTCTTACCCACTCAACGACTTCAAAGGCTACTCGTCTCTCGGTAGCCTCATCCAAACTCTTTCCCACTGCAATTCTAATAATGATTAACCCATCTAGGACTTCAACTGATCCATATGTGGCAATCTCCTCATCCAAACTGGGTTTCACGTACACCACCAGGTCGGTAGCTACAATGCCACGCCAAAGGGTAGCCATCCATTGCCAGTGATCAATGGGTGCGTATGAGTCCGCAATGGGCACCGTACAAGCGAATTCCTCTGAGCGAGTGAGACTGAACCCCTCCTTGACCAGTGCCACGGGTGTCTTTGTCTCCACGCCATCGTCTTGACTCCCTTTGGACGCATTGTCCTCCTCCATGGAGCCACGTCGAGAAATAGGTGACTCGGGATCTGTCTCCATCTTGGAGTTAAGGAGCGGCTCGGCTTGACTGGTAATGTGCTTCACCATCTCTCGTGAGTTTTGATGCCAGTGAACCATGGTCTCAAAGCATGAACTGATTTGGCGACTGGGGGACGGTGATTCGTCTTCGCTTCGAGAGCCCTGGCGCTGACTGTTTGATTCCCCCTCTGTATCCTTTCCCCATGTCTTGAGTGCCACCTCGTTGGATGACAAAAGAGCTCTTTCAACAAGAGCTCCAACTTGCTTCAGCATTCGTGGCTTTGGTCCTTCGATCGCGATTACGGCGCCTCGCTTCCCTGCTCCCTTGCTACTAGTTTCGATAGCGTCGTTGTCAGTACGAGTGATTCGAGCGATAAGCGCAAGCTTTTCGGTGAACGGCATAGACATGACCATGGCCTCGACGCTTCTGGCTTGGGGATCCCGATTGTTAGAGATTCCAAGTCCAGTAACTGGAGTCCTGAGCTGCCGAATGTCGACTTCTGGTACTGTGTTAGGCGACATCGGTCCAGAGGTTTGCAGAGGGGGGAGTCTCAAAGACTCGTGGGGGTATCGGCCACGGCTCTCATGCTCAGCCCATGGCCCTCCAGCTCCAGGGCGCGGAGGAGGAGGCATTGGACCAGCTTTGGAGCGAGTAAAGTGCGGATCAGGGTGAGGGGTGACAGGATATGGCCGTTGAGCAGGTCCTCCTATGGACACTGCTCGAGCTCCAGGAGAAGGGATGGTACGGTAGCCGCCGATTGAGTTAAAGCGGCGCCTCTTGATTTCAGGATTTTCGGGCTCGTAGTCGTCCACCTCTCGATAAGCAGGTCGCTGCATTGGAAGACGCTGTCTCATGACGGGCAGGTTGCCGTAACTCCCACGGCGGGCAGCTTCCGCTTCCTCACCTCGCAAGCTTGGCGTATAGGGGTACGGGACAGGTCTGTCTTCTGCTGATGCGGGTGTCGGGAAGGGGGTTGAAGGGGTTTGAGGAGTTGCAATCAACCGCAAATTGCACTTTGGACATCGCCCAGAGTCGTCTCCTGACAGAGAACCAGATCTGAGACCTTGACCTTTGTTTCCACGTCTGGGCTGGTAGCGATAGTCCGGATATTGTCTTTGATGACGCTGCTTTTCTTCATCTGCTAAGCTCTTCCAGTTGTCTTTGACTTCTTTTGGCTCGTCTTGCCACTGTTCCCCAATGATCTTTGAGATATCAGGGTTAGAAAGGTTAGGGTTGCGAGCAACAACATGAGCCTGATGATGTTGACGATAGAGGATGAACGCTGCAGTGCTGTGTCAGTGGGGGGAACTCCATGTATACGTAGAGCAGAGTTGTTTGAAAGGGGTGCTGCCACTATCCACAAACTCCATGCAATCGATACCGCGATGGTATCAACCTAACAAAGAAAGATTCAACTCACCATTACGAGGTCTGGGAATCTTGGGAGCTGGAGTACAGAGACAAATATCTCTTGTTCCTTCGCTACTGGCCATGCTGGTAGGCGTACTCAGCTGTAGCCTCTCAAGTCGACCGTAATTTGCATCAGCAGTGTTGATGGAAGCAGCACGTTTTCTACCCAGAACAGAAGTGCGAGGACTGGGAGATTCTGGAGTATCAGGCAAGGCACGAAAGGCCCGGGGTCTGCCGTAGTCATCGGAGCTCATGGGGGAGGAGTGGGCCGGGGTCATGGCCTGGGCCGGCGTAACCAAAGAGATGACTTGTGTCATTTTTTTGTTTTCTTTTTGGGACGGTACCTGTCGATTAGAATATGCCGAGCTAGTGACCCTTGTCGTATTGATGTTGAACAAGAAAGGCTGAATGAACTCTTGTAATATTGAATGAGATGAGATGAAACGAGAGTTAATAACGAACGGATAGCCTCAAGATGAGGACAAATTATAAGAAGTAATGAGGCCAAAGCCTCGGTCGATATAATGATGTTTCTTTCTTTTCCAAGAAGATAAAAATGTCTTCTCTTCTTTTTGTCTCTTTTGCTTCAAAGAAGATAGTAGGTAGTTCCCGTTGTGTTGGGGGCACCGTCTGTGCAGTGCCAAGTCTTTGTGTGTTAACGGCAGCCCATTCAGTAGCCTCCAGAGAACAATGAAACTGTACCAGTCTTTCCTTTCACAACCTAAACCGGGAAATTAGGTGTGTTTCCATTATCGTTTGCTCTTTGATCTCTCTGTCTCGTTCCTCCTCTGTGCTTTTCTTATCTCACTTGAAAGCCCTACTTTCTGCAGGTCTTCTTTATCTTTCTTCGTTAGATCCAAGCTTTCTCTCCCACGGTGTTCCCCTCTACCAATATCAAAGATAGATTAGGCGTTCTGGTAATTCGGGATCATTAAGTGAATAGCGGATATGCACCTCTGCATGTCCCGGTACTTTGATGTTTGGGTTGAAGCTTAGTCCTGCGTTTGATCTGTCGGCAGGTCTCCTCAGCCACTTGTCCAATAGGAAGCATACAGTAGCAGCAGCAGGGAACAAGGTATATGCCACAGTCGGGAAGAGGTCCCTGGTATCCGTAGAGTAGGACGAAATAGAGCTGGGGTCTATTAGTGAGAGAAAGGAAGTGAATGTGTGAGTGTAAATGTGATAGGAGCCAACGGAACGGAACAGGAAACAAGAAACACGTACAAAGGGAACCATAACCCACGGACTTTGCCATGATATATCATCTTTCCTCCCTTCTATCCCTGTCCATTCTTTTTGTCTTCCTGTGTAAAGCACGTTCACTTATTATGATGCGAGCGAATACCGTTCACCCAAAATGTTCCGGGCTCTCACTCGCACTCTTTCTTCCCCCTTGTTTAAGCCCAGCCTCTTTTCCAACCCGCAACAATGCTACGTACGATATGCTCTGTCATCTGTGCTATGCAATGTCGGAATGTGGACTATGTCTGGTCTTGGTCTGGGGCTGGAATGCTTGGTGTAGGGACTGAAACAAAGACAATGTCGTCCATGAAATTGGCACAAGTCTATATGTAGTGCACGTGATGGGCAAACTGACATGTTCCCCCCCTTGTAACTAACCTGATACAGTATATGGACCAACAATTCTGGCTTAAGAGACGGCAGCTAAAATGAGATGGGATTTGGTGACGCAGGATTGCCGTGGGTGTGTCCTCCAACCCGCTCCGACAAATTCCTTGGCCTGTGTTAAAAGATCAAAGGGTCTGTCTTGTAGGAGGGGCCACTTTGTTGTTTAAGTCTAACTCTGAACCTGTCTATGATTAGCATAGCATGGCATTAGAGAATGAATGGACGGACAATACAAGGGAGGCTAGGCTTGCTCAAAGGGAGCTTAACTAAGGCAGGGATTTGCAAACGGCATTCTCGTAACGATAGAATCAATATGAGCCAGCCCGACGCCAAACCTCTGTAGTAGTATTCCGTGGTTCCCTATCAAGTACACAATAGCTAGAGGTCAGGTGTTTTCCCATGTACCAGTAGCCCCTTTAAAAATAGTAATTATGACACATCTTCCATCACACCCAGCGCCTTCTAGTTCCAAATTCAACTTCCTCCGACTTCGCAGTCGTCTCCATTTTACGAGAGGTATCCCTTTCCGGCCTCGGTGCCCAGAAGGGCGGCGCTTCGGCGAGCGTCAAGGAAGAGTTCCTCACACTCGGCAACATCCTGAACATCGATTTGCGAGCGGCCGTTGGCCTTGGCAAGAATGCTATTTCTTCAGTGTTAGTGATCATGTCTCGGATCAATTCAGCTCAGGCCTCAGGGTCTCCCCTTTCGCCACAATGACTTCGACTTACCTCGCAGGAGTTAGGAGCTGCAGACAATACCGCAGACTGATGCGGACACCGTGTTCCGAGATCTTGTCAATGGCAGCATCTGACACTGAGACGCCCTCGGTTGTCGATCGTATCCGTACAATACGCTTAATTTCGTCGGCCTCGTAGGGTGTTGTGGGGATGATGAGCATGCGTGTAAGAAAGTCGGCGGGGATTCCGTGGGCTGCGACAATGTCGTCGGTGCCTCTGATAGTGCACATTCCCCGGTTGGAGGCCAAGACCACGATGGGGGCAATTGGCGATTCGAGGGCTCTGTTCAGGTAAGTGAAGCACTCCACATCAAGCATGTGTGCCTATCAAGCATATCGATTAGCCATACAATCCCGTCTCATTACGGCAAGAGGTGGGAAGGGTTACCTCATCGATAAACAAAACACCAGGCACAAGTTCAGCCACACCCTGGTCGATGTACTTGCTGACCACTTTGTTGATCTCCCCTCGCAGTTTGTCCGTAATTTCCGTCATCTTGGGCTTCATCAACTGGCCCATCATACTCATAATATCCTGGCCGCCTTGAGGACGAGCATTGGCCACATCCAAGTCGTGCAGCGTGACATCCTGCACAATTTCCTTCTTCTTGTGTACCTCACCCTTGGGAATGGGTACATACTCCTCCGCCTCGAGATCGAATTCCGTAGCATAGGCGTCAGATCGTCCAACTCGTTTGCAGGCACCGGTGTTCGCTTCGATATAGATAACATCACCGACTGTAACTCTCTCCTTCTGAATCGCCTCGTAGATGCTGGGGTCCAGGCGAAGCTTCTTTTGTCCCTTTGCGCTCTTGAGTCCAATCAACAGTGTGCTGATGGTCTTGCCATAACCGCCTAGAGGGTTTTCAGCCTCTTCGGGTGTGAGTTCTGTGACCTCTCCTTCGTAAACCTCCTTCGTCTCTCGGACCTTGAGACCAATGGCTCTTCGGAAGTTCTCCATCAACATCTCGGTCTTCTTGACTTCGGTGGAGTAAATTTCGCTGCCGACGATGGGGCAGAATGGGATCTTGGTACCCAACTCTTGGCTGATGGCGAGCGCCAGAGCTGTCTTTCCAGTTCCAGGGCCTCCCGCAAGCAAAACACCTCGGCCAGCCATCTTCTGAGCTCGAATCAAGTCCACGACGACACCGCAGGACTAAATACAAATTGGTAAGCATTTGTTAGTGAAAATCGTGCCTTTCAGTCCTTACCTCTCGCGCGGCAGCTTGGCCAACGAATCCGGCGGCTTGCTTCTCTGCATATCCATCGGATTTCAGGCCCAAGCCCTTGATGTGTGTATGGGCAGCTGTACGGTTGTCTCGCTTGTTGCCCTTGACCTCGCTGATTTGGACCATGGTGGCGACGGGTGTCGAATCAATCGACAACTATGTATTGTAGTATCGGTTTTGTTGACGCGGCAATTCGACTCGGAGTGAGATGGTTTTGTTGTGGGGTGATTGAGTATGATGGTGATGGGAGATGTCGCGAAAGCTTCTAAATATTTGCGACTGAAGCTAAGCCAGTGAGCAGCTCTCATACCAGGCGCGAGAACGCGCTATGACAGTCACGTGTTAATTCCTAGTTATACACTTACCCTGTAGCCACTCTAAATTGCACTGGTGGCCATCATTCTGGCTCGAATGGTTTGCATTTTGAAATTAAGAGTATTCCAGTGAGTAACACATAAGTTCCCCATAAGTATGTGAACTTTTTCTTCTGTTCTTTTCGAGTTTGGGGTGCGTTGTGATGAATCGCAGTAGACCATGTAAGTGAGAGGGTTCACACCAGGCTCAACAATTGGCAAGCAAGCAGTGTATCAATACTAATAAAACTACAGGGGAGACAGTTATACGGCACTCGACATATCAAAGTACGATCCAGCTGGTGGCATTGTGATAAAAATTGATCCTAACGGGTTGGTACCACAGCATCCATGGGATGTCGAGGATGTTCAGCATGTGGGTTAGTTCTCATGATGAGTATGTCTATCCATGAGTGTTACTAGAGTATAAGATGTTGACTAACTAACTGGTTATTTTTGAAGTAAAACGGAGAGGGGCCAAGTTCCCAATTGTCTTCACACAAAAACAATCCAACTCAACTGTTTACCGGCTTAATTCAGTTGCCGGATTACTGTTATAAACTCTAGACTTTCAGATGTCAGTCAGGGTAGTTGTTAGCCTCCACGTAATCTGTCAGGAACGGGGCCACAGCTGTCGCCTCGACCCACTCTGCTACTTGAAGCTACCTCGTACAGGCCCAATCTGTAGTGTTTCAGAAGGTACCTGTCTGAACCTCTAATTGGCGGCGGGACACTTTTAGAGGCGTAACCTCCCAAATGACGCTTGACAATAGCGCACTTAGGCTGCGACAATGGTAATGCGCTGGTCTTGAAATAATCTGTCCCCTTATGAGCCAAGACACAAGCTACTATTCTGCAACAAACAAACACCAGCTGTACAAAAACCCACGAAGCATCGATCGTGTTTCGCCCATTTCTGAATATATCGACTGCACGAGTTCACCGAACGGACAACAGACTCGTGGACCCCTTTGCGACTTTGACCCTGAAATGCGACACAGATAAGAGACTCCATACCAAAGATCGATCGACAACGTTCAACGACATACGGATAAAAAAAATCGAGATATAATTCACATTCCCAGACTCGATAAGAAAGACGAAGGGGAGAAGCTCTAAAGAGAAGCAAATACGGCTATAAAGAAAATTGCATCTTTGTTACATCACCGCTGCAGCATGTCTGAGGAGCACTGCTAGCTGTCCATCTCCATACTTCACCACATCCACACACACACAACACCTGATCCGTACCTCCTCATCGCCAGGAGCGTAGCCAGGGATGCCGCCCTCACAACAATATCGACCTTCCGACCCACCCGATTCCCCCGCGAATGACTCCGACTCCGATCTTGATCTAGATATCCAGGAGCTCGACCCAATATCGACTAAACCTGCCCCAAGGGCTAACAACGAGCGTCCTTCGGCTGAGCCCGAGACTTCGCGGATAGCGCTGCGAAATCTGCGTATGGGTGGAGCACGGCGAGCTGGAAAGCGGAATCGGGGGTACGGTGACCTTGGTCGGGACAGAGATGGAAACGACGAGCACTCGCAATCATTACTAGGAGACCATAACAGCAGTACGCCTCGGTGGTCAGATGGAAGCGGCAATGAGGACGACCAGCCACTACTAGGAGGACAGCCCTCACAGGGCCGGAGATCCATGAACTCGGACAGAGTCTCTTCACGACTACGACTACCTAGTTTCATGTCGAGTTCTAAGAAGCCAGACCCAAATGACGCAGAGGACCGAGAAGAAGATGACCCATCCTCATCACGACATGTTGCTGTGGGCTCAACTCAGCCTGTACGCTTTCCGAACAACATTATCTCGAACGCCAAGTACACCGCCTTGACGTTTCTCCCAATCACTCTTTACAACGAATTCTCCTTTTTCTTTAATATGTACTTCCTTCTCGTGGCGCTGTCGCAGGCGATACCTGCCCTGAGAATTGGCTATCTGCTCACATACATTGCCCCGCTGGCATTTGTGCTTTGTATTACTATGGGAAAAGAGGCTTTCGACGATATTGCTCGACGACGAAGAGATACCGAAGCCAACTCGGAGGAATACAAGGTCATTGTGCTCCAGGATGCCGATTCAACGCAATCCCCGGTGCGACAGAGAAAATTGCTCAAGTCAGAGGTGTTGCAGAAGCATTCAAGGAAGAAGTCAAAGGGAGCACGGGAGAACCTCTCAGACATTTTAGAAGAGGAGAATGTTGAGGCACCACCTCCATCCTCGCGAGCTATCGAAGTTAGCCGCAAGTCTAAGGACTTGAAGGTTGGCGACGTTCTTAAACTTACAAAGGGTCAACGTGTACCGGCTGATGTCGTCATATTAAAATGCTTATCTTCCGAGGCTCCTGCACCTGCACCAATTCCTGAAGAACCCGCGGAAGAGGAATCTTTGCTGGCGTTCGATGGTGAGGAGCCACGAGGGAAAGGGAAACAGCCTGCGCAAGCGGCCCCAGAGCAAGAGGTGGAAAGCGGTCCAGGAGGTGAAACCTTCATCAGGACCGATCAACTGGATGGAGAGACGGATTGGAAGCTCAGACTTGCTTCCCCTCTTACACAGAATCTGCCAACTGAAGAGTTTGTCCGTCTTCGTGTTACTGGTGGAAAACCGGACAGAAAGGTCAACGAGTTTTTGGGTACGATCGAGTTAGTTGACTCCCGAACCGAAGCGTTGGCACATCATGCGACAGTAGGGGAGTCTGATGCAGCTCATACGGCTGCCCTTTCTATCGACAACACAGCATGGGCCAATACTGTCATCGCCTCACAAGCTACTACTCTAGCTGTCATTATGTACACTGGTCCTCAGACACGATCTGCTCTTTCCACAGCCCCTTCCCGTTCCAAGACTGGTTTGCTGGAGTATGAGATTAATTCATTGACCAAGATCCTGTGTGCGTTGACATTGGCTCTGTCGGTTATCCTGGTCGCACTTGAAGGTTTCGAGAATACCAAGAACAATGTTTGGTATGTCAAGATCATGCGCTTCTTGGTTCTGTTTTCTACCATTGTTCCCATCAGTCTTCGTGTCAACCTTGACATGGGCAAGAGCGCATATTCTTGGTTTATACAGCGTGACCCTGGTATGCCTGGCGCTGTTGTACGAACCAGTACTATTCCTGAAGATCTTGGCCGCATTGAATACCTGCTTAGCGACAAGACTGGCACGTTGACCCAAAATGAAATGGAGATGAAGAAGATCCACGTTGGAACAGTGTCCTACGCCAATGAGGCAATGGATGAAGTATCAACATATGTCAAGCAAGGGTTTTATGTTCCGCCATCGACAGATCGCGCTTCCCAGAACATGCTCATCACCCCTTCATCTACATATTCCAGCTCTACCAACACAGGAACAACACGTACAAGGCGAGAAATTGGCACTCGAGTTCGTGATGTCGTACTTGCTCTTGCTCTTTGTCACAACGTCACACCTACGGTTGATATCGAGGACGGCAAGGAGGTCACTGGATACCAAGCATCTTCGCCTGATGAGATTGCCATCGTCAAATGGACAGAATCTGTTGGTCTAAGGCTAGTGTACCGTGATCGCAAGAGTATGGTACTGGAATACACCAACAACAAGAGACCGGTAGTTCGCGTGCGAATTCTTGACGTGTTCCCTTTCACCTCTGAGGGCAAGCGTATGGGTATTATCGTCCACTTCCACGAGGACGTCAGCGTTAAGAATCCAAGCCTGTCGAGTGGCGAAATTTGGTTCTTCCAGAAAGGTGCTGACACAGTCATGAGCACCATTGTTGCAGCAAACGATTGGCTTGATGAAGAGACAGCCAACATGGCACGCGAAGGACTGCGTACGCTTGTTGTTGGTCGAAAGAAGCTCTCATATGACCAGTACAAAGAGTTCTCTGCTCGATACCAGTCGGCATCGCTTTCCATCAGTGGGCGTGATGCTGGCATGCAGCGTGTGGTCTCTCACTACCTTGAAAACGACCTAGAACTTATCGGTGTTACTGGTGTAGAGGACAAGCTTCAGAAAGACGTCAAACCCTCTCTTGAGCTACTCCGCAACGCTGGTATCAAGATTTGGATGTTGACTGGTGACAAGGTAGAGACTGCCAGATGTGTAGCGGTCAGCTCCAAGCTTGTGGCTCGTGGTCAATACATCTATACGGTTTCGAAGCTCAAGAAGAAGGATAACGCCCAAGAACATCTTGACTTTCTCCGAAGCAAGACGGATGCTTGTCTCCTTGTTGATGGTGAGAGCTTGGCGCTCTTGCTGACGCACTTCCGCCTTGAGTTCATCTCTATTGCTGTCCAACTGCCTACTGTTGTTGCTTGCCGTTGCTCACCGAACCAAAAGGCTGAGGTTGCTAAGCTCATCCGGGAGTACACCAAGAAGCGCGTGTGCTGTATTGGTGACGGCGGCAACGATGTCTCTATGATTCAAGCTGCCGATGTTGGTGTTGGTATTGTTGGAAAAGAAGGTCGACAGGCCAGTTTGGCTGCCGACTTCTCGATCGAGCAATTCTGTCACCTGGTCAAGCTCTTGGTCTGGCATGGTCGTAACAGCTACAAACGAAGCGCTAAGCTCGCACAGTTTGTTATTCACCGTGGTCTAATCATTGCCGTGTGCCAGACTATGTATAGTATTGCTATCAAGTTTGAGCCAGAGGGCTTATACAAGGTGAGTTCCATTTTCTACGCCGTTCTGTTCATATGACTGACTTTTTAGGATTGGCTTCTTGTCGGCTATGCTACCGTTTATACTGCAGCACCTGTTCTGTCACTTGTGCTCGATAAAGACGTTGACGAAAACCTTGCCAACCTTTATCCTGAGCTTTACAAGGAACTCACAACTGGACGATCTCTCTCATACAGAACTTTCTTTGTCTGGGTATTAGTATCAATTTACCAAGGCGGCATGATCCAGGGCTTGTCACAAATCTTCACCGAAGTCGACGGCCCTAAGATGGTTGCTGTCAGTTATACCGTCCTTGTTCTCAACGAACTTCTTATGGTGGCTATTGAGATCACCACGTGGCACCCCATTATGATCATCAGTATCATCGGCACTTTCCTTATGTACATCGGTTCCATACCGTTCTTGGGCGGATACTTTGACCTCGAATTCTTGATAACTTGGTAAGTTGTCCCTTTTCTGTGCTATCTGCTCCTTACTTACACCACATAGGGGATTTGTTTGGCGTGTACTGACGATCGGCGCTATTTCTCTGATCCCACCGTACGCGGGCAAGTTGATTAGGAGAACAATGAAGCCTCCGTCGTATAGGAAGGTTCAGAATCATTAAATAGTCATGTCATGGGCGTGGAGTTTTGTGCTGGCGTTGGATGATCAACTAGACGGCACCATTGTTACTACTAGTATTACAGGTTTTATTTGTACTATCCATAGATGATGTCTATACCTCTTTACGAATGCTTCAAACTTTTTACAAAATATTATACATGTCTTTTGTTCCAGTGGCTCACATCTTGAGAACCAACCAGTCTCTAGCCAAAGCAGGATTTTGCCTTTGCAAGCGACCAGCTACTCCTGCGAGTGGACCTTGTGTCTGCTGTCCGCCTAGCCAAATCTTGGGTCCGGCATAATGCTCGATGAAGCCATCTGGGCCAGAGACAATAAACAAGTTCTTCCCAGGCGTGGTGCCCTCGGAGGGTTTGCAGACACATCCAGGTCCCTCTGGTAGAGCGAATTCAGAGGCGTGAACATGCATCGCCTGGTCATGGAATCGACAGCCTGCATTGAACGAAGCTACCGCCCCAGGCGATGTTGTAACAGTGTTGTTGATGTCCTTATCCTGGAAACGAGTTCCCTCCTCATCAACAACGACCTGGATCCTCAAACGATCACCGTAGGTCATCTTGAGGTCTTGCAAACGCTTGGTCACCGGGCTAGGGTTGTTGACCTCAGTGCCCAGTCCAGTCGGCTTTTTCTCCTGCCAGAACTTCCATGATGATTGCTGTGGAGGGGCGCTGTTCTGCATCTCCTCTCGTTTTCTCACCGCCCAAAGCAAGTCAACACTGGACTTCTCATTCGCTTCCAGCACGGCCTTTGCTGCTTGAATACCAGGCACGACACCCGTCCCACCAGCCAGGAAGACAAGACGGGAGTGTTCGCCTAATCGCTCAGCGAGCTCAAAGCCTACATGAGGACCGCGTAGAAAGACATCCTCACCAACCCTTCTTCGTCCTAGATAATTCGACATTTCTCCATCGCCAACAGTGCGTATATAGAAGCGCAGCGCACCATCTGTGGGATTCTCAGTAGATAGCGGTGGAAGAGGCGTATAGTGCCGTGAGATCTGCACTTCGGGCTGCTTGAACTCCACAGACCAGAGAGGGTTCTTCCATTTATTATCTGAAGGGTTGAGATAAGGCAAAGAAGGATTTGGTGTACGTGGCACAGCTGTGATGACGAATGAAGTTGGTGAGATTGCCTCTCTGGCTGTAATGGCGTAGGGAACAAAGCTTATGTCGTTGAGAGTATCTGGTCGAGAAGGTGGCGTAAGGAGATAGTATCCACCGCTGACGAGAACGATTCCAACGACTATCAAAGAGGGAAATATGCGCGCTTGGAGAGGTGCGGAAAGGTCTGGTTTGTGAGAGGCATGTCGTTGGGCTGATGAGATTGATAGGGTTGGTGATGATGTTTTGAGAGTCCTGGTTTTTGAAGTTGACAGTCGACTCGTTAAATGGCCATTCTGAGTGAGAACTCTTTGGTTTTGATTCACGGTCCTCAATGACCTTGAGAATATCCTTGTTGTAGGTCTCATCATGTTGATTATTGGTGGCCGAGTGCTCAATTTAATCTTAGAGACTTTTTGCGCTATCACGAAGTCCAAATGCCCAGATTTCGATGATATAGCGTCGATGTGAATCAAGATAAGAATATGTATCCAGGAAGGTTGGCTATTCCTTGTGGTCGACTTATCGCCGAATAACAAAATGGCTTTTTGAGATTCATGTTACAAAAAGTCAAGATGAAATTCCCACCAGGGTCACGTGGGTCCCTGAATCGCCTCGATGAATAGACATCGTCATTGATGAAAACAACTCCCGAATCAAGGCTCTTAGAATCTTGTATATAGTTCTAAATAGATGTAATGAAGTATGCAGAACTCTGTGTTGGTAATGTAAATCGTGGATTTCTAATACCAGGGTATCTATCACCATCTATCTATCTATACTAACACCATTTACTCTTACATTCTCAACATCTTTCTCTGAGCATCAATTCCCCCTCTAAATATATCCGCAACCACATGTCCCTTCAAAACAGTCTCCTTCACAATCCCCTCCACATTCTTAGGATCGACCCTCCCATACCATATCCCATGACCAGCCAAAGGATGCGGCTCACTGCCCATCTTCATGTCTGGAGGCAGATAGATAATAACATTGCCGGCAAACTTATGTCCTCCAATATGACTGATTAATCCGATTCTGGCTGATGGCTTGGTCTCGCCGGTTTCGCCTTGTATTCTCTCTGTGTCGTTGAGATTGACTTGCACGGGTCCTTGTAGAACATCAAACCCTTCTTTCTCCAGTTTGTCCTCGAACTCGGTCGCTAGAACAGGCGCCATGATACCACATCGCGCATCACGACCTGTGTGTCCGCATATAAGTACCAGAACATCTCGGACATCCTGGACTCCTGGCAAAAGCCCCTGGTAACCCTCCTTGCGCGTTAAACGGTCTCGATGTATGGGCGAGAGACCATCATGCATGGAGTGAAGCTTCTCGGGTAGTAGGAATCCCTTGGCTAGAGCTTCTACACTGTCGAATGACACCCGTGGAAGAAACGGAATGTATTTGAAGCTTGGCAGTAAGTATGCAGACGTTGTCTGGACTTGAGGGCGAGGTGAAGTAGAGCTTGGAAATGAAGAGTTGAGAACAGAAACATTATGGAATGGCTAGATGGGTTAGCAAAATAGTTCATGCAAAGCGCATAGAAGATACACACATCGCTGTAAGTTCCACCCCGACCAAATAACTCTTTCAAATCCGCAGCGAGACAATCACCGCCATTATCATCTTCTATCCTCGACGGCCAGTCTGCATTTCCCGTACACACGAGCACATGCTCTGCATACCCAGCGATTGTACCTTTGAGAGGTCCCTCACGATCTAGAGGCAAGTCCTCAGGCATCTTCGGGGCTTCAGCACACCCGCATGTTGGCTCTGGACATGTCGGAACAGTGTTGAATGGTGGAGGAGGTGGAGGTCGTTTTTGTCTTGTGCCCTGGGCGTATGATCTTCGTGGTATGAGAGATAACCTGGAGATACATTGCCGTGTGAGGTTTATTGACGGTCGAAGAGACATTATAGAGATTCCACAGACTGGGGCTGTACTTGTCTATACTGTGAGTGAGAAGCCGTTGTGAAATTCGTGTTAAAATAGTAAGTGAAGAATAGACCGAATACCGAGGCCGGGGTTTTGAGATGTATATACATCATCGGTTTTTCGGAGACAAGAAATATATAAATCCCCCACTTTCCGGAAGACTCGGCCCCCCACGTTTCAACGACTCAGAGATTCACACGTTAGTAGGTATAATGGTTTGACTAAACTGTGACGGAGTCACTATAACAATTTGTCTCTTGTACATATCAGCGGTCAGCCTGACCAAAATGATGAGAGGGCAATGCATTTATAAGGCAGAAAAAAGCATCCAATATCTTGTATTCCGCCGCGAAATCCGAAACTAAACTGGCTAATACCCTATGATCCAACTCCCGTCGTTGCCATTATCAACGCTACATACAATCTATTCAGTAACACCGCAATGCAAGTTATCAAATATGCCGTAAATCCTATTCAGAACAATGTTATACCAAGCCTTGTGGCTCTTCCCCCTCTCCATTCGTACTCCCCATTACGTATCGACGATGAACAAGTCATTATCTTAAAATCCTGGGGCTCCCTTCTGATCGCAGTACCCGGGGTGCTTGGGTTCAGCAGTGGCCCAGCTCATCGCAGTAAGAGTTGTCGCATACGCCATTGCGACGAATCCAAAGATGCAGAGTAGGATATCGGCAGCTTTCCAAAACTTCGTACGGGCAATGGCCTTGTAGTGAAGCATAGGCTGAGAGAATTGTTAGTAATCAACTCATCAACAATGAGTGTTTTGACTTACAGGATAGATAAAGACAAGAGGAATGCAGGCAAAGTTACCAACAAGCGCAACAAACTTGTCCAGATGGTCGGCTCCGAGCCAAGCAATAGATGCGCACAGCATCACAACAAAGAAACGGAAAACGTTCTTCTGCCACTTAACCCACGGGTTGTACTTGCCACTGCGAGTGAAAAGCTCTGTCTCGGCAATACGGATGGCAGGGAAGATCTGCAGTGGTGTGGACAGCAAGATGGCAACAGAGTACAGAAATTGAACACCGTTGACCATCTTGTTATCCTGAGGCAAGTTGAGCAGGACAACGGTCTCGGTGTGGGATCCGTAAGCGGCGTATGAGATGGCACCCATGCCGATGAAGAGGACTGTAATGATGATCATGACAATGAGAAGAACGCGAGGGAACTTCTCAGGATGTCGCATCGACTCCTGGACGGGAATGATAAGACCGATGCCTTCAAACGTGAAAATGGCAGTTCCGATAAACAGAGTCCAATCCTTCTTGTTGAACATAATGATATCGGCAATACCATTTTGGTTAAGAGTCAAGATATCGTAGTAGAGAAGATAAGCCAAACCAATCAGGATGAAAGCATCTGCGACCAGAGCAGTAAATGCCAGCTTTCCAATGTCTCGCAGAAGAGCAAAAGGCAAGAAGATGATCATTTGGATAAGGATGAGCCACTGGATGCTGATGGAGGATTTGCAGTCGGAGACAGCCCTTACAAAAGCCTGCAAGTTGGCAGCCGTAAAGACAGTGTAAGCTGCCACGAAACCAATCTGGCTGATGACAATGGAGGCCAGGATGAGAGTGCGCATTTTCTTGCCATACAAAGCACCACCCAGATCACCAAAAGAACCACCAACCTTGAGCTGCGTCTTGACAAGAAGAACGAAACAGTAGTAGCTGAGGGCGGCGACACCAAAGAGGATCATGTTGCTGAATAGCATACCTCCGTTGAGGTAGGCTCGGGGCAGGAAGAGGACACCAGTACCAACAAAGGACTTGAGCAACAGTAGAGCTGCGTTAAAAGGACTATTGTTGCCGCTGCCACCTCGGACCTTGCGCTTACGTCTGCGCCTTGACGGTGTCAACAGGGCACTGTCTTCCATGGGCTCTCGTTCATCATCGGAATTGTATTCGTCGGTGTCTTCTCCAGATGAGAAGTACTCGTTCGGACCCAAGTCTTCGTCATCCTCCTCGAGCTCTTCACCGGCGAAATGTCCATAGATCGACAAGAATTCGAGGAAACTCGACGTGAACAATCTTTGCTGACCGGGTGCTGGAGAGTTATGGCCGTCCTCGAGGTGGCCATGGGGGCCTGGGCTTTGCACGGACCGGCGAAGATGATTTCTGCGGAAACCACCAGGGACCTTTATCGAGTTGATGTCGAGTACGTCCGTTTCGGGCTCGGGTCGTCCAAGATCGAAACTCTTGCTGCGGTTGTATTTTGCTCGTGCTTCGGCCTGCTCAGTCCACTTGTAGATACCTCGAGTAACATCACCGCCCTGCAGGCGCAAACTTGAGAATTCGTCATCATTCAAGCCAGCACCGCCAATCTCAGCTGGCTGCTTGCCCTTTGTGTTACCCTGGATCGAGGACTCTTCCGAAGTCGGGTTCTCATCCGTAGGTTGAACTAGATGGCGCTTAACGATCTCAGGGTCCTCATAAGGTGCGCTAGTGCCCAGCGCATTTTGAGAGCGTGAGTTGAAGGAGCCATAGTTGGTCGGTGTCCCCGAGTTCCGAGCACCCAAGAGAGGAGATTGCGAACGGATTGGAGGAGTACCAACGCGAGCAGCAGGAGTACCGTGGCGTGGAGGAGATTGTCCCAAAGAGTTGGAGAGGGCCGCAGCAAGAGCAGACACACCAGGACCTTGCATACTGGTCCCGGTTCCGGGCAACTGGCTCAGTTCCTCAAGATTATCGGCACGCGAAGCATCAGGGCGAGGGGTCCCCCCAACAGGAGGTGTAGTTCCCATCTGTGATGGAATGGGAGAAGCAAGACGCGCCGTCAAATCTGCTCGAGGGACCGAAGCGGAAATCGATCGGGGTCGGAAGCTCGAAGGTGACGAGGACCTGGGAGGTTGATCCGATGGAATTCTCGACGGAGAAGCCATCTTGTAGTCGATTGAAGGTGTGATAAGCCTTATCGCATAGTATGTACGGTGTTGAGAATAATAGTTTTGAGTCGCGCAGAGCGGTGATGACGCAGATGCAGATGTAGGCGACTATATGGATGCCCAGCAACGAGACTTCAGTCAAAAATAAAGAAGCTGCAGAACTAGACGACAAAAAAGAATGACGACAAAGAATAGAGAAACAGTCTCGGGGAACGGAGATTATATGAAGAAGTCACGAGTGGTCGGATGACAGAAACAATTGATGGAATTTCTGGTTGGAGGAAGAGAGATAGGATAGGATTGGATTGAATTGGGAAGTAGGTAGGTGAGATAAGGGCTTGTGCTTGTGCATGCTGCCTGCAGCCTGTCGCCTGTCGCTTGTCGGCTGGGCTTATAGCTGCCCTGAACGGTGAAGCTCAGACGCTCGCGCAGGGAGACCCAGGCTCTGGGGTCTGGTGACTAAGGTTAAGGGCAGTTGCCGAGGCGGGCTAGGCTATTAGTGGAGGACTTCGTTGAAGAGACAGCGGAGACACTAAAAAAGCAAAGGAACCTCAACCTATGAATATCTATCGGCAAGTGAAGAAATGAAGACCGGCGTCTGCGGGCAACCTTATCGTTATCTTTAGATGGAGGTCGAGGTCAGTGTTACGACCTACCAGCTCGGGTTTGTAACGGCCGAGTCAATAACTCTATTGGCTTTCAAGATATGGGTATGTAACGTGTCAGAATGCTGGTATCTGTGAGCAGTGATCGACATGTTATTTGTCGTGTGCATATGTTTTATTGCGGCGTGAAATGAGTTGTGTTTTGTTTTAGAAGACAAAAGATTGAGCTGCATAGTATTTGAGACAAGTTCATGCTTCCATCTGGGGATTTGTGTTCGTCACATATGCATAAGACGTCGTAGGCATTATTACTCAGCTTGACTTATTCGACACTGCACCACCAGAGGTTGATATTTTGGCTTTACCCGTCAGTTGGTGCGGCGGAGCGGGCACGTTTCTCCAGTCACGCTCCGTGGGGGGGCGTCACGACCCTTTTAATTCGGGGGTCAGATGGATGAGGCGCATGTTTACATGTGAAGTGATACTCCAGAGTCAGGTATATCTTGTCAACGGGATCTCGGCTAAAGATCTCGATCTTTGTATTTCTCATGGTGTTGCAACATCAGCAGATGTGTTGTCAGTTTGTTTACTTTACCTCCACTACCTCCATATGTCTTCCTAGTTATTATCCGTATTGAAGATCATCTTGTGAACATAGCGTCCACTATTGCTCCGCTCTGAAGCGACAGAACAGAAGCTTGATATTTCAAGAGTGGATTCCGAATAGCCATGGCCTACGTCATTCTGTAGCACCCGCAGCGCCTATCGCGATGCGATGCTGCACTTGTGCTTCACTAATAATCCATCAGAAACATGCTAACTGCAGCCAACACTGCACATGATCCAACTACCCCACAAACAGAGTCATGAAGAGGACTATCATAATGAGGGGGGATGCTATCGTAAGTTGAGGATAGATATACTATCTGACTAGGAATTGGGATTTATATGCCTAGAAAGGTAGGAGATTGATCGAGTACTGTATCATTATGACCCGCTGGAATGAAGTTTTAGCGGGGAATGGACCCTTGAAACCACTACACCCAGGCTTAGGCTTGCTTAGGCAGTGACACTCTTACAACCTCCTCCTCCTCTCGGGCTCCGGGTGACCCCTTCTGTAAGCTACTCATACAGAAGCCCCAGATCTGTTCATGAATGTCTCTGTTGGGCATATTGTGGCGTCCTTGATTGGTTTGTCTTGTATGTCCTCAAGGACTCTTTTGCCCGGATTGCCGAATACATGCCCTCGTATTATCCACACTAACCACACTCAACATGCAGCACGCGGGAGGCTTCAGCTTGGAATTCTCTTGGCAGACAGAGGATTAACGACCCATTACCCAATCGCTAAATGGCCCTGGGATAATACCATAGACAATATCATCCATTGACGTCTATCATCTTATTCTCTTTCTCCTCTCAAAAAGCCTCACTTTGTCCACTTCTACTTCTCGAGACTCTCACCGTCTCATCCCTTCACCGTCTCCCATGTGGGCCTATTCTCGCTACTTCTAACCCCTCGTCTTGTCTTTGTCTCGTCTAGCATAGCAGACTGACTGACTGACTGACTTCTTCTCACGACTGCATCATGACAACGCCTCACCAGTCGGATGTGAAGGGGGTGGACAATGGAGGAGAACGTCAACGAAACAGTGTATCCGAGTCCCATGGTGGACGAGTCTCGGTCACAATGGATTCACGCCACAGCAACAAGCTGGGCAGCATCTCGGGTGTCTATATCCCTGTTTTTCTCAATATCATGAGTATTCTCATGTTTTTGCGTTTCGGTCTCATCATTGGAAAAATCGGCTTTGTGGGCATCCTCGGTAAGCTACAGAGTTGGCTTTGTAAGTTGAAGAACAAAGAGCTGATCTTGCCCAGGATTGCTTGTTACTGCATACTCCATTGACCTATTGACGACCCTCTCACTATCCGCCATCGCTTCCAATGGCGAAGTCAAAGGTGGTGGTGCCTATTACCTCATCTCGAGGTCCTTAGGTCCCGAGTTTGGTGGTTCAATCGGTATTCTCTTCTATCTTGCTCAAGTCCTCAATGCAAGCATGAACGTCGTCGGTCTCATTGACTGTATCCGACTGAACTTAGGTCCAGCTTTTCCAGAAGGATATTGGACGGGTTACTTCCTCCAGACGGCAGCTCTGCTCCTTTGCACCGGACTTTGCTTCTTAGGGTCTGCTACTTTTTCAAGAGCATCCAACGCCTTGCTTGCAATTCTAAGCCTGGCCATCGTCAGCATTCCGGTCTCTGCTATCTTCAAGACTCCCTTCCGTGATGAGGATCTTGGCATTCACTTCACTGGCATCAGCCTTGATACACTGACTGATAACTTCCTCCCTCATCTGAATAGCCCTCAGTTCAGAGGTCTTGAGACATTCCGTGATCTGTTTGGCATTCTCTTTCCGTAAGAGCCTGACTTACAATCTAGTATTGAACCCCGTACTAACCGTGCATTAGTGCTACTTCGGGTATCTTTGCTGGAGCTTCCATGTCTGGCGATCTCAAAGACCCTAGCAGGTCAATTCCCCACGGAACGCTCTGGGCAATGCTGACGACCTTTATCATCTACTTCGTCGTGATTCTTTCTCTCGCTGCGAGCACCACTCATGAATCCTTCCTGGCAAATGACAATGCCATCTCAATCATCAACCTATCTCAGCCGGTGATCCTTGCCGGTGAATGCGCAGTCACCTTCTTCTCGGCTCTGATGGGTCTCATCGGTGCATCAAAGCTGTTCCAGGCTTTCTCGAGAGACCGACTTCTTCCTGGTCTTGGCTTTTTCAGCAAAGGCACCAAGCATGGCGATGAACCCATATATGCTTTACTCTTGACTTATGTCATTGCACAACTGGCATTGTTCGCTGATCTCAACCAGATCGCTACCTTCATCTCCATGGGTTACCAGATGACATTTTTCGTCATGAATCTTGCTTGCTTCCTCCTCAAAGTTGGATCCGCACCCAACTTTCGACCGAGTTTCAAGTTCTTCACCTGGCAGACCGCTTTCTTTGCCGGTATCTTGTCCGGCTTTGCTATGTTCTTCATCGACGTTACCTATGCCGCAGTGGCCATTACGGTGCTCGTCATGCTCTTCCTGCTCATTCACTACCTCAGCCCTCCTAAACATTGGGGTGATGTGAGCCAGAATCTGATTTACCATCAAGTCAGGAAGTATTTGCTACGTCTCAGGCCAGAACACATCAAGTTCTGGAGACCACACATTATACTGCTCATCAATAATCCGCGTCGACAAACTAGGCTGATCCAATTTTGCAACGCACTCAAGAAAGGCTCGCTATATATCCTAGGCCATGTCATTGTAACTGATGATTTCAACTCTGGAGTCCATGAGGCTAGACTACAGCAGCACGCATGGACAAAGTACATCAACGAGTTCTCCAAGATCAAGGCGTTTGTTCAGCTGACAATGTCCCCTACTATCACTTGGGGCATTCGAAATCTGATTCTGTCAGCTGGACTTGGAGGTATGCGCCCAAACATTGCTGTGCTTGGCTTCTATAATATGGATGAACTGCGAAAGTCCAACCCAAGACTTCGTGTGCCTGATGTGCCGGTATCTTTTTCGAGGCAAATGCAACGTCCACCCAAGTCCAATGGCAAGGCACCTGAGAGGCCGCGAAGGAAGCGAGGAGATACCTCAGCTAGACTTATGGAGGGTATACTCCCGACTGATGTCATTCGTACCGAGAACATGATGTCGCCCAAGGAGTACTTAACGATTCTAGAAGATCTTGCCCTGCGATATCGACTCAACATCGCAGTTGGTTGTGGTTTTGATGCGCTAGAGACTCCTAGAAAGGACGGAAAGAACACCAAAAAGTACCTTGACCTGTGGCCTATCCAGATGTCGGCTGAAGTAACATCCGATGGCAAGAGCTTACTCACCACAAATTTTGATACATGTAAGTATGGTATATCGATGAGCCATTTGCAAACTAACCGTTGTAGATACTCTGATTCTTCAACTCGGACATATCCTTCACAGCGTCCAACTCTGGAAGCAAGTATATACAGTACGAGTTATGGTGTTTGTGGAATATGAGAGCGAGGTACACGAAGAACATGCCCGTGTACTGGCACTTCTTGAAAAACTACGAATCGACGCACAAGTCAACGTATTCTGCTTGTCGTCAGGCAGTTTGAACACTTATGAAATCATTGTCAACGGTATTGGGAACGATATAGATTGGGAAATCGTTGTCAACGATACACTTCGAAACGAAGAGTGGTGGGATGATGTTCAGATGTATAGAGGACGCGCAGATAACATGACTTCGACTCAGGAGCTGGATCAGCTTGAACAGATTTACGATTCGACATCCGGCAGACCCGGTTTGTACAACCCACATGAGGAGATATATGAGCGCCGACGCGCAAGCACAACGGATGTTCCCGAGCTGCCACGACGGCCGGCTATTCGGATGCTGTCGAAAATGGGTGTCAGTATGGGGATCCATACACACCATCTGCAGGACGATGCGTTAGATGAAACGAGTAGCGAGGACGACGAAACAGAAGATTCCCCGACAGATCTACTTGAAGATGAGGAGATGGGGTATAGCTCTGTGTTGGAACAGGACAACAATGATGACGCCAGCATCGGCCCGAGTGATTCGGTACATCAACCTTTACTGGCGGGTGGAGATTCTCATGATGAGAACGGCAGAGTTCGTGGTGACTTTTGGGAAGGTTTTGGCCGGCGTTCCAAGTCTGACACCGTTGGGGATGCCGTTTCTACATCGTACGGCACTATGTCATCTTCTGCAACGGTGAAGGGTGTTGGAGGAGCGCAAACATCACAGACTGCATCAGCTTCTCAACAAACGAACCAAAGGCCACAGCAAGGCAGTACAGACTCTGCCCCTGCAGATATGCCCTCTCTTGTCTCGCGAGACTCGCTGGGACCTGCGGACGCATTATCCCGTGCACGCCCGGCAAGCCCTTCGCGAGAAGATACTGTGCGCCCGTATCGCGGTGGTACGACAACACCAGGAAGGCCGACTCTCTCCAGGCAATCTTCGGCCGTGAAGTTCTCCAGCCGTCCAGTTCCCGAGACAAAGATTGTCAATTCGGAGGCGGAAGGGTCCACGATTAGCTTTGCGCCGCCGTCTAGTACAGATTCAGAAACACCAAAAGCCGGGGCGTATCGACCAAGCTATTCAAGGCAGTCCTCCATGGGCAACTATCCACCTCGGGCCGGTTCTCAAGCAACGGCTGGCGAGATCGAGAGCAAGAAAATCTCTTTTGCGGAGCAGCCTGACTACGAGCCATATTCGGCGCATCATTCCCGATTCCATTCGCGGCGCAGTTCTCGAGGATCTACACAATACGGCGGCGAATCTTGTGAGCAGATACCCGAAATGCTCGAGAGATACCGATTAAGCTCGCACTTAGAGGAGGAGGCGCAGGAACCCGGATACACGCCCCAGGGGTTAGAGCTGTCATTCAACGAGCTGCCAAGCAGAGCTCAGCACCTCATTGTCAACGAATTGATGCGTCAACATTCCAAAGACACAGCTGTGCTTCTCAGCACTCTGCCTATTCCCACAGAGGGTACTTGTTTGGACGAAGCAGCGACAATACAGTATTTGTCTGATGTTGAGTTGCTTTGCAATGAGCTACCACCCACGTTGTTGGTGCTCAGCAATAACATGACAGTAACAGTCAATCTTTAGATACATAGGTATAGGCAAGCCTAACCAACAGATACCATACACGATATAAATGAATCACAAAGCAAGCAATGAATTTAACAAAGCCGCAATATTCCCATGATTGACAGCTAGCCGAGCATGGATCTATCTAGCGAAGTGCACGGGTCTAAGTGAGCGAAATACTACCAGTCATCCAGTCATTCTACCACCCACTACACCAAGGACAATGTCTCCAACAAAATATGGCGTCAGCCGAGTCATGGCCAACAAAGAATGGGCAAAGATTGCTAGCCAGGAACCGCTTTGAGAAAGCTTGTCAGGTACAGGAACCGAGGTTCGAGCCAACAAATATTTTGTCCGAAGACCTCGATATAGTTTATTGTGAATTCTTGCAAGCTCTCTTAGAATTACAGGGGCAACACCCACTGGAATGGTCTCTGAAGTTCTGGATATACATTCTTGGTTGTGGATAGGCGTTAATTTTTGGTGGCTTGGTACCATGATTCATGGGCCACATGGCTTTCCCCCCACGCCGTCTTGTCTCTTTTCTCAGTCTCTCGTTAAAGTGAGAATTGATTCAAGAGGTTGGTCTGGTTAATTTTGGTAACAGCTAGTTATTGAACCTGGCTTGTGCTCATACTTGTCGGGTTCTTTTGTGGTGTCTCTTTCTGCCTTGGAGATACTAACTTCGTGTGAGTCCAAGCACAATCTGGTGTCACCCAAACCGCATTCTTGGGACGCAAACTCTTTGTGGTGAGCCGTGCCGTGTTCCCACCATCTTTGACGTCTTGTCGATTTACTACGTATGTACTACGCAAGGCTAAAAACCTCATCCATGGAGTCAGCCCCCGCACAAATGACAGTTTGGTTGCTACTTAGCGTTGTCATCGGAACCTCCGAGCCGCCATAGGTAAGACGCGGCGTATACTATTTCGACTATTTTCCAACAAGGTTTTGCTCTGCAGGTCCTTAACCCAAGATAAACTCTATCCTAAAAAGAAACACCAGCCGCTGGAGTCTTCAGGCCTGTCAAGCACCAAGACCCCTCCCGTCTATCAGTCACTTACATTCCAGTCCGCCAACCTGACACCACTTAGCCTGGGCAAAAAAGGGGACTTACAAGCCAATCCGAGGTTTGTTATAAGCAGAGGGCCGGGTATCTGTTTAAAATCAGGTTTTTTAAAGAGTTTGTTCACTTATCTCTGAGACATTGGTCTTCGGACAAGCCCTGTTCTTATCCTTCCCCCCCAACCTCTTCGCTCGTCACGATGCCTTCTTGGACCATCACCAACGACGACAAGATGAGCAGTTGGCGGGACCAGCTCTCACCCCGGAATTTGAGTTTCCGGGGTCTTAGAAGAGCTTCAGAGTCGGTGGCAAAGACAAACTCTTCGTCGACAAAAAACGACTTTACTATGAAGCATTTTCCTGACCGTCCTACAAGGAGGATCACTGAAGCCGAGATTCCCAGCGACGAAGATTGTAAAAAGACACTTACAAACATGAGAAAGGCGTCATTATCAGATCATATACATATACATCGACGACACGAATACCATCATCAGCATCAAAACCAATTATCTCCAGTGCCAGAGCCAATGCCTACGCCTGAAGAATATTTCACAATAAAAGTACCCAAGATTGAGCTGCCTCGGATAGAGCAACCAGAGCCATCACCACGATCTCCACCACAACGATCTCAGTCAGAACGAGCTCGGCCAGAACAGCTTCAGACTGAAAAGCCTCGAGCACAGCAGCCGTCAAGATTAACATTTGGACCTTTCATCGGTCAATTCAAATCTGCTTACGGGCCACTTACACCAGCCCAAGAAGAACCCAATGCACTTGAAAATGCAGATATCGCAGGGCCCACGACAACACCGGATGGACTACAAATACCAGGAGCGCCGATAGATATTCGAAAAAGTATTTTGGCTGTCGATGACCTCAACTTGGCAACTGAACCAGCTCCTTCGCCAGTTGTCATCAGCGAGGCCAAAACCATCAGGCTCGAACGAGTAGACAACACACAAACGCCTGGTGTCTCACCTTTCTCATCACCACGACCCAGCAATGCTTCATCGTCAGGATGGCCTATGCGAAAACCGTCAGTTCAAATGGTTGCTATTCGACGTTCGTCACAGGACTCTCAGCGGCGCAAACCTTCTGTCCACACAGTAGTCGTGAGGCGCTCCTCAACAAAACCTCATTCAGACGCCCTCAACTCACATCCAACTCACTCATCTACTGCGCAAGTCCATGTTCGACAAAATAGCGCCTCAGATCCTTTGTGTCGTGTGTGTCACACTGGAATCGCTGAAAGGTCTGGTACTTGCTCCATTTGCGACAATGACTCTATGCCAGCGAGCCCCGTCGAAAGTGGCCCTAACTTTTCGAGGCTTCATCATAAACCAACCGTCAAGAGGTACAACCGTCCTCCACCTCTAGTCCCTCAATCCCTCGACAGTATCGCAAAGCTCCATCGTCCATCGGCATCTCTTACATCAGACCCAGAAGCCAACCAAATCTCACCGCCACCATCACCCGGATCTCGCAGTAGTAGCACAGCTGAGACTGTCAAGACTCTCGCTACTGGTCCTTCTGTACCTCCAACGCCCATGTCAGCGCTATCGACACCTGAGGTATTCAAGCGATTCCAAGAAGAAGTCGAGAACCGAGCCAAGTCAGATGATAGTCCCGCATTTGACGATCCTTGGATGATCAAGCCCAAAACTCCCGAGGACGATGTATATGAAGATGACTGGGCCGATTACTACTTTGACGAGCAAAACTTCAATGCTGGACCTGGCAACGAGACTCAAGACCCAATGCCTGGTTTGCATTTCGTCCCAAGCCCAGTCTGTCCAGGTCCAGGATGGATCTGAAAGTCACATAAAAGGATATTATGTAAAAAGACTGTATCATGTGTTTATGTAAAATTCTAGGTAGCGGGTTCTGTTTTTCTATATCCCTGGTCAGGTAGCGACAAGCGTCTTTTTTCAATCATGAGTCTATGTCTCTTCATAACCATCTCTTCGTGACATCTTTTCCCTCGTCTAAATCTAAGTACTCTTTTTCTTTTTCTATCCTTGTACTCTATAGGGTTTTAGTAACGGTCAATCCACTTGAATCGCCGCCCTCTAGTTCTATCAAACCTCCAGCTTCGAGTCTCTTCTTCCACTTGTTGCTCTCATACCGCGCAAAGATTATTGTCATGCGCAATGTAACATCACTGCTTGAGTCGTGCTCCTTAAGAGCTTCCGCCACGGGTGTGAAAGTCCAGCGACCGAACGCCCAGTTGAGGATGTAGCGACCCGATGCGCTAGGCTCTGGCTTAGGGATATCAGGGTCTGAGTTTGTTGGTGGGGAGGAAAGTGAGACGAGAGCCTTGATGCGGTAGGCTTCGTCCTTGGGCGCAGAGGAGAGGAACGCGATGAGCTTTTCGGTGTTGATGCGTGATGAGGGGTCGGCCTTGAGAACGACTGAAAGAACCTCGACTTCGCTCTGGTGGTTGTGTGAGTGGCCGTTTGTTGTTCCATTGGAGTTCTCATGGCTGTGTCCGTTGGTTCCATTGGTCTTCTCGACATCTGCCTCTGTCAACTCTTGCGCTAAACCACCATCCACACCAAAGACCAAGTCCATGGAGACCTTGCCCTTGTCGCTCTTGACCTTGGCAACGTCCACCTCCAGATCACCAACCCGGTCGAGACACTCGTCATATCGCAGCATGCTGACATTCTCCCACTTGTTGAAAACGATAAGATCCGTGTAGCGCGCCTGAATGCGGGCTGTGTAGCTGGTATCCTCGTAACCCTTCCAGTTCTCAACGTCGATAACGCTGATGACACCATCAAGAACGTACTTTCCAGACTCGCGCGCAAGACGGTTCACTTCGAGAGCGAGAGTCGCGGGGAAAGCAGAGCCGCTGGTTTCGATAACGATTCGATCGGGGCTGACGGTGTCTTCGAGTTCCTTAAGTGCGGGGCCAAGTTGGCCGACGAGGTTACAGCAGATGCATCCGTTGAGGAGTTCTTGAACACCCGAGATAGAAGAGTTGGCTGCGAGTTGCGAGTCGACAGCGAGATCGCCGAATTCGTTCTTTAGAAGAGCGAGTTTGTAGTCTGGGTTTTGGGCGCGAAGTTGGGGAATGAGGTTGAGAATGAGCGTCGTCTTGCCCGAGCCCAAGAAGCCGGTAACGATGGTGATGGGAATCGGCGACATCTTGCTATTCTTGCGATTCTATCGAGTACCTGAACTAAGAAAAAGGACCGCAGCGTCAAAAGATTTGTTCCGGATAAAATACCTCTTCAGCGGTAGACAAAAACAATTAAATCAGTAACTACTATAGTAATTGTTGGGTGATGGTCAGCCCATCAGAGCGGCCCGATAAGATAGACTTTTGACCGTTATCGGGCCTTATCGGACAACACCCCGCCGTCTGTGACTTGACGTCACCTGTGAGAGGTCCGGGGTTGGTTGACAGCTGAAGTTTCATAGGGACGCGCATTGATTTACGCCAATTGCGTATGCCAATGCTGGGATAAGGCCAAGGAAATGACGGTAGTTACAGTTACTTTCCATCAATAAAGACGATATTCACCTTCCTCTTTTTCTCTTGGATCATTATCGCTTACATCGGCACATCAGTCTTCTTTAGGAAAATACAACTTCTACAAACAGCAATGATGACATCCCAAGAATCAGGCAAGAACAACAGCGTCCAGGACGAGCCGTTCAAGAAGCAGCTTGATAAGGCTGCGGACGAGACTCGAGAGATGGAAAACCAGAAGCCCAACCCCATTGTCGAGAAGAGTAGGTCATTCTCAGAGAACATCTTAGCAATAGACCAAGACTAACAGGCATTCAGTCACAGAATACGTCCCTGCAGCTGCCAAGGTCTTGCCCGCTCGTCAGAGCCCTCCCAAGGAAGAGGACAAGCCTTCAGGACCTCCCGAGCGACCCCATCATGATCACAAGATTGAGGACTTTGTAAGGGACCAGCACAGAAGTCAGGGTCTTGATGGTGTTTTGGGAAACTATCCAAATGACGAGTAAACACGCCAGGTTATTGTGGAGGAGATTCATGGCATTGTATAATAGGGTATCCGCGAACACGATTGAATGAACTTACGATTTTCCATGTTTGATTGAGAACGTAAAGTTGCACTGTCAAGTGCCGTGATGATCAACGTTAACCGCGTCAAGGATTATTTATCCTGGTAGTCGGCAAAGACTTTTGAGCCTCATGAGCTTAAACATCACAAGTTTGCCAATGGTCTCGTCTTGGTCCGCATGGCTGTTTTCCAGCATAAGCCTAAAAGCCAAGCGTGGAGAGAGAGCATTGGTGGGGCGCAGCAACGCGAAAAACAGAGGTGCAAAATCTGCATTTCACAGCTGACAGTCCAACACAGCAATCAAGCAGCACACATTTACGCAGGCAGACACGCAGACTTTCAACTAGTCGCGAGCAATAAGCTACTAGGTAAATATCAAAATCCTTTTAAGGATGATGAGATGTCCCCCCTTCTTGGCAATACAACGCCTACAGATTCCGTTGCGAAACAACGAAGCTGGCGAAGATTTTCCTATATCCAAGGGTTATAATCTACTGAGCGTTTCCCGCAATGGGAAAGGCAACGCGACACCGTGAGAAGTTAGCCATAAAGGCCGGGTGAAGGTCGTGGCGGCTCAGAAAACAATTAAAAATTGCTTTTTGATCTAAGGAGCAAAAACAAAAGAGATCGGGAGAAAGTCGAGTTTATATACCCGTGAGAAATCTGCGAGTGGGGCTACTCTGAGGGCTGATTATTCAGCAGGCTATGGGTCGCTCCACCAAAAAGTCTGACAGAGGTGGTTGGGAGTGGGCACAGTGGGACTGGATGTCAAACTGCCAGACTGCTTACCCTAAGACGACCGGATTGCTCTAGGTTAACGAATGGAATACTGAGATGCCTTAAGTATGTTTTCAGATGAATGGTTTTATGATTTGAAGGGCTTCTAGAGAGATGTCTGATATATCAAAACAGGCACAGAAGCAACTGCTTCGTGCTAAACAATAACCATCAGTACCCACCCATGCGCCTGAAAATTTCAACCAGTAGTCTTATACGCAGATTTGATTACCCAACATAATCGAATATCTTCGTTCGCACACTTGAAAGGACGTCGTCAATGGTATGCCTGCTACATTAAATCAAACTTCACACAGAGCCTTAAGAAGATTCTCTGCAATCCGTCAAATATTGTAGAGCTGCATCTGGTTATCATCAGAAAACGGGATGGCCTAACAGATGTAGCCCAAGAATAGGGTAGTCGGGTGAGATTGATCTTAAAAACGATCTATTTTCAACTAGGACCGGCTTGGTATGAGATTATCTAGCAACAGCAAAATACAACCCTATAGTAACAACACCGCTGTCAGCTTACCTAGGGCTTTCTGAGCCCCTTGCCCAGCATTTCAGTGCCAACTTCCGTAACGAGCTTCTCATCAGGAAACTTCGACTTCTTAGCCAGAATGCTATCCTGCGCGCCAACTGCCTGAAGAAGGTCTGGCAGTTCTCCATCAAGCTTGGTACCATAAACCAAGTGTCCCAGAGCCAATAACATCCCATGTAATGCCTCCGAAGACTTCTCTTCCAGGGATATGGCCTCTACTACGGACGCAGCGAGTTCAAGTTCATCATCTCCAGACAAAGTCGGCTTTGAATTACTTCTGGCTTTTCGGTTTGCCAATGACAAATTGAAAAGAAGTGATGAAGCTGCAACCCTTACGTTATTGTGGCTCTCATCCAAGAAGCTAGACGAGACGAGAAGGATGATGGCTGCTCGTAACGAGTTGTCTCGCATGATTTCATCAGGGAATAGAGGTGTTGAGAAGAAGTTGCAGGCCATCTGAAGTGTGACGAGACGCAAAGCGTAGGGACACTCCGTTTTCTGAGCGACAAACTCTAGTACCGCAAGAACGGTTTCGTGACCCTTCTCCTCTGCAAAGAAGCCGCTGATTCTGGGATCTGAGAGTGCACATCTGAACAAGTCCACAATAGTAAAGAGCATATCGATAGGCAATGATATGACCGATTCCTTTACCAGACTTGCCAAATGGCCCATATCAGGAATCACCGCGCTCGAGGGACCGTCTTTCGCTCGATCCTCAAGATATTGCTTCAGAGCTTTGACTTCTGGCTTACCAGCGACCTCGGAGCCCATCTTCACCATGAGCTTATCCAATGGGGGAACCTTTGTATAAAGGACTGGCTTTACGTTCGGGTTCGCAAATGTAGGAAGGCGAAGTCGTTCATGAGGATGGACAGGGTGGGCCATCTGGACAAGAAGCTGTACATTGCCTCGAAGGGCAGCTGGATCAGCCCCTGACCATCGATTTTCCTCTTCACCATGAAGGAAAGTCACGATGGTGGGAGTCGCACTGATTGAATACCGACTTCCGATCTCATTTTGTTGTGGCTGTGAAATGTCGACTTTCATGAGAGTCGCCTTATCACCAACTTCTTCTGCGAGTTGGTCATAAATCGGGTAGAGCGTCTTACAAGGAGGGCATGTCGCTGATGTGAAGAAAACAACGGCGCATGAGTTCTTTGCCTCGGTCATCAAACGATCAAACTCAGACGCGTTGGTAATGTTCTTGACGCCACCCTTTGGAGCTGGAGCTGGCGTCTGAGAGCTCTGCTGTAACCCGAGAATAGAGCCATTCTGTCTTCCGGCATTGATTCCTTGAGTAAGCTGTGGCAATAAAGCCCGACCCATGGGAGAGTCAAGAACAGCTTGTGGCATCTTGACGATGTGTTCAGGGATGCCTTTTCCTAGTAGGAAGTTTGCAAAGGAGTCCGAGAAATTATTGCAGTTATGATGAAACAAGTCATACGCCTATGCATTGTCAGATCTAGTCATAAATGAGATATCAGATTTTCATACCTCTAATGTAAAGATGGGTCGTAGAGAATCGAGGAACTCCTCAATGACATCCATAGGGAGATGCGTCGTACCAAGAGGAATCTTTTGGAGTGGCTGACCAAGGTGTGACGAGCCTGGTCTAATCGCGATAATGCCACCATCGTAAACGTATTCCTTGCCGTTGAGTTCTATTGAAGTGTGGTATATGGCATCGAGTTGGAAGCCCAGAATACCCATAGACATTTGACGAGCCAAGCCTCTTGAGAGGTCATAGACATAGAGTTGCACATCCATTTCTTCGTCACCGACTGGTCAATGCAATGCGCCTTGGTGCTCAAATTATTTATGAAGAGGACGTTTGATAAATGGTGAAATGTGTAGATGATGGTTAGACGCAAGTAAATGTTGTTCTGATTGGTGTTGAAGAGAGGCAGATCAAGTCTGAGTTATCTATTACTACAATGAAGCAGGCAACATTGCGTACGACTGGAACATTCTGGAGGCGCAGATACAAAGGTCTACGTAGGCGGCAAATTTATATCTTCTCATGATTACAGTGATGAGAAGGATCTCAGAAAGGGTGATTTTGGAAAGAGAGTAATTGATACGGCATTCACATCCAGAACCTACATGACTTCGTCCTCTGACTGAACACTTTCTCAAACTTCATGACATCAAATGCCGTCTTGTCTTGTCGCATCTTGACGATCTATCGAGTGGGGCGTCTAAAATTAGGCGAGTCTTTGCTTTGCAGGTTCAGGGGCTTGCAACATTTTTCTAGGGGAGATCAGCCCCTGATAGATGCAGATGCGGCGGGCACCATCGCCATGGCCGTGGAGGTGAGGGTGGTTCTGGATGCAGATTGGCTACAAGATGCAAACCAAACCATTTCCGTGTCCTCCAAAAAAGTATACGACCCCCCTTTCTCATTGTTATCTGCAGCATTGCCAGCTTGTCACTTGTCTCGACAACCGCCATTTCCTTCATCCCTTTTTTAATGGAAATTAATTCTTCTTTGCCACGCTCCAGTCTCCTTCTACTCCAATTCACCCTACTCTAAGACACTCCCTCCCCCCTACCTTAGAAGGGACCCTCCCATGCTCGACCTAGTCCAGGCCCTTTAAAGACAATCTTATCTCCCTTCTCGCGAGACCCGCGCTCATGAGAACACCCACATCACCGTCTTCATCAAAGTTCCCTGGCTTCGATCCCCACGAGAAACCAGACCGATACAAGTTCAAGCCTAAAAGGCAAGGCGTTATTGGCAGGATGAAGGAATCTTGGATGTCACAGTCCCAGCGGACGAGGTGGATTAAGACTGCCGCCATCGTCTTTGCGATCGTTACCCTCTTTTACTTTATCTCCCCCAAGGGTGTCGAAGTGTATCATGAAGGTACGACAGGTGGAGGTAGTAGCAGCAATTGATCGATTGGGAATGCCTCCATGCTAACAATATCACAGTTACCCAGCCCGCCCAAGGTAGCAACAATGGTGAACCTGCCCCGATTTCTTCTCCTACTAGCTCTCGATGCACAACACCCTACAAGGGCAAGCCTCTTGTCCAGTATGTTCTCATGATCGATGCCGGCAGCACTGGCTCTCGAATCCACGTCTACAAGTTCAACAACTGCGGTCCTACACCCGAGCTCGAGGGCGAGGAGTTCAAGATGACAGATGTTCCCGTTGGCGGTCTGAGCAAGTACAAGGGTGACCCCGTCGCTGCTGCTAAGACTCTCGATCCTCTCCTGAAGGTTGCCATGGACACTGTTCCCGATAAGCTCAAGGGCTGTACTCCCGTTGCTGTTAAGGCTACTGCTGGTCTTCGAATGATCGGAGCCGAAGCTGCCGGTGCTATTCTCGACGAAGTCCGACGACACCTCGAGCAAGATTATCCTTTCCCTGTTGTCGACAAGGAGAACGAGGGCGTCGTTATCATGGACGGCTCTCTGGAGGGTGTCTTTGCTTGGATCACTACAAACTACCTTCTTGGAAAGATTGGCGGTCCCGATAAGAGCGAGACTGCCGCTATCTTTGATCTCGGTGGTGGATCTACTCAGATTGTTTTCGAGCCTACTTTCAAGGGTGCCGCTGATGGTGGTATGCCCGAGAAGCTTGCTGAGGGCGATCACAAGTATAACCTCGACTTTGGTGGTCGTCACTTTGAGCTTTACCAGCACTCTCACTTGGGTTACGGTCTGATGGCTGCCCGCGAGGCCATTCACGCCACTTTGATCAAGGACCTCGTCGCTTCCAAGGAGGGTGATAAGAGCTGGTTGAAGGAACCTGTCGTTAACCCTTGCATTGCCCCCGGAATGAGCAAGGCTGTCAACGTCACCGTCGAGGGTGACCAGACCCCGACTCTTGTTACTTTCAAGGGACCCACAGAGCCCGCTCCCGCTCAGTGCCGCAACCTGGCTGAGAAGATCCTCAAGAAGGATGAGAAGTGCGCTCTTGCCCCTTGCTCTTTCAACGGTATTCATCAGCCTCTACTGTCCAAGACTTTCAGCAAGGAGGATGTCTACATCTTCTCTTTCTTCTTCGACCGCACTAAGCCCCTTGGCATGCCCGACTCCTTCACCCTCCGTGAGATGCACGATCTCTCCCAGACTGTTTGCAAGGGCAAGAATGCCTGGGATGTTTTCACTGCTGTCCCTGATGCGATCAAGGAGCTCGAAGACCGACCTGACTGGTGCCTGGACCTCAACTTCATGATGGCCCTTCTCCACACTGGTTATGATATGCCTATTGACCGTGAAGTCAAGATTGCAAAGAAGATTAAGGGTAACGAGCTTGGCTGGTGCCTTGGTGCTAGGTATGTTCCCATTATTAATAAGATTCAACCCCTACTAACAACTCTGCAGTTTGCCTCTTCTTGCAAGCGGTTCTGGCTGGTCTTGCAAGGTCAACCAGATTGCTTAAAGATATACCACAGGATGCTAGGCGTTGAATGGAAATGCATGACGTTTTTCTTTTTACTATTAGACCGGTTCTTTAGAACGGCAACGACTTTTGGGATATGGCAAAAATCATCGCAATGGACCATCGGCATCATGAACTTAAGATGGACTAGAATGCAAGTTCGGACTGGCTTTCTGGGGAACTGGGGTCCTCGACTTGTCATGACGTGTAGATTATTATAGAATTATTTAATACCAGGTACCCGCCTTATACCGGCGCGGTCACCATGCCCATGACATCTTCAATAACCTCTTCAGGACCAATGTCCTCTAGCAATGCTTCTACTGCTTCTATTTTGCTACCCCATTGCATACTCCTCTCCTTTTCAGGGGGAGTCAGCTGGATTCGATGCAAGTAAACCTTCGGTGCAGCAAGGCCGACAAGAGCTGGTGTTACAAAGTCTAAACCATGCAAAGCAGCAAGACAACGTATGAGTTGACCGAAGTGTTTTGTGGCTGTAGGACTGATGCCTCCAGCGACAGCCCGGTGCATACGAAGGAATGAAACAATGTTCATCATGTAGCGTGTGACCTCCACATCTACCTGAACCTCTTTACTAAGTGTACCAAGATAACTAATATTCTGTAATGGGTCAGTTATATCTTTATAAGCAAGAAGAGGTAACATACAGCCTCGACAATGAGGGGCGGAGCTGAGGTGGTGTCTTCCCCAGGGCCCCTTTTTACGACACTTCCCGCGGACGCGGTATCGGCATCATTACCACCATCGGCTTCATCTAAGTTAACGAAGCCATCCTCGGGATTATGCCAATATGCTATATATAAAAAGTCGTTCAAGTGTGCCGTCACACGAGCCTCGCCTCCGCTGGCTGCCTCTAATACCGGGACAAAAACAAATTGTTTTGGGGCAGCTTGTACAGAGGTTCGTGTAAATATGCGACGGGTTCGTAAGAGTTCTAGGGCCTGGATCTGGACGGCTTGTGGTGCCCGGTCCAGGTTCTTCGCGAGGACGACATTGGCTATTTGAGATGCAGGAGCACCACCGGGTGTAAAAGGACTGAGTGGTGCGCGCGGATGCGATGTCGATGGCCTCGATGTGAAGTATGAATCGGGGTTGCGCAACGCTGTAGGCGAGTGGCTAGAAGGAGAAGCCGGATTGCCCAGGAGAAGAGCGGAGGCGAAGTCTTCGAGGGTTGTAGATGGAGTACAGTCGACAACAACCCAGCTGAGACCAAAGGTCTTTGCAGCTACAAGTTGCAATTCTTGTATCAAGTCGTCGATCGCTTCAGACGGTATGCTGACAAGGCAATGTTCGCGACTAATTAGACAGAGAAGTATGGCCAGCTCGAGGTCACTCAGAGCATGAACCTTGTCGAGAAGGCCGTCATCCGCCATGGTTCAGCCGTCTTAGCCTCGGTGATACATCCATGAGGCCTTGAGCATTGATCGTAGAAGCTCACCAAAAATGGCCCCTAGGAAAGCATCCCTTAATCATGGCTGGTCTAGAAGCTCAGTCGCATGATAAGAGCTCCATATGATGTCACGTGGAGTTGCACAAGACCAACCACCAGTGGCTTGGAACCCACACTTCACTTATGCATAGCGCTAAGCTCAAGACAGACTAGCTCCACATACATCACCTCGAGCGACCGACGAGGCTGCGACATTGGTACCTCCGCCCACCGTCATCTACCGCCGCCATCTCCAAACAACACAAACCTTTTGCGAACCCGATAATCCACGACTGGACTTTTGTGCCAGATTAACTGCAAGCAGCGGGTCTGTCGTTTAACGAAGAAATACCGCGCTTCGAACAATAGAGGAGTCCGGCTTCCAGAGAAGCTAGGTTAACCTTCGACGCCTCGACTATTGCGGTTTGAAGGCACGAGATAACGTCATTGAGCAACGCTCCCTTTTCACAAACGATTATTCACCATGTCTTCACGAAAGAAGGTTCTTCTCAAGGTGCGATGCGATGCAAAAACCGCCAAGAATCTTCCGGAACCTTGAGTATTGATATTAGAGTGGAATAGGTTATCATTCTGGGCGATAGCGGTGTTGGCAAGACCAGCTTGATGAACCAATATGTACGCACCTCCAGCGATTATCGACTAGAATTGGCCATAACTGATACCGTTTTGTAACAATAGGTCAACAAGAAGTTCAGCGCAAGCTACAAGGCTACCATCGGTGCCGATTTCTTAACTCGAGAGGTCCTGGTCGATGATCGACAAGTTACCATGCAGGTAGGACAAGGAAACACAAATTCGAGTCTGAGGGACAGCGATGCTGATTGTTTTGGATAGCTTTGGGATACCGCCGGTCAAGAACGATTCCAGTCACTCGGTGTTGCGTTCTACCGAGGCGCCGACTGCTGCGTTCTAGTCTACGACGTGAACAATGCCAAGAGTTTCGAGGCGCTGGACAGCTGGAGAGACGAGTTCCTCATCCAGGCTTCTCCTCGTGACCCTCCCAACTTCCCATTTGTTAGTGGTCTACTGATTTCGATGATGGAAGTGTGCTAATGCAAGGTCCAGGTCGTGCTTGGTAACAAGATTGATGTTGAGGAGAGCAAGCGAGTGGTAAGTTAACTGGAATCGATGTACTGGAAGCGATCTAACGTCTTTAAGATTTCCAACAAGCGAGCCATGACTTTCTGCCAGTCCAAGGGCGATATTCCTTACTTTGAGACAAGTGCTAAGGAGGCTATCAACATTGATCAGGCTTTTGAGGGTTAGTACTCCTGTTCGATGGATGTGTAGAAACTAACAGTTTGTAGTCATTGCTCGTAACGCCCTGGCCCAAGAAGAGTCCGAAGAGTTTAGCGGTGACTTCGATGACCCGATTAACATCCACATCGAGAACGACCGCGATGGCTGTGCTTGTTGAAGGAGCAAACTAGACGATGAGCAGTGCCTAATGCTGCTTGGATTGGCAGAGACGTGTAACAGCGTTTATTTAAGAGGAGGTACTTCTCTGGTCGATTATTGATATTGCCTGGATGTAGCATTCTGAGGCAACCCGGGTTTTATTTTAGTCTTTTTGTTTCTCATAGGTGTTCATACATGGATGCGAGTTCTCTCTTTTAAGTCTGCTTCAACTCTTGGTGACTGTGATGTTGCATACTGGATATCCATAGATATGGTTAAACTTGGTGATCCCCTACAATCGAGAAGTCAAGTCTGTCGGATCATAGCCGAGAGGCTAAAGCTATTAAGCCCCAAGTTGAGGAAAGTCGAGCCATTATGAATGTCATTTCAAGCCTTTATCCATAATGGGAAGCTTGAAGCTGGAGCTATCAAAGTCCCGAGGCAAGGGACCCACTCAGCTCCGAGGCCTGCGGAGCGCTCCCAATGATAGCGACCGATACCCCGGATTCTTAGAGTACCCACTTGTCATTCTCGAGCCGTGAGAGGTCCAAAAGGTGTAGTCATCAACCGCGAACCTCGGCTCCATCGCCTGAACATTCGATGATGTGCGGAGAACTTGGAGCTGGACAAACCTGGGGTAGAATTAATTACTGTAGCTTGTACTTTATTTCTTCATATCTCATGCCAATTCCTCCTTTGTTCCTGTCTTTTTCACTTTCTGGAATATTGCTGTTGAGACACCCTGCGTCATCACTCGTGAACACTATTACCCCTTACTACGCTACACTATAATCATCATCTCAAGTCGACTTCAGAACGTTACGATGTCGGCGAGAATCCCAGCCATTGTATGTGAAATCGCCCCTTTATGCTACGTGATGAGAATAAGACTAACATAGACGGTCCAGGTTGCCAATCGCGTCAGCGATGCTGCCAAGAAACAGCTTGACCTCGTTGCCAAGTTCGTTGAGGAAGAATGTATCCCGTCAGTGCTTCTTTCGCGCTCGCGCAAACTCATCGCTAACCTTACATAGTGCCGACCCTGTGGTAGAAGCCCTTGCTGGCGAGGGTGATGCCCGTTGGGAAGGTCACCCATCTATCATTGAGGACTTGAAGGAGAAGGCTCGCAAGCTTGGTCTCTGGAACATGTTCCTCCCCAAGGGTCATTACAAGGAGTCTCCCGGCTGGACCAACCTCGAATACGGTCTCATGGCTGAGTGGCTAGGTCGCTCATCCGTCGCGTCTGAGGCGTGTAACTGCTCTGCTCCCGATACCGGTAACATGGAAGTGCTGGCCAAGTATGGTAACGATGCTCAGAAGCAACAGTGGTTGAGACCTCTGATGGACGGCAAGATTCGCTCAGCTTTCCTCATGACCGAGCCCCAGGTCGCTTCCTCTGATGCCACCAACATTGAGCTGAGCATTCGCCGCGAGGGTAACGAGTATGTTCTCAACGGTCAGAAGTGGTGGTCCAGTGGTGCTGGTGACCCACGATGCCAGATCTACATCGTCATGGGCAAGACGGATCCCGACAACAAGGACCCTTACCGTCAGCAATCCGTTATTCTGGTTCCCGCCGAGACACCCGGTATTACTATCAACCGTATGCTCAAGGTCTACGGTTTCGATGATGCGCCTCACGGTCACGGACACCTGACATTTAACAACGTGAGGGTGCCTGCTTCTAACCTTGTTCTTGGAGAGGGACGAGGATTTGAGATTATTCAGGGTCGCCTTGGACCTGGCCGTATTCACCATGCTATGCGCAGCATTGGTGCTGTAAGTCTACCTTCATCCTCATACTACAATGGCCTATTCTAACCATATGATAGGCCGAGCGCGCTCTTGACTGGATGCTCCTCCGAGTCAACGACGAGTCCAAGAAGCCCTTCGGTAAACTCCTGCGCGAGCACGGTGTCATCATTGAATGGATCGCCAAGTCTCGTCTTGAAATTGACGCCGCACGTCTTATCGTCCTCAACGCAGCAATTAAGATGGACGAGCTAGGTGCCAAGAAGGCCCTCAAGGAGATCGCCGAGGCAAAGGTCCTCATTCCCCAGACAGCCCTTACTGTTATCGACCGCGCTATTCAGGCCTACGGTGGTGCTGGTGTTTCTCAGGACACTCCCTTGGCGTACATGTGGGCTGGTATTAGAACACTGCGACTTGCTGATGGACCCGATGAGGTGCATTTGCAGCAAATGGGACGCAACGAGAACAAGCGCAATGTCGAGGTTACCAACACGATTAAGATGCAGAGAGCCAAGACCGATGAGCTGTTGAAGGCTTATGGAGTCCAGAGACTTCACCCCGGTGCTAGAATACAGCACAAGGCTAAGTTGTAAGGTCATGGATGGTAGAGTTAGTGATCAGATGGTTCTTTGTTTGCTTGAACATGCATGCCGAAGCATCTCCGCATGGCGACCATAGTACTCATGTTATTTAGTCTTAAAATATATGATATTGCATACACCGTGCTCTGACCACAGCCAATACATGCTCGACTCCATTGGCCTAACAGATTTTGGACTAGGAATACCCTGAGTTCTTTGAACCCCTTAAGTCCTGACGCACTGGCCTTGATCAATGCACTGATGGGAGATGAAAACAAAGGTCCGTTTCTAGTAACAAGCCGAAGGGATGAGTAATTCAGCCGGTTTAGTCCGGAAAAGACATGTCACTCTGGGCTCCGTTATAGCACCTAGAGGTATAGTTGATACATAACATGTGGGTGTTGTTTTGGATATCCAAGTCGATCAACCGCAATTGGATTTCATGAAGAGCCATATATCAACGACTCATCTACCCCTATCATGAATCAATGCTCAACTCCTCTCAGAACATACCCTCAGGCCCAATGACCACAAGTCATGCCATTCCTATTACCCCAGTGATGATGCGCTGTTCACGGCTTGCCCGCCTTAAACATAGGCCTCAGCGTGCCATTTCTCACAGTGGAGTCTCTTTCCAGGCCATGCCCTGTAACCATCCATTCCAGCATCTAGCCCGCTAGAACGCGGCAACAACCCACGTCATCGGGTCGCGACTGTCCCATATCCTGGTAATTTTCACTAATTAACAGTTGCCCCGTCAACATCAGGCACCGTTTACTTTGCCTGTTAATTTTCTGCTAGTTGTGCATGGCACCTATTTCATAGACGCCGTTACCCTTAACATAAAGAACTTGCAACTCATCACAACTGTTTCTTTCACATCCAACACACACACACACACACA